TACAGGATCCCCCCGCTAGAAAGGGTTTACACTTTCGATACGTAGCGGTTTCGTTCGTGGGACTGATCGCGAAACGTGCAATTGTGGGACAAAGGCGTTGGCAGAACAGGAAGTGATCGTTGATCCTCGAGTTGCCACCAAAAGTCTTTGACGTAGAACGGTACCAGAAGGAACGTACTGTATTGATTGCTTGGATTAGCATGCTACACCAGAGTGGTTTGTATCCAGAATCTGAAGGTTGCGTTCGTAGAGGTCCGGACCAGAAACGCTGCAGACGTAGGACGAAACCAGATTGAGCCAAGGAACCAGGTGCGACCAGGATAACCTTGTTCGGGACCAAATGTATACCATACGTATTTGGAACCAGAGAGATCGACTGAGTGCGTTGACTAAAGTGTGGGTGATCAGGCCAGCTTTCGCCAAAGTTGACTGAAGTCGACGATACCGTAACAGCGATGGTCGGAGGCGTAGGCTCGGGGTAAACAAAAAAATGAGCGACCTGTCGATGTTGTATGCGAGTTGACACCGGAGTCAGTGTTCGCATGAATGCAGACAGTCGTTGGACGTAGTCTGATTCGCCGAACTTAGTGCTGCTCCGTGGTGTGAAAAATTCCCCAGGCAGACGCAATGTCGTGCCGTAAACAAGTTCTGCGGCGGAACATTGAATATCTGCCTTTAAACTCATTCTGATAACCAGGAGAACGAGCGGTAAGGTTTCGTACCAATTGTCGTTTTCGTCTGCTCGTAGAGCACTTTTAAGTTGGCGATGAAACCGTTCATTTAAACCGTTTGATGCTGGATGGTAGGTGGTAGTGCGTATGCGTTCCGTACCAAGCAGTCGTGTTAGTGAGGAGAATAATGCGGACTCAAATTGTTGTCCTCGGTCAGTCGTGACAGTCGAGGGACAACCGTACAGAGCTATCCATCGTTCTACGAAGCGGTGAGCGACTGTCTCCGCCGTAATAGACGTGATGGGAATAGCTTCGGGCCATCTTGTGAAACGATCAATGCACGTGAGTATGTGATCATACCCGTGCGATGGTAGTAATGGTCCTACAATGTCTATGTGAACGTGATCGAAGCGAGCATCAGGCGTAGCGAAAGTGCCAATTGGGGAAGCTACGTGCCTGTGCACTTTTGATCGTTGACATTGCAAGCATTGCTTTACCCACATACGGACATCTTTATTCATGGACGGCCAGACATATCGTGCAGCGATGAGCTGTAATGTGGCTGCGATACCAGGATGAGATAAACCATGAAGGGCATCAAAGACGAGGCGGCGATAAGCGGAGGGTACGATGGGTCGAGGGAGGCCCGTAGAAGTATCACATAGGATAGTACCTGAGCTAGTAGCTAGGGGTACTTCCCGGCATTGAAGGGACGTAGACTGTTGTGCTTCCGTGCATGAAGTATCGTTTGCTTGGGCGGCGGCCATAGCAGGTAGGTCAAGCACTGGCAAAGTAACTGCATTAAGTTGGATACGTGATAAAGCATCAGCAACACAGTTCGACTCGCCTTTGACGTGACGAAGGTCTGTCGTGAACTGAGAGATATAGTCTAAATGTCTGCACTCTCGTGGTGAGTAGCGGTCATACTTGGTATGCAGGGCATACGTTAAGGGCTTCTGGTCGGTGAATAGGATGAAATTACGACCTTCTACAGCGTGCCGGAAATGTTTGATGGCGCAGTAGGCTGCTAGCAGTTCGCGACCAAAAGCGCTATATCTCGTCTCCGTGGGGGTGAGGCGTCGTGAGAAAAATTCGAGGGGCTGCCAACTACCGGAGATATTCTGTTGCATAACGGCTCCTATGGCGAAACCCGATGCATCAACCGCTATACTAAGCGTGGCTGATGGGTCAGGATGCACGAGAAGTGTGGCTTGAGCTAGGGCCGTTTTGACATCTGAAAATGCAGTACGTGCGGCGTCACTCCATTCCAGTTTGCGTGGATTACCGCGAAGTAAATCGGTTAACGGTCGTAACTGTTCTGCCGCGAGCGAAATGAAGCGTCGGTAGAAGTTGACCAAACCGAGAAATGCCTTCAGTTCCTTGAGTGTGGAAGGTACAGTGTACTCCATTATCGTACGTACTTTATCCTCACAAGGTAAAATACCCTCATGCTTAATAACATGACCTAAGAATTTTATTTCCTTCTTTCCGAGTTCACACTTGTCGGGGTTGACTATTATTCCATTATCCGGAAGGCGCTGGAATAGTAGCGTCAGGTGTTGATAATGTTCATCTACGTTTGATGATGCGATTAGCAGGTCATCAATATAGACGTGAACAAAATCTAGGTCTCGTACGATGCTATCGATACAACTTTGGAAAGTTTGAGCAGCATTCCGTAATCCGAATGGCATTCGTGAGAACTCAAATAAACCGAAAGGAGTCGTGATAGCAGTTTTCTCTATATCTTCAAGAGCGACTGGGATCTGGTGATATGCTCGTGCCAGATCGATCTTGGAAAAAATTGTCGTGCCCTTGAGTGATGCCATGATGTCATGTATGTGGGGGATGGGATAGCTATTGAAACGTGTAGCTGCGTTTAACGCTCGGTAGTCTCCGCATGGTCTCCAACTAACCCCATCCTTTTTTCGAACCATGTGGAGAGGTGAGGCCCAAGGACTATGAGAAGGACGAATAATACCAGTAGCTAGTAAATTGTCGAACTCACGTTTAGCGAAAGCTAATTTGTCCGGTGCCAGTCGGCGAGGTCTTGCCGTGACTGGTGGTCCGCGAGTGATTATGTGGTGTACCACACGATTGGTCACCGATGGAGTCTTCTCGAGAGATTTAGTTAATTTGCGGAATTTCTGAAATAAAGCGTGGAATAAATCGTCACGCAAATGAAATACACCTGTGATTCGGTACGCGTTTGTGTGGGATTTAAAGCCCATAAAGTTGCTGTTCGACGAAGTATCAATTAGCTGCAGCCTACGTGAATCGACTAGCAATTCATAGTGCTGTAGGAAATCGATAGCGAGTATAGCTGTGGGAACATCGGCAATGAACGTCCACAGATACTGTCGTCGGTTGCTCAGGTTGACCGTAAGTTGTCGTGTACCATAGGTGGGAATGACTGAGCCATTCGCAGCGCGTAGTTGAAGCATAGTGGCTTGAGGCTTACTGTTACCGATAGGTACGACAGAACCTTGGGCACCCGTGTCTACAAGGTACCTAGCGTTGATGCGATAATCGTGCACGTAAAATAAACTGCCAACCTGAGGTGAAGTGCCGGCGAGTACGGTCGCATTTACTCGCCGTCTGGGGAGTTTCCCGCCTTGTATGAGCGGGGAGCTCGACAATGACGGGCACCGGCACTGAAGGCACGGTGAAACCAGCACCAACCCGGACTCGCTTCCGAAACCGCCTTCTGGCGTGGCTTGGAAGATGCCTGCTTGGGGCGAGTCGTTACGGCCTTACGAGATTGTGACCTGGGTCGGGGGACTTAGGGGGCTGGCACATTTGCGCAATCTCGGAAACTGAGACGAGTATGGATACATCTGTCCCTATCCCCATGAGCCGGAGGTCGTCCAGCATCGAAATCCATGTTTGTACGAGAAGTAGAGGCAACATTATAGCTGTCTTTGGCGCTAGCGCGTGCTAGAATTTTGTCTGCTATGAGGGCCACCTTGTTCACTGGGGTGTCCTCGAGCAGAGCCGTAAGGGTTGGCTAGATACTGACTGGTAAGGCTTCGAGCCACAACTCTTTGACTATCTCAGAGTCTGCTGTCGAATTTCCTGCAAGGGATTGCAGGCGCGTGAGGTGGTGGCTCGGCTTAGCATCACCCATAGGGTGACGTGCTAATAGAGTCCTCAATCGTTCCTCTCTTGATCGGAGGAAGTGTCGAAGGATGGCATCCTTAAGACGGTCGTAAACGTTCGGAACGTTCGGATTGAGGACAACCTCACGAACAGCAGTTAGGTGATCCCCGGGCAATGATTCCAAAGCATAGGCGTACTTTTGCCTTTGGTTGGTTATGCGGCGGATCTCAAATTGAGATTCCAGTGCCGCGAACCAGACTTCTGGATCATGAGGGATGAAAGAAACCGGTCGAAAATTAATAGCCTGTACCTCGGAGTCTATTATATTTATACTACTCTTATCGTTATCCACCATAGTAAGTTGCCAAGATATTCTATATTGAAAAATATCAATACGAATATATTGCAACAGATGTGGATAGATAAATAGACTCACTGGATTGATCTGGTTTGGAGAATTGGCCAAGTTTGATTGTGCTCGAAGAATTGGGTTACTGGTTGTGGTTCACCAGATGCTGTGCGTGTTCCTAATACGGCTCACCAGTTTGTAGCGGATGTCGAGTCGAAGGCGGACTATGATCACCACTACAATTCGTTTACGCGCCCAAAAACGACTTGGTTCCTTTAATAGCTCGTAAATCAGAAAGCTTTATTAATCCAGATCAAGTATATTTATTGGTGATCTTGTGGTATAGAAATAATACCGAGACGTGCCAAAGAGTACAGGTAAAATGGGCAGTGCGTGAGCAAGTTCGAACCAAACAAGGCGGAGAGCGAAACAAGAAGTGAAACTGATACAGTTAAACAAATACAGTAAAACAATCTCCGGTACAATTGGCTACAATAATAATAATTGTTTCCGTTATTCCAATCGTGTTCTTATCGAGACTGGCCGGTCACTACAAAGTGGTTCAAGAGACTTCCCAGGAGTCTTTCGAAATGAAACTTGATATATTCTGAAGGACTAAGGACAGTATTTTACTATAATTTGCCAACATCTCTCTTTTTATCAATAAACTAACCTAGATTCCTATGTGGAGGCACCCGTGATACAATAGGTTTCTTTTCCGTCCACAACAATTTTTACTGTTTGATGTTTTACTTGTTTCATAAACATAGATATTCGTATGGGGAAATAAGTGCTCAACTGCCACAAGAAACATCAGTACCTGGAATAAAATCTCACAGTTTTCCATTCATAACTATTTAAGGCCTTAGACACGAGAGCACAGAACGTATTGGGAATTGAAATGATGAGCAATCCGCAATTGCTTGCGTTACCTTGACAGGGGGATATCTATACATTATGGCTAAATACAATAAGGATGAGCGTTGGTAAAAGGAAGTTCACACAACACATCATACCCAACCCCCAACCCTTTAAACTCAAAGATGGTTCATCAGTGGGAAATAATGAGCTCGCTGAACAGATGGTTTGAACTTATGCTATTAATAAACTGGTTTATTTTAGTGGTGTTCATCTATTTCTATGCCGATTGACTACGAGGAATATGTTACAAAAAATAAGGCACTCATTGTTAATGACCCATACCGGGAAACAGTACTTTTTCCTCAAGACGATTTGAAGGTGATTTTTTATCATTTATAATTATTTTACGTTACTTGGAGTTAAATTTTTGACACAAAGCTGTATACCTATTCCAAAGTAGACAATTGTCTTTGTGCATTCTCCACAATTTTAAACCTGGAATATTTTTTATAAGGTTGAATGGAATTGGTGTTCACTTGTGTAACATGTATGTGTTAAACTTTTTTTCGCTCTTCAATGCGAAATCTTAATTATTTTCAAACCAGTGAAGCAATGCATGGTAAATTTTTAATGTGGCTCAAATCTTTCTTCGGGGTCTGTGTTTTATGTGTTTAAATTTATGAAGTTCGATATTTTTCTCGGCACTCAGCACCTTTTGATAGCTATCAAAATCTCCTCACAGTATCCCTAAAAATGTAGGCGTTTATAATTTAGCTTTGGAAGTAATCCTGTATGTGTGGGTTCTTTTCATATGGCTTTATGTATTAGTGTAGATCATGCTCGTATTCTTCATTTGTTGTCTGTCCAACCAAACAAATTAGGTTTGTAGGCAAACTGGTGTACCAGTCATAATATCTCACCAGATGTGTGTATATTAATCCACTCATGTATTTCAGGTGGTCAAAATTCCTCATATTCATCGAACGTTGAGCAGTGTTGTTCCCGAGGCTGCACTTAAACATGATTTATTTACTTCAAATGCATTGGCACGCCATGCGGTATCATTTTTTGCTACAACTGAATGGACCTATATTCAACAAATATCTTCCATTTATCGCGGAAATTTTCTCGCGCTTCCGTTCAAGAAGTAAGGTCTTACGTTTTGAATTTTCGTATTGTATTGTGTATGTAAGATCAATGTATAGTTCATTTTAGTCGTTAGCATCTTTATCAACTCTTGTGTTTAGTTTATACAATAGTAATAAAACACTTTCGTAAATGAGGGATTTCTCACTGTTATCTGAAAATATTTGACAGTGGATCTAAAACTATATTCATGTAAAACTTACTAACTTACGTTGTACACTCTGCTAAAAGTAGTTCAGTTAATTACAAATGAATTACTCAGTTTTATTGGGAAAATGTTCCAGTTGTTTTTGATGTTGGTTTGTTCTCTGAGCTGAGAACAAACCAACATCAAAATCATCCACCTGAGCTACAAGTCTTCTCCGTTCCAGTTGTTTGTTTATAAAGATTCCCTGATTACGATATGTCTTTGTGTGATATCTTACTTATGTAGTCAAGTGGTTTATGGATCGGAATAATATCAAATTACCTATGATTAATTACTTGAGCTTTTGTTATTCCGGCTAAAAGTTGTAAATGTAGGTGGGAATTCGCCTGAGCTATGGGTTGTGTGAAAAAAGCACTAACACAGTTGGTGGATTTTATTATTAGTTTTGTTAAAAACCATATTCTGACCTGTCAAATTCATCTGGTCCTGTGATTAATTTTACGACCGTTAAAGTTTAGATTGCGACTTACAGGCCTTAAGATAAAAGTATGGCTTGTAAATCAACTGAGTAATTCTGAAGTTAGGTGTAGGGGTGAAGTTTCATCCTTCGACGTAATCGTGTTTTTCACTCAGAACAAGTTTTAACGTTCTCTTTCGTTAGATTTGAATTGTCTTATTCAATCTTTTTATCTATGACAAGACATTTCTAACGTTTGGTAGTCAATCATTTGAAAATGTTCTCTAATATATTTAATGCAATTAAATTTTGATGAACACTTCCTTATCATACAATCGAACTGTTTTGATTACAGTGATATTGATGAGTTAGGCGGAACATTATCCCAATATTGGTTTTCAATTGATCAGTCATTCTCCAATAAAGACAGTCCCAATCATATTTTAGATTCAGATTATCTATCAACTAACACTGGCTCAAAAATAAGATCAGCTACAGGATTTCAAGTTCGTAGTCGTCGGTCAGCTACAAGTGGCCTAATAAGAACTGGTCAAAGTGTTTCCGAAACAGCTACTTCTAGTTCAGATAACCGGTTTGCAGGAAATTTTCAACCTAAAGATAATTTAAAATTAGAGAGAATCAACTCAGACACCAGTTTAACAAAACGTGGCAGTAAATCAAAAGATATAGGACAGACTGACGAAGAATCAATCAATGATATTACTACGAATTTGAGTTTTAGTGGGAAACAGTTTGAAAATGTAAAGTTTTCAGTAAGCGTATTATTTGACTTCTCACAAAACTATCTATCAATCTTTTTAAAATTATTTCGTATCGTTGTTATCCATGCTGAGTGTACTTCAGAATGTACTTTTGATTATCAACACTGCGTTGCATTTTTGAACGAATTATCTAATATATTGTTTAGTTCGAAATGAGTGGTCGAAGTCGTTGTACTCGTATTTTATCTTTCTCATATCTGTCAGTAAGTCATTTACAATTATTCCCGAAAATTTTTAGTTAAGATAAAATAAATTTGATGTTATCTAGTCATAGATTCATGTACTAGACTTAGCCGTGATACTACTGAGTTATCTCAAATTTTTGACCATTCTTGTTTTTAAGGTTGAGTATCTACCATATGGCGGGTTAATTCGGTTGCTAAAGAATTCAAATTTTAAGTAGAGATTTATAAAATTCAATGCACTGCTCTTATAGTGATCGAAGCGGCCTAGCAGTGTTGTTATTTCATAAGTTCATAGATGATAATGTATACTACCTTGGAAATATAACATTTGTAGTTCAGTTACTTCCATTGTACTTGCATAACTAATTGCTTTAAGTTATTTGTAATGCAGAAACTTGTAAATGGTAGTCAGTCAGTCAGCTACAACGTAGGATCAGATGCAGTTATGCATCGATCCAAGTTGCCATACCTCATTAGCACAACAACATGAACACCGAATTCATAGAAGTAGTTAATTTAATAGTGGTAATATGTAAAAGAATGGTTGTATATAGGAATAGAGTATAGGAAGGAAGAACGTTATGAAGCAATTTTAATCTTAAGGTTTAAAGGAAGATAAATAGTGTATACACCTGCGGCATTATGATAGATTCTGAGCCATGTCACCTAGAGTATCCAACAATTGGTTATAATAGTCACGCGGATGCCAACCAGGTAGTCTGGATCTACCAACATGGCTCAGACTAGAAGTTAGTGACTTCAAGCACTGATACCCTGTTTTGGTTTGGCCGCTCCTAACTTTCTTCCAATCATCCCCTACACTAGTCAGCATAGCGCATCGTGGTGATCGGTGTTCAGACATACGTAACACATGGCCCAACGATCTGAGTCGATGAAGATTAATGACCTGATTTACCATCATCATTCCCTAATACCCTGTGTCTAACCTCACTATAACTTACCCGGTGATCCCAGCAGATGCGAGCAATATTTCTAAGGCATCTGTGGTCGAATACTAGTAACTTCCGAGTATCTTCTACTCTTAATGGCCACGTTTCACAGCCTTAAAGTGGAACAGAGCGAAGTACTGTGCAGTATACTTGTCCCTTAATTGATAGACGGATATCTCGTCTTCGCCATAGGTGATGTTAGTTGGCACAAGCCAAACGAGCTTTTTGAATCCGTGCTGAGATTTCGTCAGACACCAACCCATTATGGTGGATCAGACTTTCAAGATAAGTGAAGTTGTCTACGCGTTCGACTACTTCACTCCCTATCCTTAGTTTAGGTGCTGACGCACACCAATCCTGGAGCAACAATTTACATTTAGAGGGGGAGAAACGCATGTGTAAATGGTAACCAATTTCATGATCTGTAATCCAAAGAATTAAATTATCTTAGATGACTGTCGTGAAAAACACACTTTTTCTATAAAGTAATGAGAGTGATGCGGGATTTTTATGGCTTCTTGTTTGATCCCACTAACATAGTTATGTTTGCAACAGTCATACTCTGACAGAAAACTTGAATAAAGGACCATAGAGTTTGTGTGGGACAGTCAAAATAGACCATTTTGTAATTTGTTTTGGTACTATTTGCATTTTTCATCACTTCTTACAATGTGTACAGTAACCATTATCGCCTGTAAAACTGTCGTTTAAAAAAACATAACCTTTGATATTCCGTTCCGGTTTGTGAACATACACAACATGACCCATTGACCATCGCTCACAAATACTCTGCTGCACACATGGGCTGTGTCTAGTTTCTGGACAGATCAATCTGTCCATTCATCTTTAACCACATTTTGACCTTGTCACTTATTGGCGTATTTATTCTGACTATTTGTAGATGAGCGTATGTGTTGATTACTTATCCCATTCATCATATGTTTGTAACTTATTTTTGGTCTGACTATAAATATTGAGTAACGCTTGATTAAATGGAGTTTGCTCACACACCTCCACCGCGCGTCATTTTGCTTCGCTCTCTTCTCTGTGTTTACTTCGCTCCGTTTCTCTCATTGTCTGTTCTGATCAACGATTGCGTGGAATATACGTTTTCAAACTCCATTCTCCTATTTGACCTATTGAATTCCGTTATTCATAAACGTGATTCAAGTCGATGAAATATACAAGGATTGCCGACATATATATCTTGACATCAAGCAGCAAACAACCTAATTGGAGTCAGATTATGGACCACTAAATTGGTGAGCCCACCAACGACAAACCTAACGTAGCAAACTACGTCGTTGAAGAACCTTCTGCACTCCATACTTTCGACGGAAAAACTCAGGGAATCCAGCTCAATCAATAAACAACGCAGATTTCGACCGTAAAATCAAATCGAGGAGAGATCACCGAACCACTAAAGTGGTAAGCCTGACTAGATGCACCCTGAAAATCTTTACAGACGGTGAACCTCTCGAACTCTATGCATCTGATAAACGAACTAAGTGGTCGACTTAGTCGACGAGCAACTCAAGCGACTCAATCTTTAATCCAACGCACTCAGCGAAGCCAGTAAAGCAGCAACATGGACATATTCAAATCATATTATCTTATTAACATTTTATCCTTGTATCAACTGTGCCCATCGACCTATTTGGCGGATCGTTACATTATGATTACAATATTTATCATAGTCTCATTACCACATCAATGTCACATCATTGCTGTTCGTTAGTATTAAATTATGACATTTACATAATTATATCACTCATTCATCAAATCACAATTATATGAACAATCCATTTAAGTTATATTTTTGACTCGTCAACTGGATGTACATGCACCCTAGACTTGATGTTCACTCTGGGATTCGAATTTATTACCGTTCTCTCCAAACACCACCGCGTTATCCACTTAGCTACTGAGTCCTGATAGCCACTGGCTTATGTAATGGGTACATCCAGTTGACGAGTCAAAAATATAACGAAACATTAATAGGAAAATTCAAACAAACAATGTCAAATGAATAGTCCAATAAATTTTGAATTTAATAACTTAAATGGATAATATGATTTGAGCATATCGATGTTGCTGCTTTACTGGCTTCGCTGAGTGCGTCGTTTGAGTTGCTCATCGACTAAGTTAACTACTTAGTTCGTTTATCGAATGAATAAAGTTCGAGAGGTTCACCGTCTGTGTAGATTTGCAGGGTGCATCTAGTCAGGCTTACCACTTTAGTGGTTCGGTGATCTCTCTTCGAAAACTGTGTTGTTTATTGATTAAGCTGGATTGTCAAACCCATACATTATTGTTTTATCTGTCTTCTATATGTATTTTATGCATAGATATTCATTTTCATCTTTATTATTCACAGTCCACCTATTTAGAATGTCAACTTATGTTATGTAATCGTGAGAAATATCAAGATTATATACGTATTCTAGAAGCATTCCTATCTTCTGGTGTAGATAAAAATGTTAATCAAACAAAATTATTATTTAAAAATAATGAAACAAAATATTATTGTTTAAGACAAATACAAATAGAAGAATTATCTGAAAGTGATAGACAAAAAACTTCATTGGAATCTACTGGGAGAATTCGAAATTTATCCGTTGGTTTACATGTTATAGCACCTTGTGATTGGCGTGCATCCAAAGTGTACTCATCATCTTATGAGAATGAAAATATTATATATTTGGGTAAATTTGTATCATTATTATTATGATTATCATTAATATGATTAATAAACCCCAATAGCTTAGTGGAAAACGTATTGGTGTTTGAAGTGGAAGGTGCTGCCTTAGAGTTTCAGCGCCCCCAAATGCCCTGGTATGGCCGAGAGTGGGGAGAGTTCGCTCTTCCTCTCCAAATGCTCTCACATGGCCACGCGTATATAGCTTCTGTCAGAGAAGTCCTACTCACTGCCTTCTCGTGACGTGGGTGTTGTTTACAGAATTGAGAGGACGAAAAGCGAATGTCCGACGCTTTAACCGGGTTGGTGGGTGTGGAGTGTCCACTTAGGGGAGTTGGGAAACCCTGATTCAAAACCAATGATGCACATGGGCTGGCTCCAGTATCCTGAAGGAACGAATGACGTATGAATCAATTGTTGGTCACCGGCTACCATGAGACTGCATCTCCTCACGATGCTCCACCGCTTTGTGGATCAGACCTTTAGGTCGAAAGCTCCGGGTGTGGCCCCCTAAGAAAACTACTCGCTTCTCTTTTGGCACCTGAGCAATATCACGGCCCTCACACAAATCTCATTTGATTTGTGTGGCGCATATGTATCTGGTACCCCTTTGTACCGATATTTGTGTATGAATAATAATAAATAGAGTTTCAGCGTGAACGTTAACATTAGTTCGAAATTATATCCAGTCAAAGACTTCCAAATAGGATGAAATATACGTTCTAAATTCCACTGTTGGCCGTTATCCAACTTTAGCAAATACTTTTGATTATATGATAACATCGAGGTAGTTGGCCCAGGATAGCCATAGTTCTACTGCTTTAAGATTTATCTTGGTAATGTCATCTTGCTGTGCTAAGGTGATATGGCACTTTGAATTAATGTACTTACTTAATAATAATAATAATAATACTTGCCGATTTCCACATTGCTTATTACTGACTAGTGCGGATAGGGACTGACCGATTCGTCTTTAACATCAACAACGGAACAGTACAAATTATTAGCGGATTGTTTCTTTGTCAGCAGGAAATCTATTAATATACATTCACTAGCAAAGATTGATAATTAATAATTCACTAAGTCCTATGTGTTTTGTGAGTCTGAAAGAAAACTCAGTGTGTGTGTTTATGTGTGACAAGAGATAGAACTGTACGTGTACATGTTCTTCTTTATTGATAATTCTCATAAGGTTTTCAACCTATAACACTTCCACAACCCTAGTTTTATACTCTGGCCATATATGTTCGTACGTTAGTCCATGAACTATACTTCGTGTACGAGAGGTAGTGATGCTAACTAACTACTTACCTAAATTACAATAAGCAGAATGAATCAAATTTGTCTTATTTTCATCAATTCTCTACAGATACAATTGAATCGGCACGCTCAATTGGTGATTATTGGATTCGGCTGGAAAGATTATTACCATCATCAACATCATCATTGTCACCGGTGCCATCGTGTACACCAACATTAAATTCTATCCAACCATCATCCAATCAATCATCAACACCTAATAATTCTCTATTAAATGACGAAATATTTATTTATTTCGATCCTGGAATGAGTGATGTATTGGAGAAACGACAACTATGGTTGAATGCAATAGAGTTAGCTCTAAAATTGGAACATTGTAGACGACGTATGGGTTATCATCATCAGTCAAATGCACATTTTCACGAGAATTCAAACTCCACTGGTAGTAACAAACTTGATTTATTCAACAAATCTAACGATACAGATTCAGTACGCAGTGCCTTACAACGGGTAGGTTGGTTTTCATCTTTATATATGTAACACTGAAGTCAAATTACGATCTTCAGATTATGTCGATCACAGGATTATTGGTTTGCCATTGTTATTGATCATTCATCGTGAGCGTATTATCTGGATATAGACTTCTAGTTACATGTTTTAATGTGATTGAATTGTAGTTAGCAGTGGAATCCTGATATCATGTTTTAATCTTATCACAAACCCTTACCACTACATTCATACCTATTGAACAAGTAAGTAGTAGCTTAGTGGATAATACGTTGACGTCTAAGACTATAGGCACTTGGCTGGAGTCGGATTGTAAACATCAATACTGAAGTAGAGGTAAATCAAATTGACAGTGGCAGTGGCTGTATGCGAGTGGCCATATGGGAACATTTGAAGGGAGAGATTTGACTCTCCTCATCCTCGACTGTACCATTGCGCTTGGGGGGGTATACTCAAACTACCAGAATACAGATGTATACGTGCGGTTTTGATGTATTTTGGTTCAAAAGTCTAGCTTTGTTTCTAAATTTCTTCAATAAACGTATTGCACATCACTTTTGTTTTTCTTTTGTAAATTCTTTATAAAACAAGTATGCTCAAGAAACAGAATTGTTTGTAATACGTCAACGTCAAAAAGATCGAATCAAATTAATTACACTATTTCCAGAAGTTAGAGTAAGTTTGCTTTCATGGTTTTATTTTGTTTTGTTTACTCATCAATGAATGTATCATGTAATTCTACTCAATTTTACTGTTGTTGATTAGTAACCAACAGCACTGTACTATAGTTTTTATTGATAACCATATTCTGTCTATCAGTTCGCAGTTGTTACATTGGTTATTTTACTGACTCAATGTCATTCCTCATCTTGTTAAGATATTGGTTAGTTAGAGCCAGTTGTCAAGAGGTTTGAAACATAGGTTTTGTACTAGTTTGTGGCATGTACTACTTATGTCGATAGATATAAGTAGTATGTAGCACCAATTGAAAGTGGAATGCCTGGCAGCAGAAGGTTGAGAAGATTGAATAGAAGAGAACAGAAATAGAGAGTGATTGTTATGGAAATGAAGGAACAATAAAGTCTGAAACAAGTGATGGACGTTTTGCAAATGTAGTACTGAACGTACAGTGTTCATATTTCACCAAATAACTCTGTAATTCTATAGTGATAAACACATTTTATCGTCATATGTTTTCGTTTATTACAGTTGACGGTCTTTGACAAAGTTTATCGTAAGTTGATATTTCAGGTAGAATTCGGATCAATATCTTACATTGATATTGTCAAAAAGTTAAATAGCTGAACAATTCGTGCCTTGATTGACCACTTACGCAGTCATTAAATATTAACCGGTATCATCTTATATAGTCTTTATTAGTTATCAGAGTTTATAAATGGAATGACTCAATGATTTGACTGAAGTTTTCAGAGATTTTAAGTATATCTTTTTGTGATGTGTGCCAATTGGTAGGTTACTGAGTCTAATGGACTTATTAACTCTCATCCAATCACGTACTAAATCGTATCACCGATTAACATTTCGATTGTCTTCCAAATTTTTAATGATAATGGTTGTAAATTCCTTAAAGCTTCTTAGCGCTTCTTAACAAACGTTTTTGTAAACATGTAGGAATGAGCTTAAAATGACTGACTGTTAGTCTAGCAGAAAATAGCTAATTTAAATGAATTCCGAATTAGGTGTTGTGTTCATTTATGTATATACATAAATATTGGTACAAGGAAGCACCAGATACATATGCGCCTCACAAATCTCCCATGATTTGTGTAAGGGCTGGGATACTGCCTGGGTACCAAGAGAGAAGCCAGTAGTTTTCTTAGGGGGCCACACCCGGAGCCTTTGACCTTAAGGTCTAATCCAAATGGCAGTGGAGCATCGTGAGGAGATGCAGTCTCATGGTAGCCGGTCACCAACGATTGATTCATACGCCATTTATGCCTTCAGGATACTGGAGCCAGCCCATGTCTACCGTTGGTTTTGAATCAGGGTTTTCCAACCCCCATAGGTGGACTTTCCGTGTCCACCAACCCGGTTAAAGCGCCGGACATTCGCTTGTCGTCCTCTCAATATCGTAAACAACACCTCCGTTACGAGAAGACAGTGAGTAGGAATTCCCTGGCAGAGGCTATATTCGCGTGGCCATGTGAGAGCATTTGGAGAGGGAGAGCGGACTCTCCCCACTTTTGGCCGTACCAGGACATTTGGGGTGTTGTGTAGTCGGAATCAGAGTTTGAGTTAGAATGAAGGATTTAACTTTAAGGTTGCTTTGGGTGTTATCTACGTTATCTTCATAGAAAGAGTTCAGTATCGAGTACCTTTGACAATTAATATCTTTATTCCGTAATGACGGTACATAATATAAGTCATGTACGTTCTAATTCTGTGCCAAAAACCCAAGATCTCTTCATTATTCTGATTGGTTTGTTACTATGCTTTACTTTCACCTTGTTTGCAATACTTGAAAGTATAAACACACATAATAAGTCATTATTCTTTTTGAATGATTGAACCAAATTCATTCTTATGTCAAATAGTTTTTGTTTATTAACTATTTAAACAATTTAAACTAAAATTAATGACAATCAATATATTACTACCTATATCAAATTCATTAAGTGATATGTTCTAATTTCCAATTCATCTATTTCAATCAAATATGTCCATATTTGACCTTAGGTCCAAGTTTTACTTAGTGATGATGAGTCAGTAACTCAGTCAGCTACAACGTAGGACCAGGCACACATGTGCATCGGTCCAAGTTGTCATACCTCATTAGCACAACAACATGAACACCGAATTCATAGAAGTGGTTAATTTAATGGTGGTAATATGTAAAAGAATGGTTGTATATAGGGATAGAGTATAGAAAGGAAGAAAGTTATGAAGCAATCTTAATCTCAAGGTTTAAGGAAAGATAAAGCGTGTATACACCTGCGGCATTATGATCGATTCTGAGCCATGTCACCCAGAGTCTCCAACCATCGGTTACGATAATAAAGCGGACCCCAACTAAGTAGTCTGGATCTACCAACATGGCTCAGACTAGAAGTTAGTGACTTCAAGCTGTGATGACACGTTTTGGTTTGGCCACCCCTAACTCTCTTCCAACCATCGCCAATACTAGTTAGCATAGCGCGTCGTGATGATTGGTGTTGAGGCATATGTAACACGTGGCGCAACCATCTCATTCGATGAAGATTCATGGCCTCATCAACTGGTTTACCATCATCATTCCCTAATATCCTGTGTCTAACCTCACTATAACTTACCCGGTGATCCCAGCAGATGCGAGCAATATTTCTAAGGCATCTGTGGTCGAATACTAGTAACTTCCGAGTATCTTCTACTCTTAATGGCCACGTTTCACAGCCTTAAAGTGGAACAGAGCGAAGTACTGTGGAGTATACTTGTCCCTTAATTGATAGACAGATAGTGTTGTTGAGTACAAATGGTATAAGTTTTAATGTATATAACATACCAGTGTTTATGGAGAAAGTGAATTTTCATTCATGGTTTTAAAGATTATAAAGTGCACACAGATACGAGGGAGGTAAAGTTAAATATACATAGTATTATCGAAAATATCACCTTAGTATTTTTGGTCAAACTATGTGAGATGAAGTGTACCTTCTTATTATTGCATGTCTTCTGTGTTAAACATATCATTCCAACAGTAATAAAGGTGTATTATCACTGAAGGTACTGATCACCCTCAGAAGAGGTATTATGGCTGTTTCACCTCACTGCATTCTTCAGTATGTTTTTCTACGTAAATATTAAACTGAAAATTTACAGCTTTGATCCTTATTACTCCTCGGTAGATTGATTTAATGTCAAATGATTTCAAGAGAAACTTTGGATCTAAATTTTTGTCCCCATCCGTAAGGAGTAAAAATAATCTTGTTCAGGTGATGTTGAGTTACTTAAAGTAGTAGCCGTATTATAATTCGATCAGATTTAAGTATTAGACAAACATGATATTGAAATTCACTTGCTGTTGTTTGGTTGAATTCTTCCATTGGCGTTTAGGACTGCAATTGATCGGTCTCGTATTGGCCATATGTACATACTGTGCATATTACCTCTATATAGCCTTAATTCACAAGCATTATAAGTAAAGATGGATAATGGCTAGCAGTGGAATCCAGTTTGACGCGCGTTTCGTCCTATTTGGGACTCGTCGTCTGTATGTACCTGCATTTCAGAGTTGATGTTCACTCTTTGACTCAAACTCAATACCGTTCGCTTCAAACCCCATTGCGTTACCAGGATTCAGTAGCTCAGTGGATAACGTGATGGCGTTCGAAGCGAACAGTACTAGGTTCGAGTCCCGGAGTGACTATCAACTCTTTGCTTATAAACATGACATTGGTTATTACTCAGTGATCAGTTCATATGAACACGTCTATATTTGATGTCGCGTTCAATAATAATAATACATATTGAATCGTTGATCTAGTCTATCATTTAAACACTTCAGTCATCTCTCTTTGATACGTTTAAGTAACCTTGTGCAAAACATATCACTGGAGAAGATACTTTTGTTTTATTATTTTTCTTTATCTTCTCAACATTAGATACAACAACATAATATTAAAATGTATTCATCATACGAAAATAGTAATATAATAATGAACAATTTGAAAGATTCATTTTCACCATTTCCTGAACGTACAATTGAATTATGTAGTCGACGATATTTAGCTACATGTTTATGTTTACATTCAAAAATTCAAGCTAATTTGGAAATTTCAGGGAATTCATCATCTTCCTATTTAGATAATGTAAGTTTTTTTTTTCTGCCTATTTCTATCTTGTTATAACTTCTTTTATTACGACCCAGCTTAGTACTCTTGGATACCAGTTCACTCGACAAGTCCCCAAATCAAAACACGGTTGGACAAGAACGAAATGTATATTCCAAATAACAAAGGTAAATAAGAGTAGGAAACAATAAGAAATACGTTAGTATATTTAGGATCTTCTCCAAGTATCGATTAGCGCTGATTGGGTAAGAATTAGCCAATCAGTGTCTACTAACGCAATAGTGTGTGGAACATGCTTCAATCTAATCTATGTCCCACCAACATGTCTACATTTTAATATTTTTTATACAAATATATTTACAGTTGAATTCATCAGTCAATTAAAGCTAGACCACCATCGAAAACCTGGAAGCACTGGACGGTCATTTCGTCCGAGTATGGAACTCCTCAACAGTACACATCCATGATCCCACCCACGGGATTCGAATCCAGGGCCTATCGATTTCGCGCTCCGTGACCAGTGGAGTTCAACCAGGTTGGTTGTGAGGTAGTAACTCACTGAAGACAATGAAGGACAGTGGCACAATTTCGTGGATTGATTAAAGTTAGATATTAACACTGTTGGATCCCGGCTCAGTGATCTCGAGGTTAAGCATTCGCGCGCGAGACCGATAGATCCTAGGTTCGCGTGTGATGCGCGGGATCATGGATGCGCGCTGCGGAGGAGTCTCATAATAGGGTGAAACAACCGTCCAGTGCTTTTAGATTTTCCATGGTGGTCTAGCTTTAATTGACTCATGAATTCAACTATAAAATTACTAAAATCTCCACAAAATCCCCTTCTGAAAATATATTTACATTTCTTTGTTACAAATATGATTTTCATTTCATAATACTTTTGTATATAGAGAATTTAGTTACTAACATGAATAATTGGTATGATCAACTTTCAACCACTGTTTGAGTAGTTTATTAGAATATCGTTCGAAATATGAACCTACACGAAAACGAACCGGGAAGTGATAACTGCCCTCATACCTCTAACAGCACTCAAGATCACTGTATTCATAATCACTGGCCGACACTTCATTTGTGTACTCATGATTCTGACCACTAGCATACTTTCTATTGACCAGTGTATTCTACTTGAATCGACGCTATGTAGTACAACTTTGTGTGTATAGCAGGAGGTGAATCAGTCTATTCGGTGTAGAACAACTAAAATAAAATACAGACAAATAGTTTATTGCAAATCTGATCTCCAGTTTGGCCATAAAACCACTTAGTAGAATTTAGTGATATAAGGTATATGCAATAGAATAGAACATGCTACATTCGAACGAAACGGATTTGCTGTTTCACTTATCTGTTTGTTCCAATGTAGGGAGAGAGAGAAAGAGGAAAATGAATAACTGATGTGTTTGTATATTTACAGTATCTTTTTGTCGATACTTTTAGCCAGAACCATATTTTGTTACTATTTTCCTTGTGGATATCAATGATGGACGTCGTGTTAGTGAAGATTTCTACTGGAATCCTAATTCATCAATAATCGATTCTATGTTACCAACAGATCAATTCAAAAATTTACCATGGTTTTCATCTAATAATCAATATTTTGAAACAACCAATGATAATCATAATTCAACATCTAGTCAACCAAATATTATTTCATCACCTAATCGAACAACACGTAGACATGCTCCACCACCGCCATATCATAATCTTATCTCTCCATATGGAACACGGAGTTCTATTTCATCGGATTGTTTGTATAAATGTCGTACAGTAAGTTGTTATGTTCTATTCTTTTTTTATTTTTGCCTAATTGTTTTACTTAGCATTGACATTGGAAATATTGGTTAGGTCCTGGGTTCGAATCTCGCTCGCGGGGCGGGATCGTGGATGCGCACTGCTGAGGAGTCCCATAATAGGACGAAACGGCCGTCCAGTACTTCCAGGTTTTCCATGGTGGTCTAACTTCAATTGACTCATAATTTCAACTATGAAAATACTGAAATATCCACAAAACCCCTTCTGAGTGTATACTTTGTTTAACTTATAAACTTTTGCATAAATACTATGTGGTTTCAATGATCAGTTATATTTACTCTAAAAGTTTGATCGATTGAAGTTGTTAGTGTAATTGTACTTTTGCAATTATACAATTTTAAATCAGCCTGATTTTAGTGTTCAATCAGGGCTTTTTTAAACTAAGAAGTTTCCTTCAAATCTCTTAACTTTAAAACTTTAGGTTTTTGCTGTATGTGTGTATCAAGTACATATTTATATTACTCATCTTTGAGTTGCACTGTTTTACGTGTGTAGGAAAGCGAGTAGTAATACTAGTTATGACAAAATAAAGTAGGTAGTTTGGGGTTGTAATATGCATCTTAACGATCTGGAGGCCGTCGGTAGCCCTGGTAACCATGAGGTTACGTAGACAATATAAGGGTAAACGGCCGGTGTAAATATATTAACAGGATTGTGGATTTTATTTTTTTGATTAGAAGGTATTTTTAAAATTATCAATTTATGTTTTATTTATTTATTTAAACAAATAAATAGTGATACAAAGAGGCACCAGATATATATGCGCCACACAAATCTCATTTGATTTGTGTGAGGGCTGTGATACTGCCCAGGTGCCTAAACTGAAGTAGGTGGTTTTCTTAGGGGGCCACACTCGTAGCCTTTGACCTAAAGATCTGATCCACAAGGCAATGGAGCATCGTGAGGGGATGCAGTTCCATGTTAGCCAGTGACCAACGATTGATTCATACGCCCCTTAGGGCGTATGAATCAATATCCCCTATGAATTCATGTCCCCTTAGGATACTGGAGTCAGTCCATATGCACCATTGGTTTGGAATCAGGGTTTCCCAACTCCCCTAAGTGGACACTCCACACCCACCAACCCGGTTAATGTGCCGGACATTCGCTTTTCGTCCTCTCAATTTTGTAAACAACAGTAATGCCACGAGAAGGCAGTGAGTAGGACTTCCCTGGCAGAGGCTATATACTTGTGGCCATGTGAGAGCATTTGAAGAGGGAGAGCGGATTCTCCCCACTCTATGCTATACCAGGGCATTTGGGGGCATTACATTAGATTATTTGTTTTTAATTCTATGGTAATGAATGAACTAATATCATTGATATAATTCTATAAAGAATATTATCATTCATTGTATATAAATGATTCATATATAACCATAAATGGTATACATCATCTGTACATATTTGAAATTTTCTCATCATAACAATCATAATTGTAATCTTTAACATAATCATTCCATATCAGATATACACACATTCAGTAGATTTAGTCGTTTATTCATCGACGGTATTCATTTGTTTAATTTGGCGAGATTATAATTTATGAACGACCTATGAACGAATCTTAATTGACCTTGAGAAATGTTAGCCAATCAGTAAACAGTTAGCATAGAGTAAAAATATATCATACAAAACCAAATAATTAAAGTAGATACATTCCTTTTACATAGTCCAAAAACTTGTCAAGGTTAGGAAGAGGTTCAAAGATTCCAAAATCGTAGACAGATATATCGTCTTCACTATAGGTGACATAAGTTGGCAAAAGTCAAACGAGCTTTTCAAATCCGTGCTGAGATTTCGTCAGACACCAACCCATTAGAGCTGATCAGACTTCCAAAATAAGTGAAGTTGTCGACGCGTTCGACTACTTCACTCCCTATCCTTAGTTCAGGTGTTGATGCATGCCAGTCCTGGAGTAACAATTTACATTTGAATGGGGAGAAACGCATCCTAAACATCCTGGCATTATTACTCAGTTCTAACAGAAGACTCTGCATTTTGCCAGCGTCTTCACCAAACAGGACTATGTCATCTGCGTATTCTAAGTCGCTTAGTGGTCCCCCTGGTAGGAGATTAATTCCTGTAGATTCAGTCGAACAGAGTGTTATTTCCAGCCACAGGTCTATAATGAAGTTAAACAAAAATGGGAATAGTGGACAGCCTTGACGGACACCACTTGAGGTTGTAAAATCATATGACAGTTCGCCATAAGCTCTCACTCGACTAATAGTGTTCGAGCAAAGAGCCTTCAAAAGGTTTATGTACTTCTCAGGTACACCTTTCAATGACAGACACTGACACAGGACCTCTCGGTCTACAGAGTCAAATGCTGCTTTCAAGTCAAGAAAAACTATCATTGTCGGACGCCGATAAACATGTTTGTGCTCTAAAACTTGACGAACGGTGAATATGTGGTCGATACAGCCACGACCAGGTCTGAAGCCAGCCTGATTTTCTCGTGTTTGCAGTTCACGAGTCTTAGTTAGGCGTCCGATAATTATTGAGGCTAGTATTTTAGATGCTATGTTAGTCAGACTAATCCCTCTATGGTTATCACAGGATGATTTTGGCCCCTTCTTATATATTGGGGCAATCAGAGATTGTGACGAAACCGATTGGTTCAAGTGTGGCGTGCGGGATCGTGGATGCGCATTGCTGAAGAGTCCCATAATAGAACGAAACGGCCATCCAGTGCTTCCAGATTTATCATGGTGGTCTAGCTTTAATTGATTCATGAATTAAATTATTAATTTTTAATTTATTTATTGCATATTTAGCTTCCTCTGACAGTACCTAGCCTGTCGTATGCCCTGATGGTGTCGTGACTTTCGGGTTATCTGATCTGCCAAGGGCGATGGGACAGTGCATGACAGTATTGTTGTGTGCTACGTTCATAGAGAATTGTTTACTATATGCATGCAAGTCCGCCCGGTTATTGTTCCTATTTCTGTCCCCAAATGCCCTGGTACGGCCGAAAGTGGGAGAGTCAGCTCTCCCTCTCGAAGTGCTCTCATATGGCCACGCGAATATATAGCCTCTGCCAGGGAAGTCCTACTCACTACCTTCTTGTGGCATTACTGCTATTTACGAGATTGAGAGGACGAAAAGCGAATGTCCGGCGCTTTAACCGGGTTGGTGGACACGGAAAGTCCACCTTAGGCAGTTGGAAAACCCTGATTCCAATCCATGAGCTCCAGTATCCTGATGGAACAAATGGCGTACGAATCAATCATTGATCACCGGCTACCATGGAACTGCATCCCCTCACGATGCTCCACTGCCTTGTGGATCAGATCTTTAGGTCGAAGGCTGCAGTTGTGACCCCTTAAGAAAGTCACTTGTTTCGGTCTGGGCACCCGGGTAGTATCACAGCCCTCACACAAATCGAATGAGATTTGTGTGGCACATATGTATCTGGTGCTTCCGTGTACCAATATTTATGTGTTCGAATAAATAAATAAATAAACTATACCTATCTAACTCTCTGTATTTTAATTTCTTTTTTTTTCCATTGAATTTCTTATCTAGGCATTATTTTCAATTCCATCATGTTATCATGTCAATAATTTGTATCTAGTTGTACGAGTGGATAAAGTACTTAGTGGACCAATGAATACAGTAATTGATAAATACTTGAAAAATACTAATACTACTACTACTACTAATAGTAATGATAATATTAAAACTGGTTCAAGTATACAAAAATCAATGGTGAATTATTGTCGTAATATTGGTCGTTATCGTATGCCATTTGCATGGGGTACAAGGTTAGCTATATGAAATATTTATATCATTTTTTTGAATGAAACTAATGTATATACCCCGATCGTTGCTGCTATCTTGACTTGGTGCTCGGCTTGCCTACCGCAATGAACCAATCGAGCTATACTGGCTGAAATAATCGTTCCTCAAGGTCTTACCGTGCCGGACAAGTTGATTGAACAACAGTAAGATTAAAAGCAGCAAGCCGAAGGTCCGAAGGCGACGTCGTACTGCCGACTGTACAGAGGTGTGACACCAGTAAGCTGTTTCCTTCAGACAACCAGCATAACAGCGATGCTGTCTTCCCACAAGGAGGGGTGGGGTTAGAAAAGGTCGACCCTAAAAAATGCACATCTCACCTTATCCTACGAATTTCCGTCTCTAGCGGTAAGATCCCAACAAGTACGGAGCTAACACGGAAGCTACTCACAGAAAGGTCGTGTGTGACCGACGTCTACAAGTTGTCCTTTGGGCACTGTGGTCACTCTCACAGGTTACTTGGATCACTCCTAACTCAATTTCTTTTTCAGGCACCTCCAGAAGAACCCCTCCACGGTGTGGGCAACCATGAAGTGGAAACTGCCCTCATACCTCTAACAGCATTCAAGAATGTATTTGCTGTCGTATAAATAATAATTTAAGAGCAATAATTGTTAAATCATAAACGTTTCAGTGTTAAAGTTAATTATCATGAAATGAAACAAATACGCGTAGATCGACTATCTGGCTAATGCTATTCATTGATAAGTATACTCACTATAGTCTTTCAACATTTTGTAGTTAAGAGCATGTGTTAATGATAAGCAATCTTAATATTCAACTGATCATTAGATAAATAATACCAATGTCTTGTTTTTTTTCTAATCTGTACTACTGTTAAATTTTCTTTGGATAAAGTCCATTGAACTTTAGTCAGTAGTTTAATTAATTCAACAGCGTATCCACTATTTTGATTGTAAATGGTTGACGAAATCATCAGTTAGTTCTCAACGTAAGTTTCATTCTAATTGAAACTCATTAAAATTGTGTACTTGTTGTCCAAAGGGAACTAATCCTTTCGTGATATTAGAACACTATTCACTCAGTAACACAACCATAGACTTAATCAGTGACCTTATCAATCCGTGAATCATCTGGTACATGACTAAGTTATCTATGCTGATTGAAAACCAATACTTAATGATCATATTGTAATATGAGTTTTTTTATAAACTAAATCTCAATTTCTTTGATAGCTAACTTATTATCTTTGAAAAATAAGCAAACATTAGTTAAAAGCGTGAGCCTCCTCGCCTCGGGAGATTCGAACCCAGGACCTACCAGTCTCGTGCTAGAGCACTTAATCGATAGACCAGTGAGCCGGCATCCGATGGTGTTAATGTCTAACTCCAACCATTCGGTTAAGTGCTCTGGCGCGAGACTGTTAGGTCATTTTTTTGAATCTCACGAGGTGAGGTTGTGGATGCGCACTGCTAAGGAGTCCCACAATAGAACGAAACGGCCATCCAGTGCTTCTAGGTTTTCCATGATGGTCTAGCTTTAATTGACTAATGATTTTAACTATAAAAATACTAAATCTTCACAAAACCCTTTCTGATAATAAAAACAAACATTAAACCTTTCAATTTCTTTTTCATAGACCTTTAAATAGTACAAATCGTTTTATTCATTTATTCAAAATGGATTCTAATAAAATATCTGAACAAGGATTAATTCAATCAGTACAAATGTTATCACATTTATTCATTGATAATAATAATAATAATAATAATAATAATAATAATAATAATAATCTATTACTTACATATCATGATCGATATACAGATATAACAAGTACTACTAATACTACTACTACTAATAATGATAATAGTAGTATAAATGAAAGTAATCATAATTATATTCCAGAATCTATCAATCAAATGTTAAAAATAGATTCAAATAAATCAAAATTATCAAAATTTATTAATAATAATAGTAATACTAATAATAACAGTTCTATACTAAAAGATGTTACAACTTATTTAACCGAACAAGATCGACTCTTTGTTGAAGCGATTGAACGTTCACTTAAAACACAAATGTTACCTTTTCAATTTGAATTAGTTATTAGTGAACTGATTGATCATGATATTGATCCTAATGCAAAAATTTTATCACGTAAGTGTTAAGTCTCTTTTTTTTTTACATTTATTTTTTCTTCCATTTGCTTTAGTAATATATTAATCAGGATAATCTTGTACTTAGGTGTATAGATGTTATAATGTGTGGCCGCCCTCAAATGCCGTAGTACGGTTGACAGTGGAGAGGATCTGCCTTTTCTCTCGAAATGCTCTCACATGGCCACGCGTATACAACCTTTGTCAGGGAAGTCCTACTCACTGTCTTCTCGTAAAGAGGGTGTTGTCTACAAAAAAAAATGAAAGGATGGAAAGCGAATGTCCGACGCTGTAACTGCGTTGGTGAACACGGAAAGTTCACCTATGGGAGTTGGAAAACTCTGATTCCAAACCAATGGTGCACATGGGCTGGCTCCAGTATCTTGAGGGAACAAATGGCGTATGAACCAGTCGTCGGTCACCGGCTGCCATGCGACTGCATCTCCTCACGATGCTCCACTGCCTTGTGGATCAGATCTTTATGTCGAAGGCTCCGCGTATGGCTCCTCAAGGAAACCACGTGCTTCGGTCTGGGCATCCGGGTAGTATCATAACCCTCATACAATTAAATGTAATGACAATTTTTTGTGAGGCGCATATGTATCTGGTTCCTTTTTGTACCAATATTTATGTGTTCAAATAATGATAATAAATAACGTGTGGCCAAGTAGTTGTCCTGTTAACGTATGACGTGATAAGACCGTCAGTTAGAGAGCAGCGAATTATCGATCGGACCAATGATACACGGAAACCGTACGATCAGTCTAGAGTACTCGTCGGTTTTGCTATCTGCCTAGCCCAGTCAATGAAGTCCAGAACACTAGTAATAGCCTCTGTGGTATGAATTATTATATTTCAAATATACTGAGTTTATATGCCAAACAGATAGACCGCATCTTTCCAATAAAATGGAAAATAACATTTGTACAAGATTCGTCCAAATGTGGCTGTGAATGTTGGGAACAGTAAATAATTTATTTTATTTTATTTTATTTAAACACATAAATATTGGTACACGGAAGCATCAGATAAATATGCGCCACACAAATCTCATTCGATTTGTGTGAGGGCTGTGATACTGCTCAGGTGCCCAGACTGAAGCAGGTGGTTTTCTTAGGGGGCCACACCCGGAGCCTTTGACCTGAATGTCTGATCCACAAGGCAGTGGAGCATCGTGAGGGGATGCAGTCCCATGGTAGCCGGTGATCAATGATTGATTCGTACGCCATTTGTTCCCTCAGGATACTGGAGCCCATGTGCACCACTGGTTTGGAATCAGGGTTTTCCAACTCCCCTAGGTGGACCCTCCATGTCCACCAACCCGGTTAAAGCGCCGGACATTCGCTTTTCGTCCTCTCACTTTCGTACACAACACCCTCGCCACGAGAAGGCAGTGAGTAGGACTTCCCTGGCAGAGGCTATATATTCGCTGGCCATAATAAATAATAGACTGGGTGTAACTCAGGGATGGTAAATCGTACAGTAGTAATCTGTAGATCAAAATAAAGCTCATAATAAAAGGAACGTGAATATGAATAGTTAAGTTACTGAATAATTACACAATAAAAATATATGCATAGTATTAGTTCATAAATAGATCCCAAAGTTACCATTCATTATCCTTATCGGGGCATAACGATTTACATTAGAGATCAAAATATTCACATTTGTAGATTTGATAATGTCATCATTTTTTAGAAAATGTTAATTTAGCCTATTTATCCTACTTATTCAATGATATTGCGTCACCAATGAAAAGACTTCATGTAAGATGAATTTACTATTCTGAAGCAAAAAGGTTGGAAGATTGATTTTGTTAACAATACAACTGTGTACATCATGTTCACCTGATAAAATAATGTCCCTTTCACTGTTTATATCGTTAGTATTAACAGTTTGGAAGCATTTACTACTTCCACTTTTGAAACATGAAAAAACCGAAGTACACATTAACTATTGAGATGTTACGTAATAGAATTGACCGCCGAAAATATTGCTACGAAGGTTTAAAGACTATAGAGTTCTTACTATAGTTGACTGATTTTCTTCAATTGTGATTTACCTATGTTGTTTTGAATTTAGGATAAAATTTTCATAAAGTGAAGCAACTGTAGAAAGACTTTCAGCTTTGTACACAGCTATATGAGTTAAGCCTAATACTTAAGGCGCTATGGTCTGACTATTAGAAGTGAAATAATTTGGATTTATTTAGTCCTGGTAAATTCAGTAGTTGAATATTAACTTCTGAATCCATTAAGCCATAACTCCAAACACAGGTCATTTCAGTCATTATTGTATGTTCTGAACAAATACATCTTCAGAACTCATTGGTTTTTGCACCCTTAATTAACTGACTGAAAAGAAATTTTTTCGCTTGATTCGTTCCTTTTTTAATTATGTATTTGTGTAATAGTAATGTAATGGGTAAAGCGTTCATTTTCCAAACATAGTACTACAAGTTCGAATCCTATATTCCTCATCTATTCGGTTTGAATAGTAAATTATCAATGTTAATTACTCTTACACAAAAGATATGGATAAAAACCGATTGAATAAGTCTGTATTTGATCAGTGGATTAATGGCTAACGCACTTGACTTTTAACCAATAAGTCTTTGGTTTACACTTTACTCTTTGATTCAAACGAAAACCTTGTAAGTTTACTACAAATAAATGAATTCACGTTTAGTCATTTGCTTAATTTATTATTACTATTGTTAATCTCCAGGAGTTATAAATTCAAATCTGGAAACATATACACCAATCGTAGATGTAACAGCTAATAATTTTCACAATTTCTATATACCATCAACACATCCACCGCTTATGTCAGATGAAATTATACGTGAAGTTGAAAATCTATTTGATTTTTATTTAACTATATCAGGAATAGCTTATAATGATGATAATGGAATGAATAATCCAGGTATGTCTTTATTTTGATACATACAGTTAGTTGAATGAAGCGATAAAAAAAAAGTAAAACCACACTACTTGTCCGGCTAAACTTGGAATGTTTCTTGAAGCTTCGACTGAAATGCGTCCTTGAGAATTAAAGGCACTCATTGTACAATTTTCCAAACGTTGGATTCAACTTTACGCACTTTAAAAGTTTAAAATTTTAAAGGTAGCAATCTACAAAATCCTTTTTCTGGAAGGACTTCAATAGATTATTTTAGAAAGATTTAATTTTTCAACATATTTTCCATCTTTAATGTAGATTCATCGATTTGATCCAGTTTCGTCCCCATCAGTGTGGTGGGGGTGGAACATACCTAACATTTCAAAGTTTTTGGGTTGAAATTTTACTGATCTAAAAGTCAAGCGCTCGCTAGGATTCACCCTTGGTCATGGGTGTACAATGCTTAGGAATGTCAAATTAAAACGAAACGACTGTTCAGTGCTTCCTTGGTTTCTTCAGTTCTCTAAGTTAGGTCAATTCTTGGTGTACAGTAAAATTTTGAAGAGCATATTTTTTTAAATTTCCCATTGTAAGAAGCAGTTGGTATTGACAAATTAACTCGTTTACAGAGGCAAACATCTCATAGATATTTTTATGCTTGATGTTATGATTTAATGATTCATACATTCCAGTTTTAACCTCTAAGCCTCTAACGTTTTGTCATTCATCTTCAGCTTTTCATGAACATGTTCGGGGCTACTAAGTTGGGCGAATTTCCGCACATTATAAATTAGACCAGTTTTTTAAAAACTATGGTTAGTAATTCTGATGTTAAATTGAAGTGGTTATGCGGCAGTTAGTGTGCTTTGTGATTTCAATATATTCTTGAAGTTCTTGTGAAAAATCGTGACTGATGATGCTTAGACATATCGGTAATAAAGCAGCTATTATTGTTGACATTGGATGTGCATCACTTTGCTTAAATTCATTGAATTTAGAGGTGTGTCATTGAACTTCGACGTGGGATTTCTGATGGTCAAGCTCTCACCGCAAGATCTGAATGTTTAATCCCTGGTAAGGTCGGGAGTGTTCGCTTCCAAGGAGTCATACACTAATACGAAGTTGTTTTCCAGAATTCTGTGATTCCAAAGGGTTCCGTCAACCAAGATTAATTTGTAATAAATGCAGTCTACAAATGTGTTGTATATAGACATATTTTTTAATTTTCTGTTTTTAGATGATTCTAATACTCCTTCTCGTACTGGAAGTCTTCAAAGAGGTAGTTATCGAATGAATTCACTTAGTAACAAAAATAATAATAATAGAGATTCTATTCTATCAAATGGTAGTGTAAGTAGTACAACTGGTTCACTTATTGCTACCAATGATTTACCAAAATTATTCAATAATACATTACAAAATCGTTCGAATTCACTTGATCAATCTGTTATTCAACTTGAACATGGGACAAGTGTACAATGTTCAACAATAAAATTATTACCATTCACTTCATTTTTTAATACATTATATGTATCCCCAAAGTCTTTGAATATGTCAGGGAAACACAATTTTCCAAGGGTAAATCTAATCATCTATTTATTTTTATATGTATAAGTGTATTTAGTTCAAAGTGATCCTTTTAAAGTACAGAAGAATTAATCTGAAATAATTACTAAAATAATTCCGTTGCGGTATTTCTAATTATTCAGCTATTGTGACTGATTTCCCCTCCCCCCCCAATGCCCCGGTACGGTCGAGGGTTGGGATAGTCAGCTCTCCCTCTCTCTAAAAGTTTTCACATGGCCACACGTATACAGCCACTATCAGGGAAGAACTACTCATTGTTTTCTCGCGATGGGGATGTTGTTTACGAAATTGAGAGAATGAAAAGCGAATGTCCGGAGCTTAAACCGCGTTGGTAGATTGGAGAATCCATTTGGGTTAGTTGGAAAACCCTGATTCCAAACTAATGGTGTACATGATCTCCAGGATCCTGAGAGAACGAATGGCGTATGAACCTATTATTGATCACCGCCTACCATGGGACTGCATCTCCTGACATCTCTCCACAGCCTTGTGGATTAGACCTTTAGTTCTAAGGTTAGAGGAGTAGTAACAACCTAAGAAAACCACCTGTTTCGGTTTGGTTGTCTGAGCTGTATCACAGTCCTCACATCAATCGAATGATTTATGTTGCGCATATCTGTCCGGTACTTCCTTGCCACAATGTTTCTGTGTTTAAAGAAAACAAATAGAAATAAACATGACTGAAACCACGAAGTAAGAAAGTGTGAGAACTTTTTAACGTAAAACATAGTTCAAATGTGTATTGATTTGTGTTGCTAAATTTCATATCAGCACATTTTAAGGGTACCAGTATATGTGAAGAAAGTGCTAAAGAAAGGTCATAATAATATTAGTGACAATAGTTTAAAAAATTAGTCAAACAAAACTATTGGAGTATCATACTGATCACCTCAGCTATTGTGTATTCAAAACCTCTTCAGCTAATTTATCGTTTCTACGAAGTTCTTCGTATACTATCATCAACGTTACTCGCTAGATAGCTCTGCGATATACCAACACGGTTTCGAAAATATTCCTGTGATCAAATTCTACTAACGTACATTTATTTTCTATCTTTAAAGATGAAGCTTTTATTGTCCTTATATTCACTATCTATCAGTTTACTTGCTCATTGCCTAGATTAACGATGTAGTAGTTGTGTTCAGCTATTAAATTCACTCCACTCGGAATTGTTTTATTTGGTTATTCAAATAAATAAGCATTAGTATCATTAGCATCAAAAAATATATGCGCCGCACAAAGTGGTTAGCATTGAGTTTCTCTGTAGTATGAGATACTGTCCGGGTACAAAAACCGAAACAAGTGGGTTTTTTGGGGGGAGGTCACTCCTCGAGTTTTCCACCTAAATGTCTAGTCCACAAGGCAGTGGAGCAATGTTAGGAGATGCAGTCCCGTGATAACTAGTAACCAAGAATATGTTTCATGTGTGTACATATCTTAATTGTTAAGTCACTTGAGTGATAGATCATTGGTTCGGAGGGTGTTCAGCTGATAATTTTCAACCACTGCGTTGAAGGTTTAAACATTGGTTTTCAACTGGTAGACCTCATGTTCGAACCCCTTACTAATTAATTTGGTACATTGGCAACTGGATGATACAACCAATCTTCATGTATAGGTCATTGTTCAAAGTCGAGTGGATATATTTACCTATGCTTGGTAAATAGGTTACATATTCGTTGACTTCTTGAAAACGGTTGGGTCTGTGGTATATTCTAGTCATAAATGATTGAGTTTCTTCTAATACAAACAAACAATGATTAATTAACAAGAAACGAGACAACCTCAAGTCTCCTTAGTATTGTCATATTAGGTTATTCTTTATGTTTTCGATTGCACTTACTGTGTGAACTTTAAACTCATTACTACCTTGAAGCAATTACTGAGCATTCAATCTCTGACTAGTCATTTGGTAATTACGTTTTCGTATGATTTTATTACTTCTCCTTGTTGCCATGAGTGGTTCAATGTTAGACCACCATTGTAAACCTGGAAGAACTGGACGGCTAACTAATGGACTTGCTTCAAGATGGATTACTTGGAGTTCTACTGAGAATCTGTGACCAGTGGAGTTCAACCTGGTTTGATGTGAGATAGTAACTCACTGAAAACAATAGTGAACGGTCGCGCAATATCGTAGATTATCTGAAGTTGGATATTCACACCATTGGATGCCGGCTCAGTCGTTTGTGCGCGAGACCGACAGGTCCTGGGTTCGAGTGTGATATGCGGGATCGTGGATGTGCACTGCTGAAGAGTTCCGTACTAGGACGAAATAGCCTTCTTGTGCTTCCAGGTTTTCAATGGTGGTCTAACATTGATCCATTGATAATACCAACCTAAATTCAACAATCTTCATAACACTATACTAATACTTTTTTTTGCATGATCCATCATTTTTTCTCACTTCAAACATCATTAGCTTATTTTTTTCTCAGTCCATTTCATTCATTTCATTTCAAAGATTCTAATTAACTTATTACTTTTCCACAGACCTCTCTATTGATCATCAGTAATTTTTTACTAATAATACAACTTTCCTATCATCATCCTCACTATCACATCAAATAGCTTCAGTGCAATATATATATTGTGTGCCCTGCTTTTCTTCACATTTATTGATTCTTCCCTATTGATCCCGTTGTAAATGTCAATTCAACGTCAATCCGTTTTTCTGTGTTTCTTCTTTTCTTTGTGGATAACAAATCATCAATGAAAATATCTTTTTGTTTGATTTTGTTGTTACAAAAGTAATTCATTCATTATTCACTGATATGTTTCTTGCCTTAGATTTAAGTTGTATAGCTTTTGTGAACGTTTAAAGAAAATTACCTGAGTAGGTCAGTCTCGTGTGCAGTTATGGGTATGAAGGCTATTATCACTTCCCGGCTGACCACACCGTGGAAGGGTATTTCTTGAGGGACCTGAAAAGGAAGTTGGATTAGTGTTGGTCTTTTATTTATTTATTTATTTAAACACATAAATATTGGTACAATGAAGCACCAGATAAATATGCGCCTCACAAATCTCATTCGATTTGTGTGAGGGCTGTGATACTGCCCAGGTGCCCAGACTGAAGCAGGTGGTTTTCTTAGGGGGCCACACCCGGAGCCTTTGACCAAAAGGTCTGATCCACAAGGCAGTGGAGCATCGTGAGGAGATGCAGTTCCATGGTAGCCGTTGACCAATGACAGGTTCCTCCGCCATTCGTTCCATCAGGATACTGGAGCCCATGTGCACCATTGGTTTGGAATCAGGGTTTTCCAACTCCCCTAGGTGGACCCTCCGTGTCCACCAACCCGGTTAAAGCGCCGGACATTCGCTTTTCGTCCTCTCACTTTCGTAAACAACGCCCCCGCCACGAGAAGGCAGTGAGTAGGACTTCCCTGGCGTCGGTGGTTCAATGGTGTTGGTCTTAACGACCTGTGACCGTGACCACAGTGCCCAAGGGACAACTGCTTGAGGCCGGTCATTCACGGCCTTTTTGTGGGGGGGGGGTTGACGTGTTAACTTCGTTCTTCAACGGACTTTACCCCCGGATACGGAAATCCGTGGGATAAGGCGAGATGTGCATTTTGGGGTCGAACTTTTGTAACCCCACCCTTCCTTGTGGGAAGGCAGCATTGCGGTTTTGTTGGTTGTCTGAAGGAAACACCTTACTGCCATCACACCTCTGTACAGTCGGCAGTACGACGTCGCCTTCGGACCTTGGGTTTGCTGCTTTTACTCTTACCGTTCTTCAGCCGACCTGTCTGGCATGGTGGGACCTTGAGGAACGATTGTTCCAACCAGTATAGCTCGATCGGTTCATCACGATAGGCAAGCCCGAGGACCACGTCAAGGTAGCAGCAACGGTCGGGACCTGAGTAGGTGACCAGATTTAACTGGTAATACGTGGAGCAACTGGGCTTAAACCAAAGGTCTTGTGGAAATGGAAAAAGAGATCAGGTTTACTATTCGAATCACATACTTGATACATCAGTATGAATAAAAGCATTGGACCGAGTAATTGGTCACAGTATTTAGTCATATGACACACATGGTTCAATTATCTGGAAAACGGTCAAAACCTGAATAAGAGTGGGATACAAGGCGAATTATTTTTAGTATAAGATAATTTTTTATGGTTAGTTTAGGCGGATATATCTGTCTCCACTTTGACACTAACACATCAAATCTCGTGGTGGTTAAAAATCAACTATTTTAACCATTAGCTATTACCGCTCCACAATTTCCATGAGAATAATTTTTATTCACCTGTTACTTCTGTGTTATCCATTCTGTTTTGATGTGATTTAGTAAAACTGGTCAATTGCTTTGAGACGTATTTCAATACGTTTATTTCTCTACTTATTGTTAAGTAGAAAACCGTTCTTTCTATCCTCATTCATACTTGATCTTCTTCTGACTTCTTTTTTTATTATCCACAGATTCTCGTTTTAAAGTGTCAGGAATTCTGTAGATGAAATAGTTCAAAACCCATGGTTTGGTGATTATTTATTTAAACACATAAATATTGGTACAAAGGGGCACCAGATATATATGCGCTACACAAATCTCATTTGATTTGTGTGAGGGCTGTGATACTGCCCAGGTGACCAAACTGAAGCAGGTGGTTTCCTTAGGGGGCCACACCCGGAGTCTTTGACCTGAAGGTCTAGTTCACAAGGCATTGGAGCATCGTAAGGAGATGCAGTCCCATGGTAGTCGGTGACCAACGATTGATTCATACGCCATTTGTTCCTTCAGGATACTGGAGCTAGGCCATGTGCACCATTAATTTGGAATGAGGGTTTTCCAACTCCCCTGGGTAGATAATACGTGTCCACCAACCCGGTTAAACAGTTGGATATTCGCTTTTCGTGTTGTTAATTTTGTAAACAACAGTAATGCCACGAGAAGGCAGTGAGTAGGACTTCCCTGGCAGTGGCTGTAGACGCGTGGCTATATGAGAGCATTTGGAGAGGGAGAGCTGACTCTCCCCACTCTCAGCCGTACCAGGACATTTGGGGGTTTGGTGAATAAAAAACCTACATATAATTTAGGTTGTATCATAAATATCCACATTACTCTAGCATATGTTATTCTCTGTTTTTATCACTGATCTTTTTATTTTTATTCTCCTTCTGTATAGGCTCGAAATTTATCATGTTTCATTGAATTACGAAGTAATGACAATTTGGATAATTCCACTGCATTAAAGGTTAGTTATTTGGTCATGGGTAATCTTTTCCTTTGGTATCTTGTTATTGTTTTCAGAAAAAAGTAAAATACCGACTTCTTATACATGACAGTGTTTACTGCTCAGTAATCAGCTCATTGTAAATGCATCTCGGTCCTTCAGGAGGTTAATCGCATCCGGAATAGCTCAGGGGTAACATCTTTATGACGCTATATGATACACACTCAAACCCGTGAGCATTTGAGTTCTAAATAGCACGAAACCTAGTTCATGTAGGGTTTACTGTCAATTTCCTCCAATATTGAATTATCGAGGTTATGCTCCCGAACCAATATGATGTTAGATAGCTGTTCTTGGGTTTTCACGAGAAATTCAAAATGCAATATTAAATAGCTTGTTTTATTGCGAACTAACTAAGTACTTTGTAAAACTTATTGTAATTTAAATACTAAATGAATTTAAACTTCATCCCATTGCACAAGCAAGTGGCTATCAGGACTCAGTGGCCGAGTGGATAACGTGATGGCGTTTGAAGGAAAGGTACTAAGTTCGAGTCGCAAAGTGAATATCAACTCTGAGTTTCAGATACATCCAGCTGACGAGTCCCAAATAGGACGAAACGCGCGTCCTGGATTCCACTGCTAGACACTATCCATATTTGCTTACCTTATAATAATTTAGTTACTAAGACGCCTTATGGTGATAAACATGTTGAGACTGAAGAATGGAAGCCAACTTGATCAATTCGGAAAAATGACACTAATAAAGTGAACAATTTTTCGGAGGACAGGTAATGGAAAACAAGTCTATTCTGAATATATATAAAATTTGAATATTATGTTTGAGTTTATCAAAATAATTTAAAGCTTTTTGATGTTAATTAGTTGAATACATTAGTCAATGAAAGCTAGACCACCATGGAAAACCTGGAAGCACTGGACTACCATTTCGTCCTATTATGAAACACTTCAGCATTGCGCATCCACGATCCCGCACACCACACTCGAACCCAGGACCTATCGGTTTCTCGTAATGTGTATCCTATCCACTTCCATCGTCTTTTCTTAATTTTCTCTTCAACTGTAACCTGGTTAGTTCTTTCCCACAATAGGCTGTTGCTGATGGTATCCAGTCAATGGACATTGAGTATAGTGTCTAGACAGTTGTTTATAAATACTTGTACATTTTCGATGACGGTTGTGGTTTTTCTCCACGTTTCAGATCCATACAGTAGAACTTTCGTGAAGTTCACATCGAGTATTTATATTGGTTTGCAGTTATTTAGAGTTCCATAAGTTCTTCAAATATAGGAAGGCTCTCCTTGCTTTGCCAGTCCTCGCCTTTACATGTGCTGCTTCTGATCCTCATTGTTCATCAATTATCATACCCAAATATATGAAAGATTCCACCTCTTCAAGAGCTTCTCCATCAATTGTGATGGGTTTGGTGTTCTCCGTGTTGTATTTGAGGATTTCGGTTTTTTCTTTGTGTACCTACTGATACAGAGGCTTCTGCTGCACTGTTCATCTTGACCTGCACTTGTTACTGTGTATGGAATAGAAGGACTAGGTCACCTATGAAGTCCATATTGTTGAACCACATCCAACCTGTCCATTTTATTCCGTCCTTGCCCTGAGATGTAGGTGTCTTCATAATCCAGTCAACGACCAGAACAAAAAGAAAGCGGAAGGGTAGGCAGCCTTTTCTAACTCCGGTCTTCACTCGGAAGGTGTCTGTCAGCCGTCCTCCATGTACCACTTTGTAGTGTAGTCTGTTTTATGAATTCCAGATGATTTGACGATTTTCTGAGGTCTACTATAGTGCTGAAGAAGGTTCTCTTATCCACACTGTTAAATGCTTTCTCATAATCACGGAAGTTGATATATAGTAAGGAATTTCATTCAAATGATTGCTCAATAATGATCCATAGTGTCACGATTCAATTTGTACACAAATGATCCTCACGGTATACGACCTGTTGATCTGGAAATTTTACGTCTATTGAATCTTTTATCTGGTTCAGCAACAATGGTTATTGGATAAAAGAATTTGGCGAGCGAAAAATTATGAACAGTGTTTTACCATACCTTTTATATATTTTTCTTCCAAATTTCATTCATTTCAAACAATATTTGCACAGCTGTTATGCAAATAAAATACATTTAAATTAAGAAAAAGAAGTCATAACATGACATTTTTTTCCCATTCATTGATTGAAATAAACAATTGTTTATACATCTTTTTAAATGAAGACAACCAGATCAACTTTTTCCATATATATATATATATATATATACAATATGTTCATTTGAATCCAATTAACCTAGAGTAAAATTTTGATGTCATAAGTTTATGCAACCGTCTCTAAACTGAAACCAATGAAATTACCTGTATTTTTCACTTCCGGACGGGTGCTGTGAGCTTGCTCAACCCCGTCCACGGGTCGGCCTCGTATCGAGGATTGGCCCATTAATCAAACAATACAGTTGCCTTCAACACCAATCAAATCTATACAATTCATCTACAACAGACACCAGTCCGTCACTTAGTCCTTCCGTCTCTCCATCAATCAAACAGTTCATACATCAACATCAATTAAATCTATTCCACACAACAATCACAATCTCACCAAATACAATATATTTAAAATCAGGATTTTCTAACTTTATTAGATGGATTCTCCATATCGACCAACCAAGTTAAGACTCCAGACATTCTTTTTTCTTTTATTAATCTATTTCCTGTTTATAGTATCGCTTACACTATTCATTCGATCAGTTTTAATGTTTTTTTGTGTGTTTATTTTGTGTATTTAGGTGTTTTACACTCGTCCAAGTATTCGTCAACCAATATTTGATTCATGGTTTAATACTGCCGTAATATATCATGATAATTATCCAAATTTCAGTGAACAAGTACGTTTATTATGTTTGTGTTTGTGTGTGTATGTGTTTGTATAGTTTCTATCGATAATTCCGCTTGTTTATGATAGTCGCGTTTTTATAGAGTTAATTACGTGTGTTTATGTGTGTTGTAGTTGGATAATTCCCTATTTTTGTTTTACAGTTGTACACTTAAATCTTATTTATTTACGCCTGTTACTCCCAATGGAGCATAGGTCGTCAACCAGCATATTTATTTATTTATTTAAACACATATATATTGGTACAAAAGGGCACCAGGTACATATGCGCCACACTATTTGTGTGTGTGGGCTGTGATACTGCCCGGGTGCCCAAACCGAAGCAGGTGGTTTTCTTAGGGGGCCACACCCCGAGCCTTTGACCAAAAGGTCTGATCCACAAGGCAGTGGAGCATCGTGAGGAGATACAGTCCCATGGTAGCCAGTGACCAATGACAGGTTCGTCCGCCATTCGTTCCATCAGGATACTGGAGCCAGCTCATGTACACTATTGGTTTAGAATGAGGGTTTTCCAACTCCCCTAGGTGGACCCTCCATGTCCACCAACCCGGTTAAAGCGCCGGACATTCGCTTTTCATCCTCTCACTTTCGTAAACAACACCCCCGCCACAAGAAGGTAGTGAGTAGGACTTCCCTGACAGAGGCTATATATTCGCTGGCCATGTGAGAGCATTTCGAGAGGGAGAGTAGACTCTCCCCACTCTCGGCCGTACTAAAGGATTTGGGGACAACCAGCATTCTACAACCCATTCTGTCTTTGGCCTTCCCTTCTAGTTCTATCCCGTTCTCTTAGTATTAATTAAATTTCATTAAAAGTAATATCAACATATTTCAAACTGTAGATAGTTGACTTTAATTCTTATATTCATTTGTAATCTAACCAATTCATTTGATCACATCTATACTACATCAAAGAAGAATTTCATCAATGGCATCATTACAATTAGGTATAGGTATATAAAGCCATAATTTTTAAATAAATGAGAATTATCGATGATAATATTCTACTTTGTCCAAATTAAATTCGATAGATTTAAGGGGTAAAACTACTCTTAACTTAAGTACTTCATTTAATTGTGTTTGATGCATATGAATGTGATTCAGTAAATCATTGGCTTGAATTTTTATACCCCATTTATTTCAATCCACTCTCAGACAACAAAAATTGGCTCATATTTTTAACCAAAACGTGGCACAAATCCATGAAGTCACTAACAAATGGACTGAGCCATGTTGGTAGGTGTAGACTATCTGGTTAGGATTCGCGAGATGATAGCAATCAATGGTTAGAGACCTTGAATGACATGGCTGATAATTGTTTGCAATAGCGAAGGTGCATCCACTCTTTGTGTTCTCCCGAATTCTAATCTTCTGAATTCTTCATGCCTCTATCCTTTTTCCCTTTCCAAATTTATTTCACTGGATTATACTCCCTCAAACACTAATCTTTCGGTTTACTGCTTATACTCTTTCTACTTGTACTACTATGAGATTTGAATCGACAACTACATCTCTGTGCTAATGTTGTATGGCAACTCGAGCTGATGTAATTACGTACGAAGTTCCACGTTGTGACTGACTGATTGACATATTTTCGTCCATGGATCCTACATAGGGTTGATGAGTTAGATAGCTTTTTGTTATTGTATAGTCATCAATGATCTTGACATTTAGGAAATATTAAGTTTATTAATGAATTTCTCATTTAACCAATCAAGTTAGAGGAAAGTACAATAAATTTTTCCGAGAATATCACAGAATCTTTGATTTCTAGTTGATTTTTCAAGCGATTATATATATGTATGAACATTGGAAAGTAAGCATGTGGTGTAGTGTACTTATATCCTCATAAGTAGTGTATGGCGATGATCAGACATAGAATGCATCACTGGGTGGTGATCAATGTCATGCGTGTTAAGTCCTTCAATTGTGATTGCATCTCAGTCCTACAGGAGGTCGGTCGCGGCCCGAGTAGCTCACTGGTAACGTCTCTGACTATGAAGCTGAGTAACACGGGATCGAATCCGTCAGGGAGCACCAGCTCTCTCAAGATTACAGGTACACCTTGCTGACGAGTGCCAAGTAGCACGAAACCCGGGTTCACAGTTTCCTGTTGACCACCTCCAACCGCGACAATCGGTTGTTATTTTGCAAATTAGCTGTTGAATGTATGGTTATCAGAATCCAGTGAGGTAGTCTGTAATTTGTGCTTAAATACATTCGATTGTCCCCAGTCATGTACTTGTCCACTACAAACATACAACACTCTTGTTATTGTACTATCTTTCTGCTAATAAAAATAGATAGACTAAGTGATATGTTCTATAATCTTTTCAATAACATACACAACACACACACACACACACGCATGGGCACCATTAAAAAGGGTTAACAAACCAAAATTAATAGCATTGTTTGTTAATGAAAACAAATATGCTTGAGATTATTTTATAAGAAATTGTTACAGAAATATAGAACATAAATCTTATGTAAATTACTTTGTCTCATGCTGTAATCGGTTATCTTTCCTTAGCTTTCAAACTTATGATCCAAATAGCTTAGGGATAATATTTTTGACTGCAAAATGTTCTGATACCGCGTTCGATGCTCATGAAGAGTTAGAAAATCAGATCCTAGCAACTAATAGTTGTTATATCAGCATCTTGGTTTTATTTTCGCTTAAAACGCCATCGCGTTATCCACTCGACCACTGATTCCTGATAGCCACTTGATTGTGCGATGGGGTGAAGTTTAAATTCAACTTAGTATTGTTTGTTTGAATCTTCCCATCGATTTGTTAGGACTGGTACTGGGTTCGAGTCCCAGAGTGAACATCAACTCTGAGATGCAGGTACATCCAGCTGATGAGTCCCAAATAGGACGAAACACGCGTCCTGGATTCCACTGCTAGCCACTATCCATCTCTGCTAACTATTCAAAAGTCTGATTATGAAATTTTATGACAGATGTCCAAAAAAATACAAACAATTCGAAAGTAATTAACTTCGTTTACAAGCCCCCAAATGCCCTGGTAAAGCCGAGAGTGGAGATAGTCCGCTCTCCTTCACGAAATGCTCTCACATGGCCATGCGTATGCAGCTTCTGCCAGGGAAGTCCTACTCACTGCCTTTTTTATGGCGGGGGTGTTGTTTACAAACCAAAGTTGAAAGGACGAAAAGCGAATGTCCGACACTTTTGTGTGGCGCATATATATCTGGTACCCTCTTGTACCAATATTTATGTGTACAAATAAATAAAAAAAACCGTTTTACAAACTAGAAAAAAGTTTTTTTTTGTTCAGTCAGTTGAAAAGAAAGATCTTAGCCAATTAATCATATACCAATCAGGTGGAAGTTCATGCTACAAATTTTTATCAAACATGTTTTACTTTCCAAGAATAATGAATCTAATTATTGAAACATCATGAATCAGTAAGCAAAGATGGATAGTGGCCAGCAGTAGAATCCAGTTTGCCTCGCGTTTCGTCCTATTTGGGACTCGTCAGATGTATGTACCTGCATCTTAGAGTTGATGTTCACTCTGAGACTCGAAAACAGTACCTTTCGCTTCAAACACCATCACGTTATCAACTGAGCTACTAGGTCCAAATACCCACTTTCTAGTGCAATAGAGTGACGTTTAAATTCAATTAGTATTGTTTGTTTGATTCTTCCCATTGATGTTTAGTACTGCAATTGATCAGTCTCATGAATCGGTATTATTTACTAACATTCAACTTCATTCTGTATTATTTTATTCAGATAACTTGTTAATATTAACAGTAGTTGTTCACAGTGATATCTCCTTCTCTCTTTTTTTTTTGTTTTGTTTAGGCTAAAATTTGTTTACCGCTAAATTTAACTTCAAAACATCATTTATTATTTCGTTTTTATCATGTAAGCTGTGAGACAGCTTCAACAAATTTATTAACTTCTAAAGAGAAATCTAACAACAGTAGTAGTATTAGTAGTAGTAATACTACTACTAATAATAAAAAACCTGTTGAATCAAGTACAGGCTATTCATGGATTCCAATACTTGGAACAGATGGAAAGTAAGTTATTTATGTACAATTTTAATAACTTTAATATATCTATCTTTTCTTATAAACTGATATCTTTTCAAAACTTGTTTTACAAACTAATATCGGCTAGGTTAGCGTTTTTTTTTGCGAGTTGGTTTTCTACGGGATGGGGTCGCTAACCCCATGCCCAACCCTCCTCCTTTACCCGGGCTTGGGACCGGCAGTAGCCCCCGGAGGAGCTACAGGCGGAGTTAATATCGGCTTGTGTATAGGTATAATTGAGAACTGACTTATCATTGACAGTTGTTACGTTCTCTTTTGAAGATTGTTGGTGTCACACACACAATCATCACTCTGATAATATAGTCTTCAAACAGTGTGATGATTAAGTTTTTATGATTTAAGTTAACTGTTATTATTCCAACTCGCCTAAGTGGATCCTCCATATCTACCAACGCGGTTAAAGCGCCGGACATTCGCCTTTCTTACTCTTAATTTGGTAAACAACAGTAATGCCACGAGAAGACAGTGAGTAGGACTTTCCTGGCAGAGGCTATATACGCGTGGCCATATGATAGCATTTCGAGAAGGAGAGCTGACTCTCCTCACTCGGCCATACCAGGGCATTTGGGGGCTGTCTGTTGTGTTGAATTTAAGTTTATTTACTATGGGCGACATTACCTCATATAAAACCATTGAGATGTTGATTATATGTTTAAGTATAATTGGTTCTTTAGACCCTTATGAACCATGGAATCTATAATCAATATGATAATTTTCAATGTTCGCCTTTGTGTTTCATGCTAAATTCTGCGTATAATTGTCTAATAGTATTATTAATGATTAGTTGAGTGACGTCTTAACTTCATAAAAATAATTACTTTTCTTAGTCACCAGATATTGTAGCATGGGACTCTTAATCTCAGTGTCGTAGGTTCCATCCTCACGTCGGGCGTCGTCCGTTGAGGCGGTGCACTGTGTCTGTTAGTTACCGACATTAGCCCCTAAATACCATGGTAATGCCGATGGTGTGCAGAATAAGCTCTCCCTCTGTAAGTGCTCTCACATGGCCACGTGCATACAACTACTGTCGGTGAAGTCCTACTCACTGTCTTCTCGCGGCGTCACTGTTGTTTACGAAATTGAGAGGACGAAAATCGAATATCCGTCTCTTTAACCAGGTTGATGGATATGGAGGATCCACCTTGGCGAGTTGGATAACCCTGATTCCAAACCAATGGTGTTCATGGGCTCCGGGATCTTGAAGGAACAGATGACGTATGAATCTATTATTGGTCACCGTCTACTATGGGACTGCTTCTCTTGGCATTGCCCCACTGCCTTATGGATTAGATCTGTAAGTTGAAGGTTCCGGTATTGACCCCCTGAGAAAACCACCTGCTTCGATTTGGGCACCCGAACAGTATTCCAAACTTCACACAAATCGAATGATTTATGTGGTATATGTCTGTTTGGCGCCTCCTTGTACCAATGTTTATGTGTTTGAATAAATAAATAAACTGGATACTGCAGTGACTAAATGCATCGATGTGTAGAAGAATCCAACAATTCACTGATTTATTGAACCTATTTATATGATTACCAAGTAACGAATATTCACTTCTTACACATGATCAAATCATTGAGCATTTCATCTAAGGGAAAACAAAGAGTAAATGGAAAACCAACGCACACCAATCAATTGCACTCCATGAATAGGAACGTTCAGTATTTGTTTCACTCTGTTTCTTGTATCTTTTATTAATACATTTCTGTAACAACTTTGTGTTATACGGTCTTCAGAGTAGCCATTGATCCTGGATACGGCGTAAATATAACCGGCGTTAGGTATTAACCGCGAAGTGTAACGCCGACGTATGCTAGAAGGTCGTGACAAACATGACTAGACCCTCAATCATCGACACAGATCACCTACATAGGTGATCTACAAACTGACAATTTACTGAAGCTTCATTCCAATTATTTACCAATATTGAATTGAATAAATTATATATTCATTTTTACTGTTGTTAGTGATGAATAACTGTTATTCGCTTATGCTTCACAGAATTTGACGAATACTATGTCTGACTGATTGATGATTATGAACTTCTTATCTTTCTCACTTTCATTGCATACTTACGCATTGAATTTGTCTACTTTTCTTTCAAACTGCTACTCTATCTATTTTCTATCTGTCAGTTTAAATGTTGGAACATTTCAACTTCGTATTGCATCAACTATTCATCCGGGTTATTTACAACAATCAACTGTACAAGTAATTCATCCTTTCATTTATCCTATTTATTTGTATTTATTATTGATCGTGATGATGATGGTGATGATAGAACACATTTGGTTAGTTATAAGCAACTTAAAAATATAGCATATATGTGCTTTATAAAGTACATTGCTGTTTATGACTGTATTGATCAGTCTCATCTAGTTGACGAAACGCGCGTCAAGCTGGATTCCACTGCTACTCACTATCTATCTCTGTTTAGAATGTTTGTGATTTAAAGCAATATCAAGACAATCTGTGCAGGATGCATATATTCCAATAAATGACTAATTAGTTGCAGTCCTAAACATCACTGGGAAGGTTCAAACAAATAATATAAAAATGAATTATCCGGAAATTGTTCAGTTAGGATGTGGAATTCATTCCAATATATGTAATTATGGGATTCAATCATTGTAATATTTAAATTCAATTATGTGTATCATTTGAACAATAGTTTGAAAGAAAATGTTTACCTATCAGCATCGATTCATTCAACTGGATAATGACCAAAGTTGTTTTATATTAATCATTGTATTTTAGATTATGATTAGAAAGTGGGAATTATCCTTTTTAATGATGTTCAACATTTGATTTCATTCAATCTTGGCATATGTACACTCTCGAAATGCACTCACATGGATACGCATATATAGCCACTACTAGGGAAGTCCTACTCACTGCCTTATCGTGGCGAGGGTACGAAATTAAGAGCACGAAAAGCGAATGTCCCGGTACTTTAACCGAGCTGGTTAATACAGAGGGTTTACCTAGAGGAGTTGGGAAATCCTGATTCCAAACCAATGATGCATATAGGCTGGCTCTAATATCTTGATGGAACAAATGGCGTATGAATCAATCTTTGGTCATCGGCTACCATACGACTGCATCTCATTAGGATGCTCCACTGCCTTGTGGATTAGACTTTCAGGTCAAAGACTCCAAGTGTGGCCTCGTGAGAAGACCACCTGCTTCAGCTTGGGCATCTGGGCAGTATCACAGCCCTCACACTAATCGAATGAGATTTGTGTGGCGCATATGTATTCGGTGCCTCTTTGTACCCATATTTATGTGTCCAAATAAATAAATAAATACACTAGGCGCATTGCGTCAATATAACCTTTATATATTACAAGCATTCATAATCGATTAACAAAGCACGTCGGTCTTGGAAACGATAGGTACTCAGTACTCGGCATATGTATACTTTAGTCGCATTACCTCAATATAAACATTTTATATTACAAGCATTCAGAATAGATTAATAAAGCACGTTGGTCTTGGAAGCGATAGATACTCGGTTCATACTTAAATGTTATCATTATCTCTAAGATTCAGGTACATCTACTGATGAGTCCTAAATAGGACGAAATTCACATCTTGAGTTTCAACACTAGCTGCAATCTGTCTATTTTAAAAAAAAATATTGCATTTAAGATTGTTGTGAATGGTAAATTTGACAAAATATTTAATCCATTTCTCCTTAATAGATAATATTTTATTCTCAAAAAAAAAAACAATGTCTTTTGCGGATTACCGTACTTAAGTACCCATTATTTCGGTATGACGTCATAGTCTATTGTTTTTGCTGTTGTTGTGGTTACAGTTTATGTGTTTATCATTGTTTGTTTACCGATTATCGATTGTTATGTGTGCCCTGTATTCATACTTTGATTGTTAAACTTCATAGATGAATTTCATTCTCCCTTTTTATCATATAAATAAAATATTTTGTAAATAGGTCATAAAATGTTCCAGTACAAAGATGTTTCGATTATTCACATATCTCATCTTTTTAATGCTACCATTGCAATAACGTAGTAGTGCTCAACCAAGATCTTAAAATCCTGTGGTTATCATGTTACTATATAGACCTATAAGTAGGAAATTCTGTGATGCTTGATAACTCCGTGTTTGTAAACATTAGTACTCATAGTATTTGATATGTGACTGACCTTGAAATCTAGAATGCATGTTTCTTTGTATTTGGAGCTGGTCAGCTCAGTGTATCTGGATCGCAATGTTGATGTTCACAGTAGAACTTGGACATAATGCTATCACATTTGGGATTAGGAGAGATGTTCTTTCCAGATATTGTGATACTGTTGAAAATTTCCTATATTGCCAGCTTTTTCATCCAAACGTTATCGAGTGAAAGGATTGTTGTCTTGATCAGGTGTAACATTCTAGAAACAGCTGGAGTTGTGAATTTATTGCCATCGGAACACCGTCAGAGTGGCCAATAAGTGGTCCTGTGGTCTCAACGTCCCAGGGGACGTGTTTAAATATGAGTTCCCATGGAGATATGGAAAGGATGATAATGAACTTGTTTAGTACTAACTTCAAGGATGTTAATCCAGATGGAAGCTGGTTATCAATAGATATGCTCTTAGTAAGTAACATAGTGAAGCCTCGTAGGCCCTTCTGGAGGAGAATGCTACATCAAAGCAAGGCACAACTACCGGGGTTCAATAGCTGTTTTTGCATTTTTTGCACAGAATCATTCCATCAATAGATATATGCCTAGGTAAAATGAATGGAAGATCTCTAAAAGTGTAAAGAGGTAATGAAAAAGCACATTAAGAAAAATTATTTGGAGAAAGCCACTGGAGAAACACTTGGAGGGTGGTACTTGCCACACTACTCAAGTATAAACTTGAGAAAACTACTTTTACGAACAATTCCAAGTAGTTAGCTATCAACGTGACTATGTAACTAAAAGCCAGAAACAGTTGAAACATATATCAGAGGTGTTCTGGAAAGGATGACTCAAAGAGTATGTAACTATTCTTTAATCACGAGATGAATAGATTAGACATTACAGTAAACTTCAGAATGCAAATGTAGTACTCGTCGTCAACAAAACAATGTCGAATGATTAGACACTTTCCATAATTCATAATGTTCACGTCAGCGAAAACAGACTTGTAAAAGTAATGGGTTTTTTGTTAGGGATTTCAGAAGATATATTTTACTGGAGTATGGAGACGAATAACCTGAGGATAGTTAAAAATCAAGCTAATTTCCTACTTAGCAGTTAGTCTTAATTCATCATGCAAGTAGAACGCCTTTCAGTCAACTAGGTACTCCATTAATATATGTTTGGTTCAAGAGAATGTACATCTATAAATAAATGACCAATATCACCTGTCTCACACAGGTATGTACAAATAATATACTTACTTACTTACGCCTGTTATCCCTCGTGAAGGAGCATAGGCTGCTCACCAGCATTCTCCATCCAACCTGAAGTTAAAGTACTTAAACATGTACTTGATTACTGAGTAGCATTTACTAACCGAAATAGGTATATTCGTCCGTCTTTTTTTGTCAATGATCATTGAATTTATTTTAGTGAAAATGGTATATTCATCAACATGTTTGTTTTACCATTCACTGTAATAATCGATTTTGTTTGACGTAAAAAAATTTTTTTTTCAATTAATCACTTAACTGTTGGTTACACAACTAAATTTTATTCTCAAATCAACATTTTCCTTTTGAAAACTGTTGTTATGGTAACAATGAGTTGAAAATGGTTCATCGATTTCTGTAGTGTACAACACTTTTTTTAATGCTAAAATTCGATAACCACTGAATGAGGAATTCTTGGATGTGAGATCATAGTTGCTCACTGTTGAGGAATTCTAGACTTGGACGAAACAAATATCTAGCTTTGTAAACTACAAATTCAACAATTCTGAGAGTAATTCAATCTTCATCATGTTTATTATTTGTATGATTAAAATGATCAAATTTTATTAAATTGAAGCACTGATCCAATGTTTAAATGTAACGCTGCATTTATTCTATATACCAAAAGATTTATATTCTCTTCTATTATCCCAAAACCAGAACGGTAGGATTAAATTATACTGCCGAGCCAATCAGAAGCTTTCGTGGGTTTTCAAGGTCACGGCGCTAAGTTCGGTACCTGATGCTTACGTACGGTCGGTTTACAGCGGATTTTAGGGAAGACGTGATAATAGCGTGTACAATAGAAGTGATCATAAGATTTTGGCGCGAAATTCAATTATCCATTTGGATAAATAGAGTTGTGGCATTATAGCTGATGTCAGTTCGTGATGAAAACCCTAAGTATAATTCCTAACCTCAATCATGAACTGTAAATTATAATTTGAATTCTTCACACAGGTTTATAACCCTCATTTGGTCTTAGTTATTATGTTGACACTCTCAGAGTCACTCTAGCGTCGCTCAAAGGTTGTCCATAACTTATAGTCTCACCCATAACCCTAAACCCTACACCTAAACCTTAACCCTAACCCGTAAACCATACCAATGCCAACATTATTGAAGCTATGTGGTCGAGGCTAAAAGAATTTTTGAGACCTTATCATGGTTTCAGAGGTCGACTACTATGGAGCCATATGGATGTGTTCCTGTACCGTATGCACTATGATTTTAGAACTTCTGAACCTATATCTAACCTTGATAAGTTTTTGACCCATGTAAAAGAAGTGTTTCCACTTTAATTCTTTGGTTTTGTATAATATATTTTTACTGTATTCTAACTGTCTTCTGATTGGCTAATATTTCTCAAGGTCATTTAAGATTCGTTCAAAGGTCGGCAGTATAGTTTAATCCTACCAGCAGAACAATTAGATGAGATTACTAGAGTCATGTTACTTGCTTACGAGGCTGTTCACTTTTTTAAATTCTATTAATTTAAACTCATAAATATAGGCACAAAGGGGTACCAGATACATATGTGCCACGCAAATCAAATGAGATTTGTGTGACGGCTGTGATACTGCCCAGGTGCCCAAACTGATGCAGGTACTTTTCTTAAAGGGCCACACCCGGAGCCTTTGACATAACGATCTGATCCACAAGGCAATGGAGCATCGTTAGGAAATACAGTCCCATGGTAGCCAGTGACCAACGAGTGATTCGTGCGCCATTCGTTTCCTCAGGATACTGGAGTCAGCCCATGTCAACCCATGGATTAAGGGTTTTCCGACTTCTCTAGATGGACTTTCCGTGTCGACCAACCCGGTTAAAGCGCTGGATATTCGCTTTTCGTTCTCTCAATTTCGTAAACAACAGTAATGCTACGAGAAGGCAGTGAGTAGGACTTCCCTTACAGAGGCTATGTACGCGTGGCCATAAGAGAGCATTTGGAGAGGGAGAGCAGACTCTCCCCACTCTCAGCCGTACCAGGGCATTGATTAATGAGTAATAGCCAGTATCATGTTTGTATACGTTTTTATCGACTAAGTGATTCTACGGATCATAATTGTACATTGTAACTTTATCAATGGAATTAAATGATTAATAAAAGAACTAGACAAATATAACATATTCATAGATTTATCAGTTTTAGAAGTATCATTTCTACAGGAGGTCATTTATAGTCAGAATTGCTTAATGGTCCCCAACATTTCACTATCCAATCAGTCACAATCATCACATTGTTTTAATTGATTAATCAGGTTATTGAACTGTTTAATTCATTTAGTTTAGTTTTTAGTGTGATTAATTTTTTTTCAAGTTTCATTTTTGTTGTAAAATCAACACTTTTTTCATAGTTGAAATCATGAGTTAATTGAAGCTAGACTAACATGGAAAACCTAGAAGCACTGGACGACCTTTTCGTCTTTGCATGGGACTCCTCAGCAGTGCGCATCCACGATCCCACACTCGCGAGATTCGGACCCAATACCTAACAGTCTCGCTCCAGAGCATTTAACCGATAGACCACTGAGCCGGCATCCAACGATGATAATGTCTAACTTCAACCAATCCACGAAGTTTGAGCACCCGTTCACCAATTATCTTCAGTGAGTTGATATCTCTACAACAGACGTGGTCGAACTCCACTGGTCACTGCTTCCTACTAGAACTCCAGGACATGTATCTTGAAGTCAGTCACTAGTGAGAATATGATTATAATCAGGAGAGGTTTTTTGTGGAGATTTCAATATTTTTCATAGTGAATATCATGAGTCAATTAAAGCTAGACCACCATGGAAAACCTGGAAGCACTGGACGTCCGTTTCGTCTTATCATGGGACTCCTCAGCAGTTCGCATCCACGATCCCGCACTCGCGAGATTTCAACCCAGGACCTACCAGTCTCGCACTAGAGCATTTAAACGATAGACCACTGAGCCGGCATCCAACACTATTACTGGTAATGATCATGAGAATAAACGTTTTATTCAATACTCATATATTTAATAATATCATATTGGTCTTTTTACACTAATCGTTTTATCTTGTGAATTTCTCTAGAACTTTCGTCATTCAAATCTAAATGATACCAGTAGTGGAATTAGCCTACCATTCAATATTGGTAATTCATATTCTACAAATAATAACAATAATGGTAATTCCATTGATTTCACTTGGATTGATAATGGGAAATATTTATTTAAAGTTGATTTGAAACCTTTATCATCTATCTATACACATGATTCAGTATTATCAAAATTCTTTCGTGTTTGTAGTGATCTACTACCAAGGATGTTGTATTTATCGTCTACAAAAACAAATTATACAGATAAACAAAAGGTATCTTATTTATTTGTTTCCCGGTGATATGTTCAACTATTGCTAGTTGAATGAATCCTTTATAGTGAAGATTTTTATTTCTGTATCATCTCTTTTTGTGTCTCACTGTCTAAATTCAATTGATTTAACTTATTTACCAATTATATTGTTTTTGTGGTAGTTACGATGTACCAGCCATGTTCGAACTTGTTGAGACCGATTGGCTCTTCTGACATAAAGAATCCATTTAATGCTACGCGAAGCCACCGCGTGAATGTCTTTTTGTGGGAGAGTCGTTGGAAACTGTTAGGAAGGCTTCTGAGAATTAAGACGAAGCCTCCAGAGACCATAAGGGAGCAGAAGAGTTTCCGTCGAATCAGAAAGTGATGGAGCTTTCTAGAATATTAACGTGGCACACTACGATTGAACAGTAGCATAACTTGCCTCTTTCTCGGATTGGATGAATTATAATGATGTTATAATTAACGCTAATATCTATACATGCCCATGACTTTCTGTACATTTTTATTCTTACCTAACAAGTACTTCTCCTGTCTTCTGATTTTGAGACCGTGGGGTTCGATAGGTTCGAGTGCTTTAGGGTTCGCTACTTTTACAAATGTCGATTAGTAATACCACTTAGCTGCCCAAAACGTAATATTTCAGTTGCACAACCGATGGTTGTGTTGATAAAACGTTTCAATATACGTATATGAATTTTGTGGAGATTTTAGAATTCAAATAGATCGCATCAATGACCGATCTTGGCTGGACAAGCGTTGGAGACCTATAATCACTGAAATTCAGTCATGTCGGGTGCGATACTGTTATCCTCCACAGTCAATGGAAGACGATACACAATATCACACATTGGTTAAAATTAGATATGTGCGGAATTGGATACTCGCCCACTTGTCTAGAAATGGAGCGCTTGGTGAGAGACTTTTGATCATTTGTTCTGTCCCCGATTAGACTGTGGATGCGCATAACCTAGGAGTCCTATACTAGGACGAAAATATTTTCCAATAATTCCTGGTTTTCAGCTATTGCTCAGCTAAACTCAGTCCATGATGTAAATTCTTTCTAATCATAATATACCATCGCGAACTTCGACGGATTCATATACTTTTTTAAAACTTTTTGCAGCAAAATCATGTTACGTTTCGTGATGATACTGTTGTAATACAATCTAATAATCTTGATTTATCATCATCTTCAAAACGTATCAGCGTTACAGGTGGCAATAGTTCTAGTAACAGTATCTTACACAATGCCACATCCATTCATTTACACTTATGTAATGCTATGAAAGCATTATTATTAATTAGTCCAACTGGATTAGTACAATTTCTACCAATTATTCTTAATCAATTCATGGAGATTATTATTCTTAGTGCTGAAACAAGTGCAAAATGGTTTCAACAACAACAACAACAGCAGCAGCAAACACCTCAGCTATCAGATTCAATGAACAAAGATTTTAATAGTACCGCGAATACTTCGGAATATTTATGGTTTAAAAGTCTAAAAAGTAATTATAATTCTATGATGACGAGTACAAATACAACAAATTATACTACTACTACTACTACTATTACTACTAGTAATAATAGTACACCGGATGATGTATTGAAAACAGCTATTAGGTGAGTTATTTTCCTCTAGTACACTAAATACACCTTTTTTTGATTTACATAATGGGATAATAAGAAGTTGAATATGATCATTTGTATGTCGTATGTATAAACAATTAAATCATGCAATGTATATATTAGGCACGTTTAACTTTTCAGGAGGGTATATAATGACTGAAAAAAAAGTTAATTACTCGAGAGTAAAGTAGTTGAGCTTATTGACACTTTCATTTATCTTTGAAGTCTCATCAGTTCTAATAGTTTGGTGTCAGAAGAAATCTTGGCATGAATGAGAAAAGCTCGATTGAATTGCATCACTTTTTGTGTAGGCGAAGTATCTGTCTATCAACCATAGGACAACTTTACTGCACAGTAGTTCGCTTCGTTTTACTTTATTTTGGATGGTCATTAAGAATACAATATCCTTGTAGAGTAGTTGTATTCGATCATATGTGTCTTCAAATCATTGCTCATGTATTTCGAAACCACTAAGTAAGCAATGCCTGGTTAGGGATAGGTACTACTAAGCAAAGATAGAAATTCGGTTCATAAGGTGATAACTGTTCAGCAAGTGAGGTAGTCTCGACGTGCAATGATGGTTGATGTAGGAGTAGGTTGAAAGGAAGTCAGGAGTGGCCAAACAGAAACATTAGATCAGTTCATGGATCCATTAAAAATTGAGCGGAGTCATGTTCATAGGTGTGGACACCTAGTCTTCTCTATTATCACTAATACTGTGACTAACTTTATTAATTTGGGATTCGCTCTAATAGTTTCATCTCCCTGTGTTAATAGGATTTGACAACTTGAACCAATGTACACCTGCCTACATAGAAGGTTCTACGCTGCAACTGAAAAACCGGTGGGTCATTTAGGGAAAAAACCCGATCACTTTTAAAAAACATATGATAATATAGTTGTATCAAGTATTGGCTTATAAGAGATGGTAATCGAATCAAGGAATTTTGATTGAAATACTACCATTAAGATGAATTTTTGGTTGCTCTGTTTTTCTATGTATGTAGTTGTATTGTAAACTTAAGAAAGACTTTCATAAGTAATTTTGAATAGATATAGTTACTACAGTCGGTGTCCAATTTCTTAACATTTGTGTTTTGTTGTCAAGTTAGTTTTCTGAAATAACTGGCGGGAAAAATGCTTTGTGTTTATCAAGGTCCTGAATTTGAATCTCGCTTGCAAGGCGAGATCGTGGATGCGCACTTCTGAGGAGTCCCATGTAAAGACGAAACGCCCGTCCAGTGCTTCCAGGTTTTCCATGTTAGTCTAGCTTCAATTAACTCATGATTTCAACTATTAAAAATGCTGAAATCTCCACAAAAGCCTTTTCTGTTTATCAAGTTATTTAACGTTTATTGATTAGAAATAAGTTCCAACAAAATCCAAGTCAAGTAATTTCCATTCACCATTCCCTACAACTGTTCTAAAAACTCATGTAGATTGCATTGTGTTACATCGAATCATAACCAAATAATGGGGGGGGTGGATAGGAGTAAAACTATTTATATATTAATAATTGCAAATTACACTATTCTTTTCCATGTTATACATTTTGTTTAAATATCAATCTATCCTATCGTCTTACTTACTTACATACTTACTTACGCCTGTTACCCCTTGTGGAGGAGCATAGGCCGCTCACCAGCATTCTCCATCCAACCTTGTCCTAGGCAATCCTTTCCAGTTCTTTCCAGTCCCCATATCCTATCGTCTAATTCAATGATACATCAACTTAATGCATTAGAATATATCTAGAGTAACTCGTGATATTTCTTCACATGTTTGTCCATAATAAATCTTGTCACACGTATTGCTTTTTTTATCACGTTTAATGAACCTATTTGGTTAATATTTTGATTTGTTCTGTCAATTATAATTGATCAATTGAATTGTGTATATTGAGCTAATCAATAATTGAACGGTACATGGTTTTATTTTATTCAATACACGTCAATTTTAGCACCCAAAAGTTTGTGCTTCAAATAAACAGAGTTAACATTAAGGAGAAATAAAGGAGAGCGAGAAGTGAAATACAACTACATATAATTGAATGAATAGAAATAATACATAACATTAGTTAGTTGTGTTAACAATGGAACGAGGCGAAACTCTATTCAATTAAACCAGTCGCTCTCACTTTTATTATTGAACGTGAAAGAAGACTCCATAGGGATATCCATTAACTTCTACTATTAGTCATATCTGATAACGTTTTGATCTACTGATTTGCACCATTTCTGAAACGTAAACCATAAAGTTGTGATCGATCGGTATATGTCATGAACTAAACAGTTCTCCGCTTCTTTACCCAATTCTCATAGCGTTAGCAAAATCCCTGCAATAAAATTCTCTGAGATGGCATTCTTAAGGCAGATGAGTCATATTTATTAGTAATGACTCAGTGATATCCCTGTCAATGTACTCCATTTACTAATCTTGTGATAAGTATTATAAGCAAAGATGGATAATGGCTAGCAGTGGAATGCAGTTTCGTCCTATTCACAACTTGTTAGCTGGATGTACCTTCACCTCAGAGTTGATGTTCACTCTGGGACTCCAATCCAGTACCGTTCGCTCCAAACCCCATTGCGTTATTCCCTTAGTTACTGAGTCCTGATAGCCATTTGCTTGTGCAATGGGGTGAAGTTTAAATTCATTTAGTATTGTTTGTTTGAATCTTCCTATTTGTTGTTTAGGACTGCTACTGGTCAGTCTCTTATTGGTATGTGTACATACTGTGCACTGCTAGCCGCTATCCATCTTTGCTTATAATGCTTGTGAATTAACGTTATATAGAGGCAATTCATACATTATGCAAATATTGTCAATAAGAGACTGATCAGTTGCAGTCCTAAACATCAATGGCAAGATTCAAACAAACAATACCGAGTGAACTTATGATAAGTAGTTTGACTACTTAATTGATTAGTTAATCTGGAAACACTTCGAATGTTTAGAGATCAGCTGATGTAAGAGTGAAACACTTTTTAAGAAGTTCAGATGATTAACCTCTCAAATCGTAAAAACGTGAAAAATATCTTAAGTAAGTTTAACTAACCAATTTTTAACTTGGTACAATTCAAATGTTGACACGTTTCTGTTTTATTGTAATTCCATCTATGAAGTTTTGAAGGGTTTTTCATCATGGCGACATATTTTCTAGAAGCCTCGATCACTTTAGGTTTAGCCCCAAATGCCCTGGTACGGCCGACAGTGGAGAGAGTCCACTCTCCTTCTCGAAATGCTCTCATATGGCCACAAGTATATAGCCTCTGTCAGGGAAGTCATACTTACTGCCTTCTCGTGATTGGGGGTGTTGTTTACGAAATTGAGAGGACGACAAGCGAATGTCCGGCACTTTATCCGGGTTGGTGGATACGGAAAGTACACCTAGCGGAGTTGGGAAACCCTGATTTCAAATCAATGGTGCACATGGGCTGGCTCCAGTATCCTGAGGAACAAATGGCGTACAAATCAATCGTTGGTCACCGGCTACCATGAGAGTGCATCTCCTTACGATCCTGCACTGCCTTGTGGATCAGACCTTTATGTTGAAGTCTCCGGGTGTGTCTCCCTAAGTAAACCACCCGCTTCAGTTTGGGCAGAAGGACAGTATCACATCCCTTACACAAATCAAATGAGATTTGTGTGTCGCACATATATCTGATGCTTCTTCGTACCAAATATATTTATGCGTTCAAATAAATAAATAATTTTTCGCGATCATAACTAGTAGTTAGAAACTTCAAGTGACATGGGTCATAATGGTTTGTGATGGTGCAGACGCGTTCTTTGTTTGTCTCTCTTTAGAATAGAAGTTACGAAATCCTCTTATACCTCTTATTTTTTCCTCTGTACCAAAGCTTTTCTACCGATACTTTGGGAATTGTCTTGTAATTATTTTATCACGCTGTACTAACATGGTATGGTAACATGAACTGATATACATGTATCAAATCCTACGTTCTACACACCTGACAGATTTATGGTGTTAATTACTTATAAAATATTTGTATCTAATTTTATATCTCATTCACATTAGCTACACCTTTATCAGCAATTGATTCAATAATCTACTCACAAATAAACAGATTTTTATCTTGTCCTACTAATGGTTTTGATTAATAAATTGCCGACTACATCAAAGCGCTTAATAACTCAATGTAGTTCACAAGATATTGAACCACGAACTAGTGGCCACATTGCAAAGTGATCGATAGGATTCCATCAGCACCAAAGAGTTAGACAAATATGACGTTGGCCAGTACTTGATGTTGAATCAGTTTCAAGTATCTCAGTGTCACTAGAGGCTGGTGGCTGTTCGAGTAACTCCTTGGTGAAGTGTGGCGTAGCAGACTTACAGGGAATGAGTGTCAACTGTCACGTACCGTCGAACACGTAATATTTTAATTATTCGGGCTACATGACACTTTACTGAATCCCATTTTATTCAACTGTATACTACGAAAAGATTCTTTTGTAACTGACTAACTGTTATATGCCATTGGTTGGATTCGTTTGCTAAGATTCTTTTCTTATGAAATACCGTGTTGTTTAGATTCTAGTAAATATGGTTTTTCACTTTTCCCATTGTAGTACATTAGCTATGCTTGTTTCTGAATTGAATGCACAAATTCCAAATGATAGTTTTTATTATCCAATCAAGTCAACAAATGATACGAATTGTCTAGATGGTGCAGTTGATTCAAGCATATCAAGTGGTGAACGTGTAAAACACAATTTGTTGAAAACTTATGTGGAGGTAAGTTGTAAATTTTCAGTTTTCGAAAGTTTACTTCACTTTGTTGTTACTACTCATGAGTAAATAAAAATATTATCATGAAAATTCGGGATTCCACTAGTTGTTTCGTATGATTAATCGAATTTTATTTTTTTATTTATTTGAACACTTAAATATTGCTACAAAGGGACACCAGATACATGTGCCTCACACAAATGAAGTGAGATTTGCGTGAGGGATGTTATACTGCTTAGGTGCCCAAACTGAAGCAGGTGGTTTTCTTAGGGGGCCACACACGGAGCCTCTGACCTAAAGGTTTGATCTATAAGGCAGTAGAGCATTGTGAAGAGATGCAGTCCCATGGTAATCGGTAACCAACGATTGATTCATACTCCATCTGTTCCTTCAGGATACTGGAGCCAACCTATGTGCACCATTCGTTTGAAATGAAGGTTTTTCAACTTCTCTAGGTGGATCCTCCATGTCCATTTACCCGGTTGAAGCGTCGGATATTCGCTTTTCGTCCTCTCAATTTCGCAAACGACACCTCCACCACGAGAATGCAGTGAGTAGGACTTCCCTGACAGAGGCTATATGCTCGTGGCCATATGAGAGCATTTCGATAGGGAGAGCGGACTCTCCCCACTCTCGGCCATACCATGACATTTTGGGGCAATTTGGTGGTCTCCTCATAGTACACCCTGTTTATATCAGATTACTTGACTGACTAATATCCAACTAAGTTCTCTCATTCGATTGTTTTCTGTATTCAGTATAACACAAAGACAAAAATGAATAAAGGTATGACTAACGCAACTACGACTTACAGGGAACTTTGCAATTATGCATAAACTGAGAATTGGATTAGAAAACTGAAGTACAGGAGATTAGGTGTAAGTTACTATTACTTCGAATGGAAAAGAGTACGGCCATCAATCGTACATCAACCGAAAGCTTCTGGTGTTTACCGAATAATTCAGGGATAAAACCAAAGGATAATATTTCACAGACTTTGAATTCAATGAAGCAGTTTTCCCATAAATAGCTACGGTTGTTCACTATGGCTTCTTTATTTCTCTGTACACACATTTTCCCTTAACAAAAATAGCTTTCAATCACTATTTGTTTTAGTCCATAAGTTAAGAAAACCGATTGACGTTGTGATCCTTACAAGACGTGGGCAATCTGGTTAATTGTAATAAATTAAAAAAACAGTAATGAATAATCACTAGCTCCCTTCGGCGACAGTGTATGATCTTTTTGGTTCGATATAGATAAATTCTAGTTTTCTGTGTTTCCTCACCTTATGGATCACTGGACATCCTATATCAAAACTGTCCAAGACGGTTCTCTACATTGAGCCCAGTTTTTTTGAGTTTTCTGTGAAGTGCTTGACTATTCCAATATGTGGTTGACATGATGTACCCCCCCCTCTCTTTAACTTCCAACCCATACATAACTTTTCCTCGTATTCTGTAATTTGTTGGCGTTTCCTCTTTCAAACATCTCTGTTCGTAATAATATCTTAATCATTTCACCAATTATTTGTACTTATTCAATGAAAAGAAATGAATACATAAGTTTCATCCGTCTGATATCCTTTCCTTTGTTTCGTCTTAATTATTGTTATGATGGTCCATGGTCATTGTATATCAGGGTATTTATGAAAATGACTCATTTCTGTCATATCTATCAAATACTATGTATATTATAAGCTAGACAACAACAATCCACTGTTTTAGCTTAATTGATTTACAGTTTATAGACATAAACAAAGTTGAATTTATTTATACTCTGGTAGGTACTAGCATGGTTGGGAAAATATTCACTTTATCCATTATTCATGCCACCTTATGTATTTCGTAAATAATGAGCTTCTTTTCAAAAACTTGTTTATTTTGTTTTGACACCCCTGGCACGACTGAGGGTGGGGAGTGTCAGTTCTCCCTCTTTAAATGCTCTCACATGACGATGCGTAGACAGCCACTGCAAGGAAGTCCTTCTCACTGTGGAGATGCTTTAACAAAATCGAGAGGATGAAAAGTGAATGTCCGCCTCTTTAATCGGTTTACTGTATACAAAGCATCTACTTAGGGGAGTTGGAAAACTGATTCCGAACCAATGGTGTACATGGGCTCCAGTATCCTGAAAGAACAAATAGTGTATAAACCTATTATTAGTGACTGGCTGCTATGGGACAGCATCTCTTTATGTTGCTCCACTGACTTATGGATCAGACCTTTAGGTCAAAGGCTTCGGGTGTGGCCCCCTAAGAAAACCATCTGCTTCAAATTTGATCCGTCGGGAAGTATCACAGCCCACACATTAAATTAAGTGGCTTGTATGGCGCATATGTATTTGGTGCCCCTTTGTACTAATATTTATGTGTTCAAATAAAATAAAAATCTTTTCAAAATAATAGAATTTATCTCGATTTTTATTTTCATTCCTGAACACTTCCAAAACGAGCAAGATCATGTCTACTTTAAATAACTGAAAGCATCTAAATCAACTCTGGAAAAACAAACCGAGTTAGCTGAATAAATTATTCTTAACCTGTCTGTTTGCTTTCACAAATGAGCAACTCATTCTATGCATGAACTACATACTAGAAACTTCTAATCTGTAATCCCCTTGTTGTGTTTATTTTCATCTTGTTTCATTCTTAATTTTTAAATTTATTTTTAACTTTCTTTTTAAACTTCCGATTATCTTTTGAATAATTAATCAACACTGTTCAATGTTTGCTCAGTGGTCTATCGGTTAAGTGCTCTCTAGCTTGAGACTGATATGTCCTGGGTTCGAATCTCGCTCGCGAGGTGGGATCGTGGATGCGCACTGCTGAGAAGTCCCACAATAGGACGAAACAGCCGTCCAGTGCTTCCAGATTTTTCATGGTGGTCTACCTTTAATTGACTGATGATTTCAACCATATAAAATTACTAAAAATCTCCACAAAACCCCCTTCTGATAATTAATCATGTTTACTTGTAGAATAGTATGTTTCTCTTATTATATATACACGTTACATAATTATTATTACCATTACTTTAATCAACCTAACGTACATTTTATTTCTTATATTATATAGATTCTAACCATGATACCCTAAAATGATATTTTTTTCTACCCCTTTCTCGAATGACCTTCCATATTTACAAATGATTCATACCGAAGGTATTTCAATCGTAATCGATGCTAAAGTTTATTACTTTAATATATAACATTTCTCAGTTCATTCAGTTACGGATGTTTACTGTAATGATTATGGATTAATAAATGTAGGGCTTGATAATAAAATTAATGGAAATCATTTAAATTTTTAATTGATCTATGTTACATCTCCATTGAAGATCTGGATATGCTGGATGGCAGATTTGCTCTAGTATGGTATTCCTCAGAAATGCGTATTGATGACTCTATTCGTTGTATTTGTAAAAGAGACCTTCGGTCTACCTCTCAAACTCTTAATTATTATATCAATGAGCTGACATTTAACGGTGTTAACGTTTAACTTCTTTGTTTTTTAATGTACGTTAATAAAGTGAAAAACGGTGTTCTACATTGGTAAGCAGAAATGGGGATAGTGGCTAGCAGTGGAATCCAGGACGCGTGTTTCGTCCTATTTGGGACTCGTCGGCTGGATGTATCTGCATTTCACAGTTGACATTTACTCTGGGACTCGAACCTAGTAACTTTCACTTCAAACGCCATCGCGTTATCCACTCGGCCACTGAGTCCTGATAGCCACTTGCTTGTTCTACAATGTATTTGGCATTAGGACAATATTTTTAAGCAGTTTTTATAGCATTTTAGGAGATAACCTACAGTACCACTATAAACAGTTGTACAACACCTAATACTAGATCTGAACTTAGAAAGCGTACACTCATCAGATCTAATAGTGAGCTTTCAGTTTGAATTGTTGTGCCAGGAATTATTTGTATATTCTATCATATTGTAATATTTGGTGATCGTCAACCAATAAGTTGGCATAAAACCATTGTCCAATGCTCTTCAACTTTTGACAGTTTGTAATGAAAACTATCTTCATAAAATGGTTAAAGATATTTGTAAGTATAAAACTCAGTTATAAGCAGGGGTGAATGGTGGCCAACACTAAGATTCAGGATGCGCGTTTCTTCCCATAAGAGACTGATCAATTGCAGTCCTAACCAATACAGAAATAAATTTACACTTTACCCCATTGTACAAGCTAGTGGCTAACAAGATTCATTAGCTAAGTAGATAACGCGATGATGTTTGAGGCAAACGGTGTTGGGTTCAAGTATTGGAGTGAATTTCATTTGCATGATGCAGATACGCCCAGCTGACGACTCCGAAATAGGACGAAACGCGTGTCACGCTGGATGCTGCTATCCATCTTTGCTTGTATTACTTGTGGCTTAAGGCAATATCTAGGTAATCCGTACAGGATGCACATATGCCAATGTAAGACTTATCAATTGCGGTCGTAAATATCAATGGAAAGATTTAAACAACCAATATAAAAAATGAAATTAAGCTCAGTTTTTTTTGAGTAATAGTAATTAGGTCAACTAATAGTAATCACGTTGTGACTAGGCTAGAAGCTCGAATCCTGTATCTCTGACCTGGAATATATCACCTGGTACCTGTTCACTTAAATATCGTTAGGACTACACTGACTGTAAGAAACTGAATCTGCAGACAATAGACTATTTATATACGTCGATATTCGTCGGTTACTAGTATTCGATCATAGGTGTCTTCGAAGCATTGCTCGTATATCCTGGGACCACCGGATAAGTAATGCAGTTGTTAGGAAACGGGTACTAGGCAAGGATGGCAAATCGATTGATGGAGTAATGAAACTTCATCAGTTGAGATAGCTGGGACACGTGTTACGTATGCCCAACCACCGACTGCCCCGACTAGCGATGTTTTATGATGTAGGAGTAGGTTGGAAGAAAGCTAGGGGCGGCCAGACCAAAACATGACACAAATCCATGAAATCACTGACAATTAGACTGAGCCATACTGGTAGGTATAGACTACCTGTTTGGGATCCACGAGTTGATAGCAACCGATTGTTAGAGACCTTGAATGACATGGCTCAAAATCGTTTACAATGGCGAAGGTGCATCCACTCTTTGTGTTCTGCCAAATTCTAATATTTTGAATTCTTCATGTCTCTTTCTCTTTTCAAATTTATTTCATTGGATTATACTCCTTGAATAACATCTTCAAACCCTAATCTTTCCGATTACTGCTTATACTCTTACTATTTCTACCACTATATGATTTGAATCGACAATTTCATCTCTGTTCTAATGTGGTATGGCAACTCGAACTGATGTACGTACGTACGAAGTTCTGCGTTGTGACTGACTGACTGGCTATATACGTCGATGCACTCCCTTGTTTGTTAAATAATCCAATATTTTAAATGTTGTTTTTTTTTCTTTGTATCATTCCATAGTTTGTATTCAATCCGGATCACTTATTAACAACATGTATCAATCATTATTTAAATGAAAATCAACCAATCAATAGTGATTCTACAAAAGAAGAAGGTATACAACTAAATAAAAAATTAAACCTTCCACCTCCTCCATCAACATCATCATCACCATCTACAACAAGAAGACCTAATAAACTATCCATATCACAATCTATCATTAATCAATATTTCCCTTTATCATCACTTCATCATTCTATTATACGTGGTTTAATTCTACTCTTGTCCGATACTCATTGTCCAAATAATATTATAATACATTTATTCAATAATATTTGGTTCTTATTAGCACTGATAGTTAAATCAATGACACAATATTTATGTATTAGTAAGAAAATATGGGTAAGTATTCATTTATGTTGTATATGTATATGTTGACTGCTTATCAGTCTACCATTGAAGTAACTACTTCTATGAATCCGGTGTTCATGATGTTGTTTGGCTAATGAGGATCTGGCAACTTGAACTGATGCATATATGTAGTTGGTCCTATGTTGTAGTTGACTGACTGAATTGTTAATAGAAAACAATCAATAATCATTGTAAAATTGTCTTCCATTAACGTTCACAGTTAGTTAGTCAGTCTGTAGCTCCTCCGGGGACTACTGCCGGTCCCAAGCCCGGGTAAAGGAGAAGTGTTGGTGTTAGGATATTCACAGGAATATCCCAAAAATTATCTCGAATGTAAAATGGTATGTTTTCAGACTCTTCACATAATTCGCATGTTATTTCCTATTGGCCATTATTTACAGTGTCCTAACTATGACTTTCATGTGTCGTTTCCCTATTGGTCAATTTTGAGTCGTCCTAATTATAACCTTTACGTGTCCTTTCTTTTCCATTGGTCACTGTTAATAGTCATTGTAACTGTATAAATATGCCTTGTCTGTAAACCATTTTTGTTCTGCTGCTGACCCCATAAACAATTCTCATTTAACGGCTGTGTTCTGATTTATTGGAGTTGGGAAACAGTATTGGGGTCGAACTAGGATATCTGAATTTGGTCAATCGGTAGAATTTCGCGTAGTCCAATTGCATTACATTATATTTCGCGTTATAACAGTTGGGCATGAGATTAGCGACCCTATCCCGTAGAAAACAAACTCGCTAAAAATACGCTAACCAGAAAAAAATTATTCAAATAAGGGATTTGATTGTAAACACAATCATTTCAAGTGCTATCTAGGGTATGAAGGTGATAATTACCCCTTGGTTGCCTACATTTTCAAAAGATACTTCTCAGATAAATTTCAAAGGAAAACAATTTAGGTCTTAGCAACTTGAAAGTATGATCTTAGAGGGAAGTTTACAAGACAATTGTTTGAATTCCGTTATATAACTTTTTGTGAATAGTTTTTGTTATGGTATAAATTTGCAACTTAATGAACTGTTTCGCTTTCTGTTATAAACTCTTTTGGATAACTTGAGTTTAAAATTGCTTCACATCTGTTATCCTTCCTATATTATATCCTTATATACAACCTATCATTAATATACTACTACCATTAAAATTAACTACTTCTATAAATCCGGTGTTCATCTTGCTGTGCTAATGAGGTATGGCAACTTGGACCAATGTATAAATGTGCTTGGTCCTACGTTGTAGCTGACTGACTGACTGATTGACGGGAGGTGATTTAATATTTCAAAAGTTATATTTTTTTTTATCAGAAATTAGATAATATCAACTACAAAACATCTAGAAAGATAAAACTCATCTACAATTGTATTGTCCTAGTTTTGATAGGCATATTAACACAGGAAAATCAATTTCAGATCCTGAAACTGATTCTAAAATGATGTCATTTCATAGTAATTAAGTGAATGTGAAGTTAGTAAACATTGCTTTAACACTAATGCTGATAGATTGTTGATTTCTGTTAGTGCTAGTAAGCTTATAAATTTTTTTCCAGGTGTATAGAAGATTTATGGTGTGAATTTCTTATAAGTAATGTTTATTCTTGGTCATAAATACTTAGAACTTACTTACTGATTTCCTTGTTAAGCCCTCAAATGCCATGGTACGGCCGAGAGTGGGGAGAGTCCGCTCTCCCTCTCTATATACTCTCACATGGCCACGCGTATATAGCCTCTACCAGGGAAGTTCTACTCACTGCCTTTTCGTGGGGAGGTGTGTTGTTTACGAAATTGAGAGGTCGAAAAGCGAATATCCGACGCTTTAACCGGGTAAGTGGACACAGAAAGTCCACCTAAGGGAGTTGGAAAACCCTGATGCCAAACCGATGGTGCACATGGGCTGACTCTAGGATCCTGAGGGAATGGTCATCGGCTACCATGGGACTGCATCTCCTCACGATGCTCTACTGCCTTGTGGATCAGACCTTTAGGTCAAAGGCTCTGGTTGTGGCCCCTTAAGATAATCACCTGCTTCAGTTTGGGCAACCGGGCAGTATCACATTCCCCACACAAGTCGAATGAGATTTGTGCGGCGCGTATGTATCTGGTTCCTCTTTGTACCAATATTTATGTGTTTAAATAAAATAATAAAATACACTGTCATTAGTTTAATACCTAACATCTGGAGAGGATTTTTGAGAAATGTTTGAAATAATCTAAAGAAATGTTTTGTCCCAGTTTTTAGATCTATCATATGTAATGAGCATAATATCATCTAGTGTCTGAGTGTATTTTTGCAATAGTTCTCACTCTTCCCATCTGTCGTTATTTTTTGACTTATTTTGTTGAATTCAACAGTCATAGATTCTCATTAAGAAATAATTAAATGTTCATTTCAAAATTAGCCATTATTGTACACATGAATTGTGTATATCAGTGGTATCTAGGACTCACGTTGAACGTACCTGCATCTCACTGTGAATGTTCACATTGAGATTCGAGCGCAGTTCGTCAGCCACAAATTTATGCAACGCCTATTATGTTTAAATCATTATTAACTAGTGTTTAAATTATCTTACTTTTGGTATTCAGAACAGAATTTAAAGATATCTAACATCAAAAGTCTACTTTAGTGGTTCGACAATCACTGAAAGCGAAGAAGGATTGGATAGTTGTTACATTTTATTTCAGAAACTTCTAGTAATTTTCCCCCTACAGCATTACTAGCGATGAAATCCAGGATCTTCAGATCTCGCGACAAGTGTGTGGCCTTTTCTATCCAGTGGTACACATTACTAGCTTTGATCAATTCATAATATTATCATCTTTTTTTTTTCTCCTTGTTTTAGGCTGAACGATCAGGTGAATCACGTTTTTCATCATTATTCTGTGAAGATTTAACTGTATTTATTCAATTAATTGGATCACGTTTATTATCTACATTAATTGGTACTATAAAAACCACATCAATAATAACATGTAATCAATCGAATAAAACTGATGAATTGGATGCTACTATTCATAATCAAGTTATTACATCATCATTTAATGAATCTATAACAAAAATGGAACCGTTAAACTCTTTACAAACAAATAAATATATGAATCAATCATTAACACGAAAAAGTTCACCACATTCTGAATCTGTACCATTTAAACAATATTCTAACAATGTAAAATCTAATAATCCATATCATACTACTAATAATGTAACTGATTTCAGTGGAGTTGATGTTATCTCAGCAATTGGACAATTTTTAGGTCAATTATTTAATTTAATGGATAGAGGTTATATTTTTAAACGTATTCGTGATTTATTAATGTTCCTTGAAATATCACCAAGAATGGTAAGTTGACTTGTGTGTGTGTGTGTGTGTTTGTGCACTTTATGTGGAATTAACGAGATATCAAGAATTGTACCTTAAATTGTTTAAATTGACTTCTGTTTAATACATATCAGAAGGGAGGTTTTTTGTGTGAATATTTCAGTATTTTCATAGTTGAAATCATGAGTCATGAGGAGTCCCACAATAGGACGAAACGGCCGTTTAATGCTTTCAGGTTTTCCATGGTGGTCTAGCTTCAATTGACTCATGATTTCAACTATGATAATACATATCAGGCAATATTTTGGTTTGCTAGGCTGCTTAGCTTTTCGGATTCAATCTATCTATTTGTGACAAAGCAGTTGATGCAATTTCAAAGCTACTATTCATCATCATATATTGGTATATCTTAACTGACTATCTTTAATCTTTCTACCCAACACTCATGTCAGTAAGTAATGCTCAAAATAATCAATCAGTTGTAAATATCTCAATCCTTCAGGAGGTCAATCACTATCCAAATAGCTCGTTGGTAATATTTCAGACTGTGGAACTGTGTGACTCGGTGCTATGTTTGAGAGGGATGACGATTTTACCTGGGACTGGTGAACGGAACGAAGTTATTAACGTAACAACAAGACAAGCTAGGGTATTATACTGCGCTACAGCCCTGCTGACTATCGGGAGAAGACCAGATTCAGCCGGGAAAAATATATATGCAGCATGCAGCTCGGAAGAACGAACGACAAGCACACAACTCATGCGCATATATGAAATACAAAAATATCTTTGCAAAATGTCGCAAAATAGCGTACTAATAGGGAGAATAAACCAGTGTGATTTAAGGTCATTCCATGTGCGAATTACAAACTGAAGGTATAAATGGGGCTTTTGGCGCGAAAATGTGAAATCCACATTGCCATAATAAATTTACAAATGTGAGACCAAGTGATTTCTGGGGATCGAACATCCACAATACTCAGATTCCAATACATAAGTTTTCGTTAGTTCCTGCAAGATTTCAGGTACTTCTTAGTGGAGAATACCATCTAGTGTGAAAGCTATTTCTAAGATTTCTTATGAACTTCCTACAACCACCTAAAATTGGAAGAATACTAGTGTGATCGATTGCTCTACAGTTTTATGTTCTCCCATCTAAATAACACATTCTTGTTCAGCAAACGGCGTATGAATTGCAGATGATCCCGATAGAGTACTGAAATTGTAATTAGACCATTTTGTGTTGGAACTATATAGTTTTTGGTTTGAGCCCCATTCTAACTATTTCGACTAGCAAGGTCAGATCGTATAACTAGCGTTCAAATGGAAAGGTTCTCCTCAAAAGCATCTTCAACAGGAAGTTCGTAATTATATATTGAAGGTGATCATTTGAATCACCTAAACTGTCATAGTATTGTTAAATTTTTTAATTGGAATCATGGAGCGACTCAAGTAAAATCACCACTGAAAACATGGAATTCCTGGAGGGCTATTTTGCCTTAGTATAAGACTTCTTATGAGTGCACTCCCATGACCTCACACGCGGTTCTTGAACTCAGGTTCTTCGGCTTCTTGTGTGGACGCTTAACCACTATATCGCTCGGCCGGCATCCAATGACTTTAGTGACCAACCTAAATCAATCCGCGACTATCTTACATTACACACACACGCTACAAAATAGATACCCGATGGTTTCAGGTTTTACTGGTGGTCCAACTTAGATTGGCTCATGATTTCAGTGAAATTAAACATTCTCCACAACTTGTAAATATTCATTGGTTGAGTGTTACGTAAATTCATATAACAACACTTTTGTCTTGTTTACGACTTTTTTTTCCATAACTCAGATTTCATCATCTACGAATATTAACACGATAGAATTAGATAGTTGAAGGTAGTCGGCAGCGTGGGAGGGTCTGAAAAACTCTATATGATTTGATCCCATGTCACCAAGCTTTATAGTATAAGATGTTGAATTCCACCAATTTGTCTATTTTAACATTGTAAGGACTTCATGAACCTAATTTTCGTGGTTATTTAAACATAATTTTTATTTCATTCGATCAGTTAATCAATGTGTGTTGCTACCACAGTAACAAACCATTACTTTTAGTAGTTTACTAATAGTGATAAATATATTTATTAATGTGATTATTATTCGTATCCCCCGCTCCCGTTTTTCTTTTAAAATAAAACTATTTTTTATTTTTAGTCCGCTGATAAAATTGATCAATTAAATGAATTACGATTTGAATTATTACGTTGTATTTGTGAACATGAACATTTTATCCCATTGAATCTACCTATGCTAAATATATCCGATGGTTTAAGTAAGTTCACCATCCTACCTACCTTCCTTCCTTCCTTCCTTTATTATTTCACAATTAGTCCATTAGAGATAGTTTATAAGAAATTTAGTAAAATTATGTTTTATTAATGAACCAATCCGATGTGAGGTAGCGAGTATTTAATTTTTGTGGACAATTCAAAATTCAATGAGACTGACCAGTTGCAGTCTTAAACATCAATGGGAAAATTCAAACAAGTAATACTAAGTGAATTTAAACGTTACTATATTGCACAAGCAAGTAGCTATCAGGACTCAGTAGCTGAGTGGATAACACGATGACGTTTGAAGCGTTCGAGCCCCAGAGTGAACAGTACCTCTGAGATGCAGGTACATCTGGATGACAAGTTCAAAATAGAACGAAACGCGCGTCCTGGATTCCACTGCTAGTCACTATCCATCTTTACTTTCAATGATGGACAGTTTGTATTTTATCTAAAAGCCAAAAAAACCTACCAAGTATTTGGTTACTAGAGCACTTGAAGTTGATAATCGTAAGAAGGTTAAGTATGATGGATAATTATTTATATTATTTTGTCAGTAATGTAAGCATTACATGTTAGAATTATATTTGAAACAATCTAAGCGATTAAAATTTAAATAATTCCAACGTTTCATCCAGGAAACTTGTTTAGACTTCTTCAGGGTAGTATTCAAAAACAAATTTATCAAGTGATATATTGCGAAGGTTTTTTTTGGAGATTTCAGTATTTTCATAGTTGACATCATAAGTCAATTCAAGCTAGACCACCATGGTAAACCTGGAACAATCAAATCTTTGATTATCACCTTGAAGACACCCAACTGCGTCACAAGGCAAGCCATCGTGTGGAATCCTGAAGGCCAAAGAAGGAGAGCAATATCAAAGAACACATTACGCTGATAAATGTTAACAGATATGAGAAGAATTAACAACTGTTGGATAGAACTAGAAAGGAAGGCCAAGTATAAAGTGGGTTAGAGAATGCTGGTCAGTAGCCTATGCTCCATTAGGAGTAGCGGACGTATGGAAGCAAGTAATTATTACCCTGAAGATGTTCAGATATGTTTGTGGACAAAAGGTTGGAATGATTTAAATTTCAATCACTGAGATTATTTCAATTATCTCGAGGACAGAGACAATTAGCCCAGATACTCAAGCAAACTATAGGCAATCTAAACATAAAACATAATCTTTATTGTATCAATCTTGTTATTTACATTTGAAATTATACATATAAACCATTATCACTTCTATCATTTACTCATTATACATAATAGCTGAACAATATTCTGTTAGCAGACTGTGTACTGTTAATATTGAACATAGTCAAGGTATGTAAAATGTGTATTGCTATCCTATATATCATCAATATACTTGATTATCTCCATGTATATGTACACTACATCGCATTAGCTTTTATGATTATTATATATATTATAATAATTATTATGATTATAACTATACTCATATTGTATGTGCCCTGTATCTGTTTCGGTGGATTGTTTTTACTTATACATGCATGATTTTAATGAAATAAAAGGTACTTTAAATTTAAGAATTACGCACACACACATGCACGCACGCACACTTATATTTTATGTTTAACGTATTAGAACATTTAATCTAGATCATTACACTTTGAAAATATGTTCATTGTATGGCAACTCGAACTGATGTACATACGTATGTACAAAGTTCTACGTTGTAACTGACTGACTCTTTCTACAATCAAATGATAATTTTAATAGAATGGTTTATTAGTTTAAGTATCTCTATAAGATCTAGTTTCAATAAGTCGAATGCTGGGTTCTTTGTAAGGTATACCTTTAGATACAGTGCAGGGTGCTGCTCTAACAATATTCAACTTTCCCCTCTCCCAGATGCACTGTATGCCAGTTGTGTCGTTGTGTATTTTGTTTAAGAATGTAAACCATTGCTCTTTCCTTCATCTTATTCTTGAAATATCGTATTTTGAATTGATTTAATGAGAATTTGTGTTGTTCAAGTTATTTAACCGTCGTTGTTTGATATTTTATAAGACAGTTACCTTATTTATCTGCAAGTATCACTTTTCTGTGTATGTGTAATTCTTTAAATTAAAAATCTATTCAAGAGCATTATACAACTATTCACTTACAGTATTTTTGGTAATTGTGGATATATATATATATATATTGTTTATAATGTAGAGCCCCCCAATGCCCTGGTACGGTCGAGAGTCGGGGGAGTCCGCTCTCCCTCTCGAAATGCTCTCATATGGCCATGCGTATATAGCCTCTGTCAGGAAAATCCTACTCACTGCCTTCTCATGGCGGGTGTGTTGTCTACGGAATTCAGAGGACGAAGAGCAAATGTCCGGCACTTTAAATGAATGGGTGAACATGGATGGTCCACCTAGGGGAGTTGTTAAACCCTGGTTCCAAACCAATGTTGCACTTTTAGGTCAAAGACTCGGGGTGTGGTCCCTTAAGAAAACCACCTGCTTCAGTTTGGGCACCTGGGCAGTATCACAGTCCTCACACAAATCAAATAAGATTTGTGCGTCTCATATATATCTGTCTGGAGCCCCTTTGTACCAATATTTATGTGTTTAAATAAATAAATAAATACATAAAATAGAAGATTAGTTCTTTAGAAGTACCCGAATTTCAATCGTTCATCTGGACATTCATACCTTATTCGGATTACTTTGTTAGTTAGGTAGAAAATGATAGCATAGTAGTGAAAGTAATCGATTTTCGATAATTAAAAAGGTATTTTCATAGGTGAAATCATCAGTCAATTGAATCTAGACCACCATGGAAAACCTGGAAGCACTGGACGGCGGCTTCGTCTTATTATGCAGCTCAGCCGTGCGCATCCGCGATCCCGCAGATTCGAATTCAGGACCTAACGGTCCCGCGCCAGAACATTTAACCGATAGACCACTAAGCCGGCCGGCATCCAACGGTGTTAATGTCTAACTTCAACCAATCCACGACGTTTGAGCAACCCTTCACCAATTGTCTTCTGTGAGTTGTTATCTCACAACAGACGTAATTGAACTCCACTGGCTACTGCTTCCCGTTAGACCTCCAGTAATGAGCATATGATTATAATCAGAAGGGGTTTTGTGGAGATTTCAGTACTTTTCATAGTTGAAATCATGAGTCAATTGAAGCTAGATTTAAACCTCTTTGCTCCCACCTTGAAGATTGATTTTTAGTATGATCACTTGTGTAGTTGTGAGTATATCCATTAGAGTGAAAACAACGATTCATGGTCTGCTCATACTTAATAATTTTCGTGTTAGGTAACAAATCATGAAAAAAAATAACATTCAAATTAACGGAATCAGTATAGTCATGTTCATATTGCTATGAATGTTCGTTTGCATTAGTCGCGACATCGGAAAGTTTGGTTATCTATGTGTAGGAAATACTTCAACATCATGGAACTGCTGTAACCGGAAATAAAACAACCGAAAATTCATTATATATCACATTCAAAAATTCCAATTGAGTAGAAGACGAAGTTTATATATATTTCAGATAAGAAGGGGTTTTGTGGACAATTTAGTATTTTCATAGTTGAAAATTATAAGTCAATTGAAGCTACACCATCATGGAAAACCTGAAAGAATTGGAAGGCCGTTTTTTCCCTTTATGGGACTCCTCAGCAGTGCACATCCACGATCCCGAACTCGCGAGATTCGAACCCAGGACCTAGCAATCTCGCGCGCGAGCATTTAACCGGTAGACCACTGAGCTGGTCGGCATCTAACGGTGTTAATGTGTAGCTTCAACCAATCCACCGCGTTTGAGCAACCAATCACCAGTTGTCTTCAGTGAGTTGATATCTCTACAACATATTTGGTAGAACTCCACTAGTCACTGCTTCCCACTAGAAGTCAAGGAAATATCTATCTACATTTACATTGAGCAACCGTCCAAATTTAGTATAAACGCTTTACATTACTTAGTAAACAATAAGTAGTTAAACTTATAACGTGAAAAATGACAAATTTCATATTCGACTCTGGAGAATATATTATCACGTCAATTTGATAAATGAGGATAAACTGTAACGATTCTTTAGCGTATCAATAAATATTATTTAAAATGATATATTAAGGTCACTATTCGATACAACATAAATTCGTACCGAATATAACCATTTTTCACCTCGAATGAAATGGCCATCCAGTGCTTCCAGATTTTCCATGATGGTCTAGCTTCAGTTGATTCATGATCATGTAATAACCTGTATGTTTGAATGTATCCATTTTTGAAAGTCCGAATTTGGTACGCTGTTACATAATTTGATTGTTGTTATTATTTTTTTCTCTTTTTGTATGATTATTTGTTGATATGATTTTACTTTTGCATCATATATACACATAGTTTTAAAGCATGAGTCAATTGAAGCTAGACCACCATGGAAAACTTGGAAACACTGGACTGCCGTTTCGTCCTATTATGGGACTCCTCAGCAGTACGCATCCACCATCCCGCACTCGCGAGATTCGAACCCAGGACCTACCAGTTTCGAGCCGAAGCCCTTAACCGACTCATGCTTTAAAACTATGAAAAATACTAAATCTCCACAAAACCTTCTCTGATAATTAATATATACACATTACTCTTTATTTAATTGAACTGCAAAACTTTCGAACCAATCAGTCTATTTGATGATCCAGATTGTCATTATTCAGATATACACTTAATATCATGATTCATTTAATCTAAAAATTTTGTTCCCTTATGATTGGTAATATTGTGATTTTTTTGTGCTTCTTTGATATAGTTATGATTTACCTAAATAGTCCAAACTATACTTTAAATAGTCTGCGTTGTTTAAAAGCTTGATGTTATAATGTATGAGTGTGTGTGTGCCCTGTTTGATATATGAACGTGTTGATCCCCGCCAATCAGAGAGGAGCGTATTATCGATCAGAGCTCTGATACAAAAAAGCTGTATGAGCAGTCCTGCTTTCCGCCTAGTCCAGCCAGTTAAGTCCAGAACACTAATAACAGCCTCTGCAATATGAATCGTTATTCTCAAACATACTTAGTTTTATATGCCAAACAAACTGATTACATCGTACCATAAAATAGGAAAACACACATTTGTACAAGATTTGGATAAATGTGGCTGTGAATAGGGGGAACAGTAGACAATAGACTAAGGATAAATCAAGAATGGTAAATCGTATCATAATAGTTCATAGGTCAAAATAAAGCTTATATTAAGAGGAAAACGAATACGAATAGTTTAGTCACTTAACAGTTATACAATAGGATATATACGCATCACATTGGTCCATAAATAGTCCTCAAGAGTTCACATTCATAATTCTCCACGGAATATAACACTTGCAAAAGAATTGTAGAAGATGACGGACTATGTTGTCCTTATTTCATTGATTTATGAAGAATTTGACATCTGAAGGGAAATATGGAATACAATGGACAGCTCAGAATCAATTAGATGATTTGGACTTCGCATATGACCTAGCCCTCCTCTCTCATACACACGAACAAATGCACTTGAAGACAGCAAATGTATCAGCAGTCTGTGCATCGATAGGCCTCCACATTCACAAAGGAAAAAGCAAGATTCTCAAATGCAACACGGAGAACACCAACCCAATCACACTTGATGGCGAAACTCTGGAAGAGGTGGAAACATTCAAGTACCTGGGGAGCATCGTTGATAAACAAGGAGGATCGGATGCAGATGTAAAGGCGAGGATTGGCAAATCCAGGGCAGTATTTCTACAGTTGAAGAACATTTGGAACTCAAAACAGCTCTCAACCAATTTCAGGGTCAGAATCTTTAATACGAACGTCAAGACAGTCCTACTGTATGGAGATGAAACGTAAAGAACTACTACGAACATCATCAGGAAGGTACAAGTATTTGTAAACAGTTGTCTGCGCAATATACTCAACATCCATTGGCTGGATACTATCAGAAACAGCGTTTTATGGGAGAGGACAAACCAGCTTCCAGCTGAAGAGGAAATTAGGAAAAGACATTGGAAGTGGATCGGACATACATTAAGGAAATCACCAATGTGCATTACAAGGCAATCCCTAACTTGGAATCCGGAAGGGAAGCGGAAAAGAGAAAGGCCAAAGAACACACTACGCCGGGAAATAGAAGCCAATATGAAAAGGCTGAATAGCAACTGGAAAGAACTGAAAAGGAAGGCTCAGGACAGAGTTGGATGGAGAATGCTAGTTAGTGGCTTATGGTCCTCGACAAGAAGTAACAGGCGTAAGTAAGTAAGTAAGTAAGTATCAAAATTATTAACGATTTCAACATGTATTTCAAAAGCTTCTAAACTATCACTATCATATATTGTCGTTCAAATTCATTTGTTTTCTGTTAGTGGTTTAATACTATACTTAAAATATTTTTTACATTATCCTTTTTCTGTTTTATTTTTTTTGGGAATTCTAATGTACAATAAATTTTATAAGAATTGTAAATTATTTAGAGATTCGACATCTATAACATTCAATTCTGTTATGTATCTATTAAACATACTAAACATATTTGATCAATAGTAGTTATATAATAGATAGAAATAAATCATTTAAATATATATTCATTTTCCTTATATAATTCAATTTCATCTCTGATGTGTGGGCGAGAATGTCAATGATTGGTTGTCTCGATGAGTCAGACATTAGAGGGGATTACAGGTGTTATGTGTTATATATATATATTTCCCTATCCTTATTATGTATGGAACTTATTGACTGTTCCATGTGTCGGATTTTCGTGTGGAAATATATTGACGTTATAGTCAGGCTAATCTGGTGTTCTTGATCTGAGTTCTGTTGAAGTCCTGTAGAATAGACACTGGGTGGGAATCTAGTGTAGATATTCGTCTAAGATAAATTAACGTCCCACATAAGTGTAAGAAGTAAAAGGACTGTTATAACCAGAAACCCCTAAAGTTATAACCAGCATCCTCTCTCTCTCTCTCTCTCTACGTTTATAACAATTGGCGACGGCATACATACGTTTATAACAATCTCTTACACATATTAGAAACTATAGAAATTTAATCCAACAATTCATATGTTTGTGTTCAAAAAAAAAAATAAAAAAAAATTTATACCATCCTTCTCTCTTTTTTCGTTTGTTTTTCTTTACTTCATTCTCCTTTTCTTTTTTTTTTCTTTTTTTTTTTTTTCTCCCAAACATACACTTCATAATTGAATTATTTAAACAATTCCTTATTATTACATAATCTTATAACGATTATGAATGTAATTTCAATGTTTATATTTTTATTTTTTGTGCTATTCATTAACCTATCCTAACATTGATTCAAGCCTTTTTTTTTTATTATTATTGTTTATCACAATTAGTATATTTGTTATTACACTACCAATTTGTAATTTCTACTTATTATATATTTAGTTATTTAATCTATTCTATTTTTATCATTGACTCATAAATTGTTTTAATTAGTTTAATAGTTTCATTTTAGTCAGTCAGCTACAATTTAGGACTAGGCACACATATATGCATCAGTCCAAGTTGCTATACCTTGTTAGCACAACAAGATGAACACCGGATTCATAGAAATAGTTAATTTAGTGTTGGTAGTAGTATATAAATTATAAGTTGTATATAAGGATATAGTACAGGAAGGAATAGAGATATGAAGCAATTTTAGTTTCATGTATATACATATGAATATTATTGTATATTACAGTGAAGCCTGATGAGAATAAAATAGAAAATAATATTGTTCGCTTATTCTAAATATTACAGTTCAAATCCAAACATACTAGTTACTAACGATTAGAATTTGAATGATGTTAAATGGTTAAATATGTTACATATGAATGTGATCAATATAGGTGTTTATTTGAACTTAAGTGAGCTTTAAGGTTTGTCGATGTCGTACTTTAGATGTTGGTATATTGTTATGACAAGGGGTTTTGTGGAGATTTAGTATTTTTCATAGTTGAAAGCGTGAGTCAATTGAGGCTAGACCACCATGGAAAATCTGGAACCACTGGACGGCCGTCTCGTCCTATTATGGGACTCCTCAACGGTGCGCATCCACGATCCCGCACTCGCGAGATTCGAACCCAGGACCTATCAGTCTCAACTTACTTGACCATTTGAAGTTAGATGTTAACACCGTTGAATACCGGCTCAGTGGTCTATCGGTTAAGTGCTCTAGCGCGAGACTGGTAGGTCCTGGGTTCGAATCTCGCGAGTGCGGGATCGTGGTTGCACATCGCTGAGAAATCCCATAATAGGATGAAACGGACATCCAGTGCTTCCAGGTTTTCCATGGTCGTATATTGATCAAATCCCCATACAAGTGGAGTCTTATATCTTTATACATTATTATTCAAAAAAGGCGTTTCTTTCTTAAATGAATCATTTTGTGTTAAAATATTTCTATAACCAAACATATGATTTATAAGCAAGAATGAATGGATAGTAGCTAGCAATGGAATCCAGTTTGACGCGCGTTTCGTCCTATTTGGGACTCGTCATATGATTTTGCAAATGAATAAAATCAAATCTGTTTGTTACTTGGTTGTTCAATCTTTTGATTAATTTTTTTTTGGTGTATAACTGTCTATTGTCTGCATTATTCATATCATAATTCTGACGATCATTCATTTAACTATACATAATTCACATTATATTCTTTTGTTTCTTTAAAAATATATATGTGACATTGTAGAAGTTTCTGTTTGAGTGTTGTACGTTTGTTTGTGTTAACCGGTTATCTTATAACTTCGATTGTTACTATATGTTGTGGTGTGCAGTGTCCGAAATCGGATATTGATACATGGTGTATGTACTATGTGCTAACCCCTCAGTTGATTGTATGTGCGAGAAAGTGTATTGAACTCCCAAATGAAACGCACACATATTCATATATATATATATATATATATATACCACTTTATCCGTAGGAAGTTGACCCATTGGCCTAATTCAATGTAGTTGACCTTTAGGTGACTAGGAATTGTCATCAATTGATCCTTTCATTAGGCTACTTATGATTGGTTCTCCATATCACTATGATCATCCATAATAATAATAATAAAATTTGTGATTTAAAGAGTAATTTCTTTTATTTTGTTAATCTGTTATTACTAACTTAATTCATCGTACCATTGTCATGTATTATACTAAATGAATATATGATGTATATATGATGAGTACATGATGTCCATCTGGCTAATTTATTGAAAGCTCCCAACATTATACTTGTCAGCATCTAGAAGACTACAGCTATAGAGACTATTATTTTTTGCTTTTTGATATAAAGATTTTTATTCACTAGATATTGTTTACTTAAATCTTTCCATTGATGTTTAGGGCTGCAATTGATCAGCTTATCACTTATTGGCATACATATACATATTGTGTTTATTTACCTCGATAATATTGCTTCAATTTACAAGCATTCTAAGCAAAAATGTATAGTAGCTAGCATTAAAATCCAGAATGTGCGTTACATCCTATTTGGGACCCGTCATCTGGATGTACCTTGATCTCAGAGTTGATGTTCACTCTGGGACTCGAACCCAGTGGCTAAGTGAATAACACGATGACGTTTGAAGCGGACATTACTTTTATTTCATATATTAAGGAGTTGTCATTAGTAGTTGTATTATATTCCGAAACATGTTTCGCGTTGTAATAATTCAATAAAAAAAACATTATTGAAATGTTTTTGACAGTCAGTATTTATTACCTATCATTAATCAGTGGAGATGATCTATAAATTCAGCTTCTATCATTATGGTTACATTGAACCTTAAACTTAGTCTTAGTCATCAATTAACGTACCTGTCTTGTTAATTAAATGCTCCTGAAAATTTGATAACAATCCATTTGGAAGCCTCCAAATGCCCTGATACGACCTAGAGTGGCAGAGTTGGCTCTCCTTCTCGAAATACGCTCACATGGCCACGTGCATACAACTACTGTTAAAGAAGCTCTACTCACTGCATTCTCATGGTAGGGGTGTTTTTACGAAATTGAGAGGACGAAAAGCGGATGTTCTTCGCTTTATTCGGGTTGGTGGACATGGAAAGTCCACCTAGGGGAGTAAGAATACCCTGATTCCTAACCAATGGTGCACATGGACTCCAAGATCCTGATAGAGCAAATGGAATATGAACCAATTATTGGTGACCAGCTGCTATGGAACTGCATCTCCTTATGTTTCTCCAGTGCCTTAGGGACTAAACTTTTAGATGAAAAACTATTGGTGTGGCCCCCTAAGAAAACCAACTACTTTGTTCTGAGCACCCGAGCAGTATCCCAACCCTCACACAAGTCGAAGGATTTATGTGGCACATATCTATTTGGTGCCTCCTTGCACCAATGTTTATATGTTTAAATAAATAAATAATCCATTTAGAAATTAAGTATTCTAATTCTATTTTATTGAATGCTGGTCATCAGCCTATGCTCCATTGGAAGTAACAGGCGTAAGTAAGTAATTCTATTTTATTAAATTGATTGGTTTGTTGTAATTAGTTATGTAATCCCCTTGTTAATCTTCATTATGTATTTATGTATGATGTTTATGCTATTCATTCAATCCTTTGTTTTCCCTTCATTATTTATTTCAATGAATCCTTAGATGTTGGTCTTGAATTATCATTAACTGATCAATTTTGTCAACAACATTTTCCAATTGGAATTTTATTGAATCAACTTAGTTGTTTATTATCTGGTTGTATAAATACTGGAAGTTGGGCAATACTCAAATCAACATCAAGTCAACATTATAAACAACCTATTACAATATTACGTAATCTATTAATTAAACATACATTAGATCCTCGTTATTGTAATTCTAAAATAATTCAAGCTAGAATTTGTTCATTATATCTTCCATTGATTCGTTTAGTATTAGATCATTGGGATTCGTTTGGACCTCCAGGTAAAGTGAGATCTGGTGTTTAGCATTATTACTATTTTACAAATCTCTTTTTACCTTTGACATTGGTTCATCAATGAGATTAGTTCATTATCTCAATGGAACCTAATTTTAAAGTAACAAATAGTTTCTGATAGAACTTCGGACTTATCATCACTTCAATCTTTACCATTGAACTGACCTATACGAAGAGATGCAAAATCTTCGGTTTAAGTTTACACAATAATCAGCAGTTTGAGACTGGGTGAAATGTCTCAAAAGCGGTCGCAATGGTGTAGATTCCTATTGTTCCCAATTTTTTTGAGTTCCAGTTCTCCCTCATACATGTCATTTGATGTCATCTCAAATCATATTCTGAATGTTTAGTTTATCTCACCTTCACTAAAATTGTAGTAAACAAAACACCGGTTGGAGACTGATGTTTTGGTAGTGAAGTATTTAGATTGTAAGTAATCAGTCGATATATTTCGGTAAACAAATATCAGTGTGAGAACTGAAAGCATCGTTTGATTTCAGTGCACTCTATATATATTGGACTCCACAATTGCATAGTTATGTGACTAAATTTCTGTTCGGAGTATATATGCCTAACATCATAGCTGGTAATGTAGAATTTTCTGATCGTTCAGAAATAATAAAAAGTAATACAATCAAAGAACTGGTTACATGATTTGATAACTAACTAGAAGTGCCGTGTTTGCGTTAATAAAGCGTTTGTATGAAGCTCAGGGTTATTTTACTACATATCCTATTTTCATGTTGGTAGATGTTGTTTTATCTAATCGTAGCGAATATCCGGCGCTTTAACCGGGTTGGTGGATGAGGAGGGTCCACCTAGTGGAGTTGGAAAACCCTCATTCCAAACCAACGGTGCACATGGGTTCCAGTTTCCTGAAGGAACGAACGGCGTATGAATGGACACTGGCTACCGTGGGACTACATCTCCTCACGATACTCCACTGCCTTGTGGATCAGATCTTTAGGTCAAAGGCTCCGAGTGTGGCCCCCTAAAAAAACCACTTGTTTCAGTTTGGGCACCTGGGCAGTATCACAGCCCTCACACAAATCGAATGAGATTTGTGCGGTGCATATGTATCTGGTGCTTCCTTGTACCAATATTTATGTGTTTAAATAATAAATAATAATAATACATGACATAAACACCGATTCAAACCCGTCTGAGAACTAATCCTGAGCTAACGAAAAGCTCCTGTTGGTCCTCGACTAGGCAACTTGTCTTCCTGCTCTCTCCGTTGAGTCCAGAGCAGAGTAATCAGCCTCCACTATAAAACATATTTCAAGCAGACGTAATTTTTATACAGGTATATCAGACCGCATCACACTATAATGTATCGTTTATACATGATCAAGTCAAAAAGGGGCTGTGAAAATGGGGATCTGTGAACAATAAACTGAAAACAGACTAAGAATAATAAGTCGTACAACAGTAGTTAGTGGGTTACCATTCCTTTAGTCTTCGTCGGATACAACACGAACTTTAACTGTATCCAGATTCAGTGCTTCCCCCAACTACCAACACTTTATAATGAAACTTCAGCTTTAAATTAAATGTTCATTATTTTTCTTATCTTTCTTTATTTAAAAAAAGGTGGTGCTCTACAAACAGCTGTTATCGCAGCTGCAGTACGTCGAGATTATGAAGAATCTCTACAACTGATTGATGGCCATAGTAATTCTGGTACATTGAATACATCTCGTCGTCAACATTCCATTGATAAATCAAATAAATTAAATAAATCCAATGTTTCAGGTAATATAACTAGTCATATTAACAGTAGATCACATTATCGTCCACAAAGTATGCTCAGTGATTATTCCTTAGAAACAATTAATAATAACAATAATTCACGGCAACAACAACAGAACACAACGAATTCAGATAATGGATCATATGATTCTTATTTATCCATAACTAGCAATAGTCATTCATTTTCACAGATTGGCGGTAGTGGTAGAAAATCTTCACTTTCAAGTGATCAAAGTGATGGTCGATCAACAAACAGCGGTTCCGCATCTGGTGCATCTACTACTCCTAATACTGCTTATTTAACTAAAGATGGTAAAGTACAAAAGCATATATTAGATCAAATTGCTGGAGTTAATCAAGGTATGTGGTCATAATCTATCTTTTTGTGTTTGCTTATTTACTGTGTGATCGTGATTGATATTATCTGTATGCTCAAACTGAAGCAAAATGGTGTATTTACCTGAGGTTTCCTCTTCAGTAATGTTTAATCAAGGGTTTAATCAATTAAATAATAGGGCAACTGTAGGAGAAGCAAACTCTTTCAGTTAGGAGCTGTAGTAGAAGACTGAACCTAATGTATGTTATTGGTTAAGAATAAGAGTTTCTTCTTAGCATTGTTTGGTCGAAGTTCTTCAGCTAGTAAGGAACTTGTGTTATATTCTTTATATAAGTTTATTTATTTATTTAAACACATAAATATTGGTACAAAGTGGCACCAGATAGACATATGCGCAACACAAATCTCATTTCATTTGTGTGAGGGCTGGGATACTGACCGGCTGCCCAAACTGAAGCAGGTGGTTTTTTTAGGGGGCCACACCCGGATACTTCACCTAAAAATCTGATCAACAAGGCAATGGAGCATCGTGAGGAGATGCAGTCCCATGATAGTCGGTGACCAACAACTGGTTCATACGCCATTTGTTCCCTCAGGATACTGGAGTCAGCCGATGTGCACTATTGGTCTATCTGGTGCCACTTTGTACCAATATTTATGTGTTTAAATGAAAACGAAATGAAGCCACTTGTCACTGGTTAAAACATTTTATGCAAGGATTTTTTTATAATGTTTACTTATCAAATGCCTTTCATACTTTTATCAGGTGGCGCTCTTCAACGTGTACAAAGAATACGTCAACAGCAGGACATATCATCTATATCAGCACCATCAACAACAATTACCATGTCTTCCATCGAACCTAATGCACCATCGATTATATCTAATCATTGTCCACGTTCTCATTCAATTCATTCTGTGGATAGTGTACAAAGTGGGAATTGTATTTTATCGAGTCATACAAGTAGTAGTACACTGACATTAACTGGTGTCGAAGTGGATAATAATAATAATCATATAAATGGCCCAAATGGAGGTAATCATATCGATGAGAATTATGGCAATAATAACTTAACAAGTGATTGCAAGAATGATGAAATCAAACAGAATCATAATGAACTAAGTAAGTTGAATGTAAAACTGTCATTGGTGTTTTCATATTTAACTTAATGTTTTTTTTCCACTTCCAACTATACTTCGTCGTTTCATATTATTCTTATCTGCTATAGTGAATGAAAAGTATGATAATTAGCCCTTACTTACTTACTTACTTACTTACTTACTTACTTACTTACTTACTTACTTACTTACTTACTTACTTACTTACTTACTTACTTACTTACTTACTTACTTACTTACTTACTTACTTACTTACTTACTTACTTACTTACTTACTTACTTACTTACTTACTTACTTACTTACACCTGTTACTTCTCGTCGAGGACCATAAGCCACTAACTAGCATTCTCCATCCAACTCTGTCCTGAGCCTTCCTTTCCAGTTCTTTCCAGTTTCTATTCAGCCTTTTCATATTGGCTTCGATTTCCCGGCGTAATTTGTTCTTTGGCCTTCCTCTTTTCCGCTTCCCTTCCGGATTCCAAGTTAGGGATTGAGTCGTGATGCACATTGGTGATTTCCTTAATGTATGTCCGATCCACTTCCAATGTCTTTTCCTAATTTCCTCTTCAGCTGGAAGCTGGTTTGTCCTCTCCCATAAAGCACTGTTGCTGATAGTATCCAGCCAATGGATGTTGAGTATTTTGCGTAAACAACTGTTTATAAATACTTGTACCTTCCTGATGATGGTCGTAATAGTTCTCCACATTTCATCTCCATACAGTAGGACTGTCTTAACGTAATCTTATAATTTGCATTATAGGGTGATTTTACTGGTTTTAATGTGGGACTCTTCAGCAGTGCGTTTCCTCAACTTTATTGGAGTACGAATGTAGAGCTCGGATCTCGCAGAAATTGTTTTAAATTTTAGGTTAATAGATTTCAGCCATGTCTGAAGTGAAGCTTTTATACATTAATGGTATGATATAATGGTTACATATTATTGCAAATCAGAGTTAGAAATCTAAACCATTTGATTGTAATTCAATGGTCTAAAGGTTAAGCGCTTACCTCGAGATCTGAAAGTTTTGGATTCGATCTCTGATGGGTCGTGACTGCGTACTCCTATGGATTCTTGTAACAGAATGAAATAAGTGTCTCATCCCTCTTGGTTTTTAATCTTTATCTAACTAAGATCAGCTCTTGATGTAAACTACAACACTTTGCAATCTCCACATGAAATTGAACATCATGTAGTACATTCATGTCTTTAGCCTTGAGTCATACTTTATTTGTGCGTAAGCTCAATGGCACTACCCAGTTAATTAGATCTAACTAATTAGAACAGGTTTTAAACTTATGACATAATGATTGAAAGTCGAGTACCTTAATCACTAAGCTATTGTTATTATTCAATATGATTGATTATAGATTACGATCAAGATTGGGCAAAACAAGTTCTTACATTAGCTGGTATTTATACAGATCGTGTTAATGATATGAAATCAATGAGTTCACAATCTGTTATATCCAATCCTTCTACTATTGGAATTCCTTTAGAAATGAATGTTTCAGAGATGGAGTAAGTATTTGAATACTTCATAAAGTTGAATATAATTATTACTCATTATGCATCACCACTTTTCAGCCTACGTTTTATGCTTAACAGAAGGTTTCCCTACCATTTCAACTCCATATTTTGTATTCATCTTTGTAAATATACTGAAATGGATATGGAGGATCTACCTAGTAGAGTAGGAAAACACTCGTTCCAAACCAATGGTGCATATGGGCTCCAAGATCTTGATGGAACCTATTGTTGGTCACTGGTTACCACGGGATTCCATCTCCCTACGTTGTTCCACTGACTTGTGGATTAGACCTTTAGATGAAAGGCTCCGAAGAAAACCACCTGTTCCATCGCTCACATGAATCGAATGATTTATATGGCGTATATCTATTTGGTGCCTCCTTCTACCAACTTTATGTGTTCATCAAAAACTGACATCAGTTATAATGCCAAAATGTTATTTAACCAAATGGATGAGTGAATTTCGCACCGAAATTCGAGACTTAATATTTTATACCTGATTGCTTCGTTTATAAATTATAGTCTCACTGGAATAGTTAATCTCACTGATTTCGAATCTCGCTCGCTCGCGAGGTGGGATCGTGGATGCGCACTGCTGAGGAGTCCTATAATAGGACTAAACGGTCGTTCAGTGCTTCCTGGTTTCCCATAGTGGTCTAGCTTTAATTGAATCATGATTTCAACTATGAATAATCTCACTTTATAATTTGTCTATTATTTTCTTTTCTTTTTTAAAAAAGTTCCGACAATGTTCATCAACCTCCTCATTATCATAATCATCTTCCATTTCATCATAATATTCGATCTAATCTACATAAGGTATTTATACCTGAATTATTATTAACTAAACAACCTGTTATACGTCCACATATTCATCGTCGTCCATGTGAACAAAATAATATAGATGCACCACGTCGTTTAACTGATAATTGTCAACGTGATTTATATATATGTATATTACATATTATGTCTACTATAACAGTAGTACATTTAAAATGTCTATTACAAAGTTTTACAATACAAGAAAGGTTACATTTTTTGAATATATTAAAGTGAGTTTCCATGGTAATATTATGATAATAAATATGTAATAAGTTCCTTTTCTCTGGACATTTTTGAGAATCCTATATGTATGGGTTAATGTTTCCAAACACCTGAAGTCGTTTAAAGGAAAGAATGATCAGTTACACAACAACAAAACAAGTTAAACTATTCACTGTGACCCAGACCTACTGACTAAAGGAAGAAGGTTCACATGAGATCAAAATGTATTTCACAAGCAGTTGGAAGCACAAAGTAGCGTAGTAAAAGAGGAAACGAACTAATAACATTTCAGGTTTTTTCAAATAGACCATACAATCTGAAGGCAAAAATGAGCGGTTTCAGTACTGAAGTTATTCATTCACACGAAATATTTACAGTAGTCTTGGTCTAATATCGTTCTTGAGGTTTTCAATTCTATAAAATACTAGTGTAGTGAACGAAACACGACTGGGGACAATCGAATGTATTAAGACACAAATTACAGGCTATCTCACTAAATTCTGATAAACATACAACAAACAGTTAATTTGCAAAATCACAAACAATTGTCTCAATCTTCACTGTTCCTTCTGTAAATATCATCAGTTCATCTTCTCTAATTTCATTGTTCATGTATTTTCCTATCAATTGCGCGTCATTACAATTCTTTCCTTATCTGTCTTCTGCGAAAATATATTCTATGTCTGACCATCGCCATATACTACTTATGAGGATATAATTAGACCACATCAAACTAGATCTAATTAAGAAGCTCTGCTTCTTTTATCAATCTATGATTTCCATATATATCTTTCAAAGTCTCATGAAATTCCTGAGATTTCGTTCAAGTGTCACGAAAACTTTAGATGCTCTGATTTAATTTTGGTCTTTAAATTGGTCCTTACATGAGTTTTTTTTTCTAGTGATATCACAGACTTTATCAATGAACTACTGATATATTACTAGAAAAGACTACTCTTTTAAAATTACGTTCACTCATTTCATTAATTCAATTATGTTTTTGTATATTATTTTTCTTTATCTTACCATCTACAGATTTTCAATTCAACATCTACGTTATCGTGGTAAACATTGTATTCAACAATACGAGTAAGATGATGAGAACATTTTGCCATATTTCTATCGCTTTGAGATGGTGGAGAGGATTTGTAGCTCAGGTGGATGATTTTGATGTAGGCTTATTCTCTGAGCTTGGAGCTTCACTTCACTTCTACCCGAAGTTTTTACGGATGATGTCGTTCAGAAGGACTATGAAAGTTCCACGACCAAATCATCTAGCTCATAGAACAAACCTACATCAAAATTCTATCGCTTTGTTTACTCCCACTGAAATTGGGAATCATAGTAGTCTTTTTCGTGAAACACAAGATATAAGTTATTTAAGTTTACAGTTCATCATTGTGCGACTTAATTCTTAACTAAAGTATCTCATGCACCTTACCTTTTGAGAAAAAGTTTTTTAATTCTGTGTACGGTGGAAGATGTCAATCGGTCAAACGTACGTACATCGGCCATACCTCATCCAACCTGAGTCAAAGAATGAATATACCATTTCTGTTGTGTTTTTGATAACTAATGATATCTAAAACCCTTTATATTTATAACTTCTTGATGCTTGAAATTTCTGTGGATAATGAATATGACACTGTTCAATACTCAATGATTAATCACTTGTAAATATTTTTTCCTTACGGGAAGTCATTCGCTGCTCAAATAGTTTATTGGTAACGTTTTCGACTATTAAGCTGGCTGATACAATGACGAATCCAATGCAGAGCATAAGATTACAGATATACCATACTGACAAGTACCGAATGAAATGAAACCGAATCTATCATCTTTCCCAGCTATTTATTTCATCCTTTGAATATTGCCTACTCATTTTGTTATCAGTAGTTAAACAATGTATAAGTAATTCAAAACTACATTCTGATTTTGTAGGTATCATTACCAAAGTTTTTACTTGATAATTTCGAATAAATTGAACATTGGTTAGATTGTTATAAACGAATCATATATTTTTAATATCCCAATGAGGAAAAAAAGTTAGATTTTCTGACGTTTCGTGACTCAGTGTAAGCCATTTCTTTATTCTCCGAAGAAGTGGCTTACACTGAGTCACGAAACCTCGGAAAATCTAATTTTTCTACCCACTGGGATATCTTGAAATATATCATCTATTTATCACATTCTTATTGTTTATCTGAACATAATTTTTGTTTAATTTAGACACATAAGTCAAAGTAGTGTTGGACGGACTGCTGGTAATGGCCATCTCCTTCATATTAGCAATGCACTAGCTAATAATGCTGCTGCTCGTAAAAAGAGTAAAAGTATACAAAGTGATCTGTTAACTAAAAACTTAAATGAACTAACCCCTGAAAAAGGGCAGAAAAATATACCAAGTAAGTACTTTTTTGGATCATTAAACGGTTTTACAACTATGTATTAAAATGTCAAGTGAATTTTAGAGATTTATCTTTGAATCAGAAGGGGTTTTGTGGATATTTCAGTATTTTCATAGTTGAAATCATAAGTCAATTGAAGCTGGACTATCATGGAAAACCTTGAAGCAATGGACGGCCGTTTCGTCCTGTTATGGGACTCCTCAACAGTGCTCATCCACAATCTCGTCACGCGAGTGGGATTCGAACCCAGGATCTACCAGTCTCGCGCCAGAGCATTTAACCGATAAGATTTATCTTACTTTATCATAGGAATACTTTAAAATATTGTATAAGTACTAAACAAGAAAGCATAACTAAAATCCATATACCTAGATTGTGAGTGAATTTAACACCTAGTTTCACATACATATTATTTTTTTTGTAGAAACGAAAGTTTTATTAAAAGCGAATTTGGCAACTGAATCAAGCTTGATCATCTTAGATTTATTGAGTACGTTTACAACAGTTTTTAAGGTAAGTTGTTTTCTATCATTTTCATTGATACATTTCGCTTTAAATAAATAAACATGATCATAGTTGAAATCACAAGTTAATCTAATCTAGACTACCATTAAAATCCTGGAAGCACAGAACAACTGTTTCGTCTTAGTATGAGACTCATTAGCAATGTATATACACTACCACACTTATCAGAGTTAGACTCAGAACTTTCGGTCTCGCGTATGAATGCTTATCCTTTAGATTACTGCTTCGGGATCCAGCGGTGTTAATGTCCAATTTCAATCAGTATATGATCTTGCTCACTTATTGGAGTCCACTGATCACCATTAATTAGTAGTAGTGTTTTGAAATTCTTTGAAGAAAGTTCTAACTTTATGATGACGTAAAAGTACTTTGGTAATTTGAGATTTAATCCTTTCCATTTGAATTATTATTATTTTAAATGAATTAGCATGGTTCAATGCTGCTTAAACTAGTTGATTTGTTGAATGTAGTTAGTAAACCACATGACCAAACTCAATGTTCTAAACGTAATTATTTTTGTCTGGTTAGCGCTATTTAAGCAAGGGTCGTTAACCCCACTCCCATTCCTCTTCCTTTATCCGGGCTTGGGACTGGCAGTAGCCCCAGAGGGACTTCAGGAGGAGCATAAATCTAATTTTATCTGTTAAAAATATTTTGTCCAATGACATATTATCGCCTGAAATTTAAACTGTTTGGTTATATCAAACATGATAGAAGCTCTATGAATTATCCGTTACCCTTTTCTTTTACTAATTAAACCATGTAATCTAATATAATTTCTAAACTTTTCATCATATCGATTTGTTTCCTGTCAATTACTCAGTCAGTCACAACGTAGAACTTCGTACGTACGTACGTATGTACATCAGTTCGAGTTGCCATACCACATCAGCACACAGAGATGCAGTTGTCGATTCAAATCTCATAGTAGTAGAAGTAGTAAGAGTATAAACATTAATGTGAAAGATTGTTTCCTGTCGATTACCTTCAATCATTGAACATTAAAACGTATTGCATAGGATGATTATTTGCTTAGATTTATGGTTATACTTCATTGTCTTTGATAAAATTTGATCAAGATTAAAAACTGAACAATTATTACTACGGCCATAATTTAGTAGTCAGTCAATCAACTTTAATAGTCGAGATCATGAATCAATTGAAGCTAGACTAACATGGAAAACCTGGAAGCACTGGACGGCCGTTTCACCCTATTGTGGGACTCTTCAGCAATGCGCATCCACGATCCCGCCTCTCATGATTCGTGGGTTAGTTGAAGTTAGACATTAACACCGTTGGATGCCGGCTCAGTGGTCTAGTGGTTAAACACTCGCGTGCGAGACTAATAGGTCCTAGATTCAAGTCTCGCGAGACGGGATCATGAATGCCCACTGCTGAAGAGTCTTATAATAGGTGGAAGTGGCCGTCCAGTGTTTTCAGGTTTTCCATGGTGGTCTAACTTCAATTGACTCATGACCTCACTTTTCATTGATTTTCTTCTTTAAAATAGTTTTCTAATTTTTTTATTTTATACTTTGGTTCTAGTCAGAGTTGAATACATGTAAGCCTAATGATCCGGTGTTTCGTTCATTACTTGAAACGTATATTTTCATTCTATCTAATAATCCATCTGATCATGTCATACGACATACATTTTCTGCATTACGTGTATTTATTAATCAACATTCACAGGTAATTAATATATTTTTCATAATACTTTAATGTTATCTAAAGGGTATTATTAACTGTAATTGTGGAACATTTAGATCCATTGTTGTCAAGCTGTTCAAATAGAGATCACCTTTCTGTAGAACAGAATCAGGCTACCAGATTAGCTCTTGATAACGTTGTTTAGTTCTTAATGTCTACCAAAATTTATAAGACCAATTTATCAAGTTTAGCTACTTGTTTTGTTTATCGCTCAAAGCCTCCAAATGCCCTGGTACGTCTGAGAGTGGGGAGAGTACGCTCTCCCTCTCAAAATGCCCTCACACGACCACGCGTATACAGCCTGTATCAGGGAAGTTCTATTCACTGCCTTCTCGTGGTGAGGGTGTTGTTTACGAAATTGAGAGGACGGAAGGCGAATGTCCGGCGCTTGAACTATGTTTGTGGACACAGAGAGTCTGCCTACGGGAGTTGGAAAATCCTCATTCCAAAACAATGGTGCACGTGGGTCCCAGTACCCTGAGGGAACGAATGGCGTGTGAACCAATCGTTGGTCACCGGCTACCATGGGACTGCATCTCCTGAGGATGCTCCACTGCCTTATGGATCAGACCTTTAGGTCAAAGGCTCCGAGTGTGGCTTTCTAAGAAAACTAACTGCTACGGTCTTGGCAGCTGGGAAGTATCATAGCCCTCACATAAATCAAATAAGATTTGTGCTGCGCATATATATATCTGGTGCCTCCTTGTACCAATATTTATGTGTTCAAATAAATAATAAATTTATGACTAGTAACTAGTCATGACAATCAACAACTGAGAAAAATTACATCAACATGGAACCAGTAAACTTATGAAGATCATTATAAATATGATTTGTCAACTTTTTTATATTATAAACTGTCCACTTGTTGTAAGTAGATTTGTCGGACATAGTAAAAATTTAGTTAAATGTTTCTTTCCAGTTTGGAACTTATGAGTAGAACACATCCAATGTTTCACACACGATCACGATAAGTGCACTACTATTTTTGAATTACTGAGTTGCAATCCAAGTGGTTTACATGTTTTACTTTAATCTATTCAAGATGTAAAGTGATAAGTCGTCCCCGTATCACCTACTACACTGGTCTCTCTTTTATCATGGTTACCAACGCTAATCGATTATCGTAAATCTATGCAATAACTACAAATGTTTGCTTACGTATGATTTTTTTTTTGTCATTTTTTTTCTTTTTTGAATTTTATTTTTAGACTCTCTTCTCTGAATCAACTGATATTCTAAGTATGCTTTGTTTAGCTGGTTTAAAATGTTCTAATCAATGTTTTCTTTCGTTATCATCGGCTATCTCTTCTCAATCATTATCATCTTCATCAATACCAACAACAACCACATGTATTATCTCTAATTCCACTGATTCCAATACTAATGCTCAATTGGATAAAAGTTCTCAAACATCATTTCTGAATAATAATAATAATAACAATAATATGAGCACACCGTCATTCGACACAGCAGCACATATAAAGTATAAACCTCCAATACTATCTAGATTGAAAAATGCTGAAATGAATGATACAAATCAGATTACATCAAATACTACTCATTTAAATCATAATAATGATTATGATATTAATAATACTAATGTAAATAATCAAGCATTAATAAGTAGACTTTGTTTAGATGCATGCGGTTTTTTATATCGTTTATGGAAGTGTAGTTTTGAAACACATCAACAAGTTGGATTTCATCGTGTACATTTACAGGTAATTGAATATGAGTGTATACGATTTATATGTTTATAATTAGAAAATGATGAAATAAGTTATCTTTTCTTTCATAATTGAAAGCATAAGTCAATTGAAGCTAGACCACCATCGAAAACCTGGAAGCACTGGACGGCCGTTTCGTCCTATTATGGGACTCCTCAGCAGTGCGCATCCACGAACCCGCTCTCGCGAGCGAGATTCGAACCCACGACCTACCAGTCTCGAGCCGAAGCCCTTAAACGATAGACCACTGAGCTGGCATCCAACGGTGTTAATGTCTAATTTCAACTGTGAAAATACTAAATTCTCCACAAAACCCCTTCTGATCTATAATCATATGCTCACTAGTGACTGACTTCAAGAGATATTTCCTTGAGTTCTAGTGGGAAGCAGTGACCAGTGGAGTTCTACCAGGTCTGTTGTAGAGATATCATCTCACTGAAGACAATTGGTGAACGGTCGCTCAAAATCGTGGATTGGTTGAAGTTAGACATTAACACCGTTGGATGCCAGATCAGTGGTCTATCGGTTAAGGGCTTCGGCTGGAGACTGGTAGGTCCTGGATTTGAATCTGGCTCGCGAGAGCGGGTTCGCGGACGCGCACTGCTGAGGAGTCCCATAATAGGACGAAACGGCCATCCAGTGCTTCCAGGTTTTCGATGGTGGTCTAGCTTCAATTGACTCATGATTTCAACTGTGAAAATATTGTTATTGTTGCAGTTATTGACTTTGTCGAAATTGATTCTGAAATTTTGGTAAACGCAGTGAAACAAAGGCTTAAATCTGTCATCAACAAAACATATTGTGCTGCGAAGGTTATAAAATCAAAGAAAGAACAAGGTTCATACTTCATTCAAAACCTAGACGACATGAAAACTATTGTGTCACATTCCACTGTGTTTACCAATTTAAATGTGTGTGTGTGTGTGTTTGGTCACACATACTTCGGTAGGAACAATCGTGATCGGAAAATTAGGGTGTGTGAACATGTAACAGAAACAAATATAACCGAATGAGAAAAAGAGAATTCAGCAAAGAAAATTTTCTTTTTGACGAAATCATTTACTTAAGCTGTACATTGGTATATAAGGTTATATGGAAAAAATATTTTTTATTTATTTAAACATATGAATATTGGTACAAAGGGGCACCGAATACATATGCGCCACACAAATCTTATTTGATTTATGTGAGGGCTATGATACTTCCCAGCTGCGAAGACCGTAGCAGTTAGTTTTCTTAGAAAGCCACACTCGGAGCCTTTGACCTAAAGGTCTGATCCATAAGGCAGTGGAGCATCCTCAGGAGATGCAGTCTCATGGTAGCCGGTGACCAACGATTGATTCATACGCCGTCTTTTCCTTCAGGATACTGGAGCTAGCCTATGTTCACCATTGCTTTGGAAACAGGGTCTTCCAACTTCCTTCCGTGTCCACCAACCCGGTCAAATCGCCGGACATTCGCTTTTCTTCCTCTCAATTTCGTAAACAACAGTAATGTCACGAGAAGGCAGTGAGTAGGACTTCCATGACAGAGGCTATGTACGTGTGGCCATATGAATACATTTCGAGAGGGAGAGCGAACTCTCCCCACTCTCGTTCATACCAGGGCATTTGGGGGCATATAGAAAATATACGTCTATAGGAGTCTAGGAAAGATTGGATTATAAATTGATTCGACAATAAATATCAAATGTGGTTACCTACTAATCAAGGGGTAAGGGGGTAAGGAAGAAAATAATTTATGGGTCAGTCAGATAATAGTCCAATTGACAGATTTGAAGAAAAACGACAAACACAAAGGTCATAATAATAACGGGTTACAGTTTAAAATGTAAAACTAATTAAAAAACAAGCAAAAAACTCAATAATAATCAAATAAAAGTGCAGAAAAGAAAAAAGGAAAGAAAAACGACAACCAGAAACATACTCATTAAGGGAATTAGGGCCAAGGAAGGGTGAGAGGTTGAACAAATCGTTTCTGCACTCAAAGTTCAGGCTTGAATTCATGGATTGCCAATGCCTCAACAATACATAAAATATTGATTCGACCTCCCTTTGATCCGGTTCCTTTAACTCTATAGATTATTTTAAAAGACGAGTCTTTTGGAGCAATGTGTCCACAGTTGATCAAATACTCTTTTATCGAACTTATCTTTTTTACATTCACCTTTTAGGAGCCAAGCTGGGTAGTGTTCAGAGATACGTTTGGAAAGCGATCGCTTTGTGCGGCCTATGTTACCTATGTTATCGAATGACCCAATAAGAGTAGAAAATATACATCCATCATCCTCTATTGCTAAACATATAATCGAAACAGGTCATAAGATTGATCTTAACTCGGCTTTTGTTGTGTTGTTTAAAATTGTAAAAGGGCGTATACTGAGGTTTATAGAATCCTTAGCCATACGAAAATTCAACCCCCCTTTGTGTATTTAAAAACAGTTTGTTCTCTCCTTAAACCTACCCCGGGTAATATTAGCTTATTATCCAGAGTGATTAGGTGTCAAATTTTTTTCACATTATCCTTGTCTCCTATTACCCCTCCCCCTATTTCCAGTCTAGTTGACCTGTTATCTCTTTATATATAAATGTTCTTAACAAGTATATTATGTGTGTGATCAGATTGTTCAAAATGTATTGCGCTAATATATCACATAATCTTCGTCTTCTTATTACATCTGTATTACTTGTTAACTTAAAGATGGATTTTTTATGTTCTTGTGAGATTTTAGAACTGATGAAATGTAGTCATGTTATGAATGAGATCAGTTTCACCAACAGATGTGAATGATCATTATCCTATACGAAAAATTGATAACAGTTGGGGATTGAGAACATTGTAATTCTTCTGAATATAGTTAGTCAACAGGATCGTGTTTGTTGTGAAACTTGAATTGAATATGATTTTGATGTGTTTTATGTCTAATCAATGATGCATTCAATAATGTAGGCTCAGTCAGTCGGTTAGTCATAAGCAATATCGAAACTTGACACATGTGTTTCGCTTCAAGTTTCCCCCTATCATATTAACACGGCCAAATGAAATGATCAAGAAAAACGGTAGATTAATAACAATAGTAACAATAGTAGCTAGAAAAAATAAGGCATAGACAACATGATTCAAGAAGAATACATGAATTTGTTGAAAAAAAATGTGTGAATGCATCATATCTCATTATGATTGATTCAGAATCATGTCACCCAACGTATCCAATCTTAGGTCAGGATAATCATCCGAACCTAAAACTAAATCATTCGTATCTACCGACATAGATTAAATAAGTGACCTTATGGACTAATGCCATATCTTTCATTGATCACCTCTAACTTTCAAACTACTCCGACATCAGCAAATAATCGTTCATCAATCCATAACATATTTTAGTCTAATTCTATCAAAGTGAACTTTAATTTTGATGCAGATGTGCTGGATTGTTAATGAATATCAGTTAACATGTTCACAACAATTCATTGGTCTGGAATATTTGTTTTAAGTTATTACTTGATTATGTTGACATCAGAATAGTCACTTGTAATTTTTCCTCTTTATCTTTATTTATTTATAGACAATTATTGCTATATCAAAACTTGTGAGTGAACTAAGTCCTGGTTTTGAAGCAAGTTTAAGTCTTTTGCATAGTTTAGCACAAACTGATATGCAAAGAATTACAGAATCAACTTTGACAAAATCAATAACTACAACAGTAACAACGTTATCATCATCATCATCATCATCACCAAATGCATATGGAAAGTTGTTTTGGACTGATACAAATATTCGCTTATTCTTAGATGATATTGATGATTTAATTCATCGTATATTAACTGTATTAACTGCTACTGCTGAAATACGTCGACATTGTGATGATCCTGAACGTATAGTTGACTTACAATATGCACTAGCTAAATCGTACAGTAGTAATCCAACATTAAGACGGTAAGTTTTCTTTCATTTTAATTATAAGATTGTTTTTTTATCAAATCGTCTTCGAAAGAAACGTCTCAAAACTGTCCATTAATACCATGCCACTTTGTCGATGTATAATGTACGTGATCACGCTTGGGAACCTTCATATTATAGTTAACACTCACTGTTCTCTTTGTTAATACCTCCATAAAAATGGGATATTTATTAGATAGATCAGTTATGTGTATAAAACTCAGTATCATTATTTACATACAACTACTGTAGAAGTTTGACAGACGATTATACTGTGTTACTTGATTGTCTGAGCCAAGTATCAATTCAACCAGTTGTAGTGTGCTCAAGTAACGGAAGTGAAGAGTGTCAATAAAAATATAACTGTTCAGTATTCATCTTCTTGAAAAGTACTCAGTAGTTTGGAGCAAAAATTAAAAGTTATTGTTTAAATAATACTTGAAACTGGGAAGAGGTTCGAAATGTCTACTATATAGAGATACATCAAAATGTCCTTCTTAAGATTGTTAACGATTATGCCGTTTGTGTTGTATGAAGTCATGAGTGTGTTTAGAGATATGAATTTGAAGACACAGTACTTGGCGCAAAACCTTACGATTTTTATCAGATTTCGTGCAATGTATTAAATAACCTGCATATTATGAGATTCCTCGAAGGCGCGCATCCATAACCTCACTATGAGTCGAACCCAAAACCTTTAGATCTCATAGCAGGTATCTTACCTTCAAACTATTTAATCGAGATTCATTTAAATTAAAGGTATTTTAAAAAATCGTCAAATTAATGCTCACATAGCTCATCATTCAATATGTTGCAAAAATGATTTTATTTTAAACATATTATTGCCCCCAAATGCCATGGTAGAGCTGACAATAGGATGAGTCCGCTCTCCCTCTTGAAATGTCCTCAAAAGGTCACACGAGCACAGCCACTGTCAGGGAATTCCTATTCACTGTTTTCTCGAGATGGGTATGTTGTTTACGAATTAAAGAGGACGAACTGTGAATCGCCGGAGCGGAAACCGGTTTGATGGATATAGAGGATCCACCTAGGATGTTTGGAAAACCCTGATTTCCAAACATTGGTGCACATGGACTCCAGAATCCTAAGAGAACAAATAGCATATAAACCTATTGTTGGTCACTGGCTACTGTGGGACTGCATCTCCTGGCGTCGCTCTACCTCCTTGTGGATTATACCTGTTGGGTAAAGGCTCGAGGAATGCCCCACTAAGAAAATCACCTGTTTTAGTTTGGGTGTTCGAGCAGTATTTCAGCCCTTACACAAATTGGATGACGATGTGTGACGCATATATATTTGGTGCCTCCGTAAACCGATGCTTATAAGTTTAAATTAATAAATAAATAATTTCACTTTGAATTAAAATGTTCATTAGTTTTAAAATTAGAGTGAACATCAACTCTGAGATGCAAGTACATCCAGCTGACGAGTCCCAAATAGGACGAAACGCGCCTTGTCCTTGATTTTACTGCTAGCCACTATCTATCTTTGCTTACAATACTTGTGAACTAAGGCTATATCGAGGCAATTAGCAGAGTATGCACATATACCAATTAGAGACTGACCAGTTCCGTCCTAACACATCGATGGGAAGATTCAAACAAACTATACTAAATGATTTCCTATCTCACAACAGACGTGGTTTGAACTCCACTGGTCACTGCTTCTCACTAGAGCTCCTAGATATAATTCTCGAAGTTACTACTAGTGAGCATATGTTTATATTAATTATGAAAAGGGGTTTTGTGGAGATTTAGTATTTTTCATAGTTGAAAGCGTGAGTGGATGCGCACTGCTGAGGAGTCCCATAATAGGACAAAACGGCCGTCCAATGTTTCCAGGTTTTCCATGTTGGTCTAGCTTCAATTGTCTCACGCTTTCAACTATGAAAAATACTAAATCTCCACAAAAAAACCCCTTCTGATAATACTAAATGAATTTAATATTAGATGTTTTCTTTTTGAAATTATGCTTAATTATATCTGCATGTATGTGTATGCACTTTTCTCATGTATACACAAATAAACATGGCTGAATGTAACAATTTCAGTATATCAACAAAGTACATCAGTTTAATTTAGTTCACTCTGTAAAATTACTTGTTAATAAGACTGTCTACGATCATCTTGATTGACATGTCAACATTTTGTATACACTTTTAAATGATGATATGATATGATATGGGAAATACAATTGACAAAAGTACAATCTTAGTAAAATTTGTTTCACTTTCAAAGTCAAGACCTTCTTTTTGTTGTTACTGCTACTTTTGTTGTTTCAACAAAGTTATATGGATCAATGTTTTAATGGTTAAAGTACATTATTTTGAATGAGTGATTTATGCATTGAAACCCGTACACTACTAAGTTTGTAGTTATACTTCTTGTAACCAAAGTCATCGATTCAAATTGTTTCACTAATAAACCCTTAACTTAAAGCCTTCAGTTTCTTAATAAGTAGTGACTTTTAATTATTAGATAACCAAAGCTCAAAAAAAAATTACCAAATAAGTTTACAGTCTAATTATCAGCTAATCGTTGTTGTATAATGGAGTTTAGTTGTGATCTGTTAGGTCATGTGCTATGATTTTGTCTTATAAGAGTTCGAATACATAATCTCTCTACAAGAACCTCGGGAACATAAAGATACAAGAAACCAAGCCACATAGATCATGTTTTCAACTATAACAATAATATTATAAGCAAAGATGGATAGTGGCTAGCAGTGGAATCCAGGACTCGCGTTTCGTCGTATTTGGAACTCGTCATCTGGATGTATCTGTATCTCACAGTTGATGTTCACTCTGGGACTCAAACCCAGAACCATTCACTTCAAATGCCATCGCGTTATCCAATTAGCTACTGAGTCCTGATAGCTACTTGCTAGTGCAATGGGTGAAGTGTAAATTCATTTAGTATTGTTTATTTGTATCTTCCCATTGATGTTTAGTACTGCAATTGATCAGTCTCTTATTGAAATATGTGCATACTATGAGTATTATCTCGATGTAGCCCTTATTCACAAGCATTATAAGCAAAGATGGTTATATCGAGGCAATACGCCCAGTATGCACATATGCCAATAAGAGGCTGATCAGTTGCAGTCCTAAAACATCAATTAGAAGATTCAAATAAACAATACCAAGTGAATTTATAATAATGATAAACTAACAGTTTTCCAAAAGTTTTTCATGGAGATATTATTCTAGAGTTGAAGTTAGCTCCGACATTTTTTATCGAAGAAATCCCACAATATGTTCTAAGGCTGATTTGTTTACTTATTATTTATTGAAATATATAAATATTGGTACAAGGAGGCACCAGATACGTATGCGCCGTACAAATCTCGTTTGATTTGTGTGAGGGCTGTGATACTGTCCGGGTGCCCAAACCTAAGCAAGTAGTTTTCTTAGGGGACCACACCCGGAGCTTTCAACCTAAAGATCTGATCTACAAGGCAGTGGAGCGTCGTGAGGAAATGCAGTCCCATGGTAGCCGGTGACCAACAGCAGGTTCATACGCCGTTCGTTCCATCAGGATACTGGAGCCCATGTGCACCATTGGTTTTGAATCAGGGTTTTCCAACTCTCCTAGGTGGACTATCCGTGTCCACCAACCCGGTCAAATCGCCGGACATTCACTTTTCGTCCTCTCAATTTTGTAAACAACACCCCCGCGACGAGAAGGCAGTGAATAGGAATTCCCTGACAGAGGCTATATACGCGTGGCCATGTGAACGCATTTCGGCCGTACCAGGGCATTTGGGGGCAAGGCTGATTTGTTGGAGCTTATGAACCAATGAAACAGTTCATTTCTATTTAAAATATTCATATTTTAGTGTTCTTACTCTTAACACTAGTCATTTTTAACATTTCCATGTACTTTCGGTGATTTGGTATCTATAAGAAATTGCTTAGTTTACAGTTTAGGTACCAATGTACTGTAATACGTAAACAAATATATACATACATATATGAATAATAAGCCCTATCCATTAATATCAATATCGAATCAGAAACTATGGTAACAATGTGACAGAATAAAAAACACGAAGAGATCAGATTGAAAATTCAGTCAGTAATTCAGTCGGTAATCATTGTAGTTGGTTATGTTTTACTATGGTAATGACATTTCCTAAACTATAAATTGATTGAATTTAAATTGAATCATTGTCTAGAGATAAGTTAAAAATGTTATACAATTCGAAGAAAATTTAGACACAGATATAAGACGATTGGGTATAAAAAAGGTCCAGGGTTTCCTGTTGACCACCTCCAACCACCATCTTATCTCAACATAGTGTCGAGTCACCTAGACTAGTGGCCACATTGCAACTTGATCGATAGCATTCATTCAGTACTAAGATGGACTTGACATGCATGACATTGATCACCACTCAGTGATCAATCAATTGTGATAATAAAAAAAGTGAAAATTAGTATTAGATGTCTTAATTAAATAAAAATGACGATCACTTTGCAGTCGATAGGGTGATTGACTCGAAATTTCAGTGCACTGTATTGGATTTTAGACGATTACAGGGTATCGACCACTCCTTATTCAGAAAACACTTAACCGGATTTCAACTTATATATATATATATATATATATATATATATATATATTTGGAAACCCCTATTCAACTTTATGGATGCTCATAGCAACTTAGTATCAACTGGAGACAAACAGTCTATCATATACTCTATATAGTGATAAAATAAACCCAACGTTTCACGTGAATAAATTTAATGAACAATGGATGGGTTATCATGTCTAAGACTATATGTTTAGTTAGTTTGTTGTAAAGAGCATTTCTATCACTTTTCAGTCATTTAGTAATTTGCTACAATATTCATTAGAGATTTCATTCAATTTCTTTGACTACATTTGTTTTTCATTCACAATTTTGAGCTGGTCTACACCGATATGTTCATAGAAAACAGTTGTGAATAACTTTCGACGCTTGAAATGAAATTTCCAATAAGATTGATACTAATATGAAACATTAGTCCTTGAAGTCATTAACTTCTAGTCTGAGTCATGCTGGTAGATGCAAACTACTTGGTTAGACACAGGGTATTAAGGAATGATGATAAATCAATTGATGAGGTCATGAATCTTCAACGACTGAGATGGTTGGGCCACGTGTTGAGTATGCCTGAACACTGATTACCACGACGCTTAATGCTAACTAGTATTGGCGATGGTTGGAAGAGAGTTAGGGGAGGCCAAACCGAAACGTGGCATCAGTGCTTGAAGTCATTAACTTCTAGTGTGAGCCATGTTAGTAGATGCATACTACTTGGTTGGGGTTCACGTGACTATCGCAACCTATAGTTGGAGACTCTGTGTGACACTGCTCAGAATCGTTCGCAATGGTGTATACACACTTTTTCTTCCCTTAAACCATGAGATTAAAATTGCTCTATACCTTTCTTTCTACGAAGTAATTCTCTCTTCCTGTACTATATCCTTATACACAATCTTTCTTCCCTATATTACCACCATTGAATTAACTACTTCTATGAATTTGGTGTTCATCTTGTTGTGCTCATGAGCTATGGCAACTTGAACCGATACATATATATGCTTCGTCCTACATTGTAGCTGACTGATGGACTTACTGAATATGAAGCACTTATCAGCCAAATGGATCAGGAAATGAACGAAAATAATGACTTCAACAAATCTACTTGAAAATTATAAATATTGATGTTAACTTCAAATGGCTTTTCTTTTCTATGTTGATTTCCTGTTCTAATTAACATTTTTTTTTAATGATTGATTATAGTACATGGTTAGAAGAATTAGTGAAATTACATATGGATTCAAGAAGTTTCACAGAATTAGCTATGACTAAATTACATATTGCTGCATTAATGGCTGAATATTTAAAACGAAGAGGTAATTCTGTTATATATATATATATCTATTCACGTCTCTTTTGTGCCAGTTTATCTCATTTAATTACTTAGAATTTATCAATTGTGTTATTCTGTCAATTACTTACTTACTTGCTTACTCCTGTTACTCCTCGTGGAGGAGCGTAGGTCACTTACCAGGATTCTCTATCAAATTGTGTCCTTGGCAATCCTTTCCAGTTGCTTCCAGTTTCTATTTATCCTTTTGATGTCTACTTCCTATTGTCGATCGACTCAATGTGTTCTTTGATCTTCCACTTTTCTGTTTCCATTCCGAATGACAAGTTAGTGCTTGCTTCGTTTGTTGCAGTTTGATGATTTCCAATTTCATCAATTACAAGATAATGAGTGATTTCTTAGAGCTTTCAAATAAGTCGATTTGATTTTAATCTTTGATTTCTATTCATAGATCTGGGACAATTTGATCTTTTCAATTCTCCTTTGAAGTGTATTTTATTTGCTTAATGCGCTACTACCATTGTTTCTTCAATTCTTAGTTGAATGATAATTGATTGTTATCATTTGATAAACTTATAGGTAATCATATTTGAAGAAGGAATGGATTAATTAAAGACTGTTTATATAGAGAGTGAATATCAATATTGATAATGAAAGTTGGCAGCATTGTTGTTGATATGATTAGCCTTTCTGTTTTATGTTTTGTTTTTCGGTGGTTTAATCAACTGTTTGCGAATTAATCAGTGTAGGGTTATGAAGATTGTTGAATTTGCATTGAGATTATGAACCGATCAATGGTTAGATCATCTAATATCTGAACCAGTGAGCCAGCGTCCAACTGTGTTCATATCTAACTTTAATCGATCCATGATCATATACAACCCTTCATAAATTGTTTAAGGTGTATAAGTGTCTCATATCTAACACGGATTGCACTTGAATATACGACCGGTATTATAGTTTGACAACTATTAACTAGTAACACCTTCTATAATCGAATCATTCCCCCAATCAGTTAAAATCAGAAGTCAGATGCGAAGAGGTTGGTAAGATATTTTTGATGCATTATCAATATATCAATTAGCGGTTAAACTATTCTGGCTAGTGAACGTAGGAGATGTTTCCCATGCTGTGCTGTAACATGATCTGGTGCGAATACATGACCGAACACCTTCAGTTAAACAAGTCCACTTAAACTAATGTGGTAAGCATCCAATGTCAAACACTTAGAAAGCTATTGATTTTGGAGGAATTATTTACACCTACAGATTTCACTGTTCACAACTTCTCTCTAGAACTTCAAGAAATCCATCTTGAAGTCAGTCAGTCACCAGTGAGCACATAATTATCGATTAACATTTCAGTATTTCAATCAACATAATCATTCATTGAAATAATCAGACAAAGAAAATTCTATTTAATGGATAACAAGTATCAACTATAAAATTCGAAGATGAAAAAAAAAACCAAAAATAAAATTTTTTTTTGTTTTGTTGTTGCTATCGTTTGTTTGTTTATATGATCAGATTGAATTTCTTGTTGACAATAAAAAAAAAAAGAATAAACTTTGTCTCATTCAAATAGTTTTTATTTTTATTTTTTTTTATATTTTTTTTCTCAAATGCAACACTTTTTAGGTATTTTAGATTGTAAGTTAGTTTAGTTTAGTTAAGTGTGCTGATAATCTGTGTAATCATGATTCAATAATGTTACTTTTGTTTTTGAACAATTAAGATTTGGTGCAAAATGAGTTTGTGCATTTGTTTGCTTGCTTGATTTTTTTTTCTCTCTTTCCCCCTCCCTTTGTGTGTGTATCTCTATATATACACGCACACATTTTTATATTATTATATATTTGTGTAGATGCAGTTAACAAATTGATTCAATACCAGTACTACTCACTCACTCATACTTAATTACACATACATACACGCACAAACGAACATGCATTTATCCTGTTTATTCACAGGAGTGTATTTGACATGATAGATAACAGGGGTTGGGGTAGGGGATATGATTTCTGTGATATTGACTAAGAGAGAAAGAGAGAGATTCTATAGAATGTTTATGTATATTTACATATGAGATTACATAATCTATGTATTTGTATTACATCTACATCTAAATGTAAGTGAAAGGATGATGGTTAAAGATCATAGTTCTATTGCCAAAATTTAGTGACATTTTAACAAAATCAAACCAGAAATAAAATGTATCCAACAAAAGTAATGATCAAAAAGAGAAAACATTTTTTAAAAAAGAAAATACTTCTTTTTGTCATCTTAATAAGTCAGAAGGGGGTTTTGTGAATATTTCAGTATTTTCATAGTTGAAATCATGAGTCAATTGACGTTAGACCACCATAGAAAACCTGGATGCACTGGACGACCGTTTCGTCCTATCGTGGGTTCCCTCAACAGTGCTCATCCACGATCCCGCCTCACGAGCGAGATTCGAACCCAGGACCTATCGGTCTCGCGCCAGAGCACTTAACCGATAGACCACTGAGCCGGCCGGCATCCGACGGTGTTAATGTCTAACTTCAACCAATCCACGATGTTTAAGCAACTATTCACCAATTGTCTTCAGTGAGTTGATATCTCTACAACAGACTTGGTTGAACTCCACTGGTCACTGCTTCCCACTAGAACTCAAGGAAACATCCCTTGAAGTCAGTCACTAGAGAGCATATGATTATAGATCAGAAGGGGATGATATTAATCTAATCAGTTTATGTACAGAAGAACAAACATTGTAAGCAAAGATGGATAGTGGTTAGGAGTGGAATCCAGTTTGACGCCCGTTTCGTCCTAATTGAGACTTGTCAGCTGCAATGTGCCTGCATCTCAGACTTGTTAATATTCACTCTGGGACTCGAACCCAGTACCGTTCGCTGCAAACACCGTCGCGTTATCCACTCAGCTACTGATAGCCACTTGTTTGTGCGATGGGGCAAAATTTAAATTCACTTAGCATTGTTTGTTTGAATCTTCCCACTGTTTATAATGCTTGTGAATTAAGGCTATATTGATGCAATGCGCACACTATGCACATATGTCAATTAGAGACTGACCAGTTTCAGTCTCAAACATCAATGGGAATATTCAAACAAACAGTACTAATTGAAAGCAAGAGTCAATTGAAGCTAGACCACTATGGAAAACCTGGAAGCACTGGATGGCCGTTTCGTCCTATTATGGAACTCCTCAGCAATGCGCATCCACGAACCCGCACTCGCGAGATTCGAATCCAGGACCTACCAACCTCGAGCCAGAGCCCTTAACCGATAGACCACTGACAGTACTAATGTAATGAGAAGACGAAGATTATCAGAACTATGTGATATATTAGCGCAATAAATTTCGAACAATCTGACCACACATATACTTGTTAAGAACATTTATATATAAAAATAAAAGGTCCCACTGCATTTACCAATTTAAATGTGTATGTGTGGTCACACATACATAGGGAGGAGCAATCGCGATCTGCAAATTAGGGTGAGTGAACATGTACCAAAATGGTTGCAAAAACAAATAGATTCGAATGACGCAATAAGAGTAGAAGATAAACATCCATCATCCTCTATTGTCAAACATATAATTGAAACAGGTCATAAGATTGAATAGAAATAATATATTTTGATGTTAGTTTGTTCTCTGAACTGGATGGTTTGGTCGTGGAGCTTTCATCGTCCTTCTGTACGACATCATCAGCACAAACTTCTACCCGAAGTTTATTTTATACATTTTATTTTACAAATTCATTCATTCTTCTTGAATCATGTTGTCTATGTTTAGTGTTTTCTAGTTCTACTGGATACTGTTACTATTTTTTTATTAGTCTAATGGTTTTCTTGATCATTTCTAACCCCCTATATTGATATAATATAGTAACTTGGTCAGATCTACATGGGTCCCAATTTTTTTTATAATGCTTATAGTTGTGTATTTTTTTCTGAATTAATCGCTAAGATTGCTTCAAGTTTACACACCATTTATCTTATACTCATTAAAGTATTACTTACTTTAGACATTGTTAACATGATTAGATAACCTATTGACTATATATAGTTAACCTGAGAACCATGTTTGATTATATTCCTTTGAAAAAATTCGGATCAGATTGAATTTACTTGAAATTCAATTTACCAATATATTTTTTTCTTTTTAATGTTTCATTAGTGAATTATCATCTTGTCTAGATTAAACATTACTTATGTACGCCTGTTACCCCTCGTGGAGGAGCATAGGCCGTTCACCAGCAATCTCCATCCAACCCTGTCCTGGGCAATTCTTTCCAGTTAACATTCATCCTTTTCATATCTGCTTCTATTTCCCGGAGTAATGTGTTCTACAATAAAAATTATTTAGAATATATATATATATATATATTATTCCAAACATCTTATCCATGTATATGCATATCTTTATTTAGTTACACACGTAAACATCAATACACGGAGGCAGGCATCAAGTAAATGTGCGCCACACATAGTCAGTCGACGTGTGTAAGGGCTGATATACTGCCTGAACATGCAAACCGAAGCAGGTGGTTTTCTTTGAAAGCCACTTCTCGAGCCTTTAACCTAGATGTCTAACCTACAAAAAAGTGGAACAACGTTAGTAGATTCAGTCTCATAGTACCCGGTGATCAACGACAGATTGATATGCCATTTGTTTTATTAGCAGCCTAGAGCCCATGGGCACTATTGGTTTGAAATGAGGGTTATCCAACTCACCCAGGTGGATGCCATTAAACCAACAACCCGATTACAGCACCAGCCATTTACGTTTCGTCCTCTCAGTTTCGTAAACGAGAAGGCAGTTATTAGGAATTTCCTGATAGTGGCTGCATACATGTTTCCATATGAGGGTGTTTCGAGAGAGAGAAAGGATTCTTTTCACTCTTGATCGTAGCAGAGCACTTAAGGGGGGGGGGCAAATTCATATTGTATTTAATTTTCATATTTATCTAAGTCTGAACCTTTGATTTGCATCGAATGCATTGAATGTTTTCTGTATGCTATTTGTTTTTTTGTTTTATTTTTATTGATTACGATGCACGTTTTTTTTAAATTAGAGTCCATCACTTCCTTTCAATCTACTCATCTTCTGTTATCTATCGTTTATGAGAATCAGTTTACCTAGACGTTTTTGGACTCTATTTCTAAATTGTAGTACGAAATCCTTGCTTTAACCGTAGAATAACTACAGCTGTGTTCTCAGTTTAAACTAGACATTTCCATTTGAAAGATAACACTCAGTTTTAATTAACATATACTTCGTTGTTTGGATCGTTCCATGGATATGTATGATTGCAATTGATCAGTTTCTTTTTAGTATATGTACACTCTATGCACGTAAATCCAGCCAACGAGACCCTAATCATAAGTAACACGCATTTTTGATTCTACTTTCCATTTCTGCTTCAAACTTTCAGGTGTGTTACATGTATAATGATTATATAGAAGCTTGCTCATATCTGATTGGCACATTCTTATTCCTAATGTTAACCATTGAATAGTTCTTCATTTAATAACTTTATCAATACTGAAATAGTATTTTATTCATGTATCAAAATGAAATCTATTATTCTCTTTAACCTAGTGATGAAATATTTGTGGTTAAACATTGATTCACATTCATTCTTTACCATCAAAAGGGGGTTTGTGGAGATTTCAGTAATTTTATAATTGAAATCATAAGTCAATTGAAGCTAGACCATCATGGAAAACCTAAAAGTACTGAACGGCCCTCTCGTTCTATTATGGAACTCCTCAGCAGTGCGCATCCACAATCCCCCCTCCCAAGATTTGAATCCGGGACATATCAGTCTCGCACGAGAGCGATTGACCACTGAGCCTGTATCCAACGGTGTTAATGTCTGTCTAACTTCAACCATTCCACGAAATTGAGCAACCGTCCATCATTGTCCTCAGTGAGTTGATATCTCTACAACAGACGTGGTTGAACTCCATTGGTCACTCACTGAAGACAATGATGGATAGTTGCTCAATTTCGTAGATTGGTTGAAGTTAGACATCAACACCGTTGGATGCCGGCTCACTGGTCTAGTGGTTAAGCGCGAGACTGACTGGGTCCTGGGTTCGAATCTTGCGAAGTAGGATCGTGGATGCGCATTATTTACTAATCAAAATAATGAAACTCTCCTTATTTTTATTATTGTTTTTTTCGATTTTAGGTGAATTTCCTCAAGGATGTAATGCATTTAAAACAATTTCATCAAATATTTATATAGAAGAAAATGGATTAAAACCAGATTCTACAATCTTAGAAATTTCTTATACACAAGTAAATATATATATTGATTTATCATTTGGTAAATATAATGAAGTACTTACATAATGGTTGTAAATTTATACAATCTGTTATATACTACTGAAAAGGATTGCTTAGGATAGAGTTCTATGAACAATCCTGATGAACAACCTATGTTCTTCTCCACGAGGGTTGAGAATGAATGATATGTCCATCTTTATCCGAGATAGTTTCTCTGATAGTTGGGTTCCTTATACCGGTTTCTTTAACAAGTCTGAACAGTTGTCTGCTGTTACCTATTGCTGCTGCCTTTTCCATCTCTTTTGCTTTCGCTACCCACCACTGTTCACGATCATTGCGTAGGCTTCTTATTAGCTTGCGCTTAAGCTGACTTCGCTCTTCGTCATGTTCAGAGCCAGATGGAATGAGTTTTCGAGCATCTATCAGTGTGGTAGATGCTGCTGAGATCCAGTGTTACTGCCCAACCTTATGGCTTACCTTACTAGCAGATATCACTGCTGTTTCCACAGCTTTCCGGATGTCATTCCATGCTGCCTCGGGGTGGGCACAACTTACATGGCTGCCTAACTGTTTTCCCAGTTGTTCATGAAATATATTCTTAGTTTGCCTATCATTAAGTAGAACCCTAAGAAGTTTCCCTGCAGTGTCTTTCCTACGTCCAGTAAGACGCAGACAGATACGTGCTCGCACCAGAGTATGTCTCTTTCTTTTTTCTCTTTTCAAATTTATTTCACTGGATTATACTCCTTTCATAACATCTTCAAACCCCAATCTTTCACATTACTGCCTAAACTCTAACTACTTCTACCACTATGGGATTTTAATCGACAACTGCATCTCTGTGTTAATGTGGTATGGCAACTCGAACTGATGTACGTACGTATGAAGTTCTGCGTTTTGACTGACTGACCACGAGGGTTAACAAGCGTAAATTAGTAAATAAGTCATATACTATATCAATAATGAAATGAATTTTCATTATATTGTTTTCTTTTCTTCCAACAAAAAGCAAATGAGTAAGGTGAATAATCTACGTACATATTATTGTGTGTATGCATACACTAAACCACAGCGACCAAGGTTTAGCGTATGCATACACGAAATAATATGTACGTAGTTTATTCATTTGCATACGCCCCCAAATGCCCTGGTACGGTCGAGAATGGGTAGAGTCCTCTCTCACTCTCGAAATGCTCTCGCATGGCCACGCGTATATAGCCTCTGTCGCGAAAGTCCTACTCACTGCCTTCTCGTGACGAGCGTGTTGTTTACAAAATTGAGAGGACGAAAAGCGAATGTCCGGCGCTTTGACCGGGTTGGCGGATGTGGAGGATGTACCTAGGTGAATTGGAAAACACTGATTTCAAACAAATGGTGCACATCGGCTGACTCCAGTATTCTGAGGGAACAAATGGCATATGAATCAATCGTTGGTCACCGGCTACCACGGGATGGAATCTCCTCACGATGTTCCACTGCCTTGTTGGTTAGACCTTTATGTCGAAGGTTCAGGGTATGGCTCCTTAAGGAAACCACCTGCTTCGGTCTGGGCAGCCGGGCAGTATCATAGTCCTCACATAATTAAATGAGATTTGTGTGGCGCATATGTATCTGGTGTCCATTTTTACCAATATTTATGTGTTTAAATAAATTAATAAGTGTATGCATACTTCATTTAACATAAATTTATTCAATCCTTTTAATGTAATTTTTGTATGGTCGTTAATTTACACAAATTGTCATGTTCCGAAAATCCTCAAACTAGAACATTAGGAAGCATTACAGAAGTGGCTTTTTAACACAGAGAATGTTTTCTATTCGGTCATAGATACTTTCAAAACATTGCTTGCATATGTTAAAACCGTCGACTGAGCTACAATAAGGTTAATCACAGTGTACTAGGTGCAGATGACAAATCAATTGATGGAGTGATGAATCTTTATCAATGGAGATGGTTAGAGCATTTATTATCTAAACCCAACTAACTACCGCTTTCGACAACTCAGCCGGTGTAGGAGTAGAAGTAGGTTGGAAGAAATATAGGAGCAGTTAAATCAAAACGTGACATCACTTTATCTTTGTTGAATTGAGCTGTATAGTTAAGTACAGAATACCTAGTTAGATCTTCTCGATTGTCGTAACTAATTGTTGGAGATGTTGAGTGAATTGTTTCAGAATCTGTTGTAATATCCTATGTGTATCTACTCTTTTTCATTGCTTAGACCCAGAGTTCCATGTTATTTTATACTTTAATACCGCTCATTTGGTCATCCCTGATAATAATTCTACATTAATATTTACCTTGCTAACTTCATCATACTTCACTCTTCTGCTATGGGAACTCTAGTCTGTTATATCGATTGACTTGAGTGCGTGCTTGCCCTTGTTTATATATTTTTGCTAAGTTCACTACTGCTCATGACTTTTTGACTCGGAAATCTATATAAATGATCATAATTACTTTTGATCCTTTAGATTTATCATTAACTCTATTAGACCAGCAAAATTCAATAACATTACACTCTATAATTTACTAGTCTCAATACCTGTACTTTACTAGTTTATTTATTTAAACAAACAAATATTGGTACAATCAGGTACCAGATACATATACGCCACACAAATCTCATTCGATTTGTGTGAGGGTTGCCATACTGCACAGATGCCCAAACTGAAGCAGGTGGTTTTCTTAGGAGGTCAGATTTTGAGCCTTGGACCTAAAGATCTGATCCACAAGGCAGTGGGGCATCGTAAGGAGATGCAGTCCCATGGTAGTCTGTGACCGACGATTGATTCATACGCCATTTTTCCCTCAGGGTACTGGAGTCAGCCGATGTGCACCATTTGTTTGGAATTAGGGTTTTCCAACTCCCCTAGGTGAATTTTCTGTGTCCTCCAACCCGGTTAAAGCACCGGACATTCGCTTTTCGTTCTCTCGATTTCGTAAACAACACCCCCACCACGAGAAGGCAGTGAGTAGGACTTCCCTGACAGAGGCTTTATACTCGTTGCCATATGAGAGCATTTGGAGAGAGAGAGCGGGCTCTCTCCAGTCTCGGCTGTACGAGCGCATTTGGGGGCGTACTTTACTAGTACGTTCTCTCTACAAAGCTGAATAACAGATAATTAGTTAATTAGACGTAATTTCTTAGCTTTAAATAATATATGAGTGTCCTAATACAAGAATACATTAAAATGTTCACAGTCCACTATCTGTTGGGGATGTTAGATCCCCAGAACTCACCTGATAAATGCCTTAGCTTTGTAACTTTATTTCAAAATTTTGAATTCCATGTTTTCGGGCCAAAAGCGCTCGTTTTTACCTTCATATCTTATTTCATACTTGCGAGGATCTTAAACGTCATTGCTTCGTTGTATCTTTTAGTATGTTCTTTTGTAACGCTTCCCAAGGACAATTTTATGCTGTATATATACGTTTGATGTGCACCTGTTTTGATTGCTTGTGCTTCTGGTTGCTTGCGGAATATATTAATTCCCCGTTCGGACTTCCACTTCTCTCTCTAGTTAACGGTGCTGGCACGCATCAGAATAGCTAGTTTATCGGTCTTTGGTCACAAGTCTTTGTTGCATTCACAGACTAGATGAACTCGTAATCGCTTCAAACATAGCACTATCGGATCTAGTACCTATCTTAAACATCTAGTTTAATTTGCTATCTGAGGTTATATCTCTCATTGATTGTTTTTCTCATCTACTGTTATTTTAATTCAATTTGTAAAGGATTGTGTTATCCCTTTGCGGATACTTTCTACTGAATTCCGATTAGCCTTGGTTGCTATATATATACATCCTATGCGGATTCCCCTTCTATAACCATTATGTCGCATATGTTTGTACAATAGATGTGATATTTATTTTACGTTGTTTTTTAATCTCTATTTTTCATCAAGGAAGATTTATTGACAGATCTTAATGAAGCTGCATTGGCTTTAGAATCAGCTGGATTATTTGAGTGTATACGACCGGTTTATGATTTAATTTTACCAGTATATGAGTCTAAATGTCAATATAATAATCTAGCTCAAATCTATCATCATATTGGTCGAACTTATGAAGCAATAAATCGAGTTGAATCATATGGTCATCGATTACTTGCAGCATATTATCGTGTTACATTTCATGGTCAAGTGAGCCTGCATCATTTGTTGTATTTTTCAGAACTTGTTAATCTCATTTCTATCTGTAGTGATATGAAATAGTGTGACAAGTTCGTTTCACATCTTACATTGTATATGGGTTGGCAAATGATTGTTTCTGATTGACTAAAACATAACATGTTTTACGAATGTCGTCCCAGAGAATTCCACGTCGTGCATTATTTGCCGACTCTGGGAGTGGTTGGAAAAAGCGGAGAGGAGGTCAGTGTATGACATGGTGTCGTGGCATGAAAGAAAGCTGCAAAGGACTAGCTTCTGTTGGTCCTTCACGACCCCCTGGCTGGGGTCCGAGAGATGGTGCAACACAGTGGCTAGAGACGTTATCAGATATGGCTCAGAATAGAAGCCAGTGGCGATCCTGCTGCAACCTTCTTTTACTTTCTGCATAAAGAATGGTTCTAACTTTCCTAACTGAGAGAGCTCTTCTGGTTGTGCATTTCAGTTCCCCCATCATTACTCTTCTCCTTTTCTTTTTTCCTTCTTCTTCCCTCTCCTCCCATTCTCATTATTTTGTGTGGCGCGTATGTATCCGGTGCCCTTTGTACCAATATATATGTGATTAAATAAATAAATGAATAATAAAACATGAAATGCCTAGAAACGTAAGTGATATAAGTGTCCTACTGGTTGATATTATATAAAACAGATATAAGATGGAAAATATCTAATTGGAAGCATAATCCAACACAACTTTATCTTCTCAACTTTCACCGTTTTTGTTTCGCCGTAAACGTTCTTAAACCCCTGAGACAAAAGTATAATGATCTTTGAGATAGATATATCTCCTCCACGGATTAGTCGGCTTTAATGAGAGTAAGAAGTGAAGGTGTTCTCGCTGATCACTTTGCTTTTGTTAGAAGTGGTATCAACTATAAAGAGGTCATTGGTGTCGGGTTGAATGTTGAAACGGATAAAGAAATCTTGTTCTGTTTTTATCTACTTGCTTCATCTATGATGCATGCGAGATGTCCTAATGCTTATCACACGTAAATGTACTTATTATCTCGTTAGCTATGAAACATAATCTTTTATACAAGGAATTCCACAATAGCTGTAAGTACATGATTATATGTTCCATCAAAGTTGATCAACTGATAAAACGTTCATCAACTTTTCCCTTGTTTTATATGTCATCCTAATAGTAACTACTCAAATGTTTGTCCATGATAAATTATATTAACAATATATAAATTTTTAATTCACTTAGTATTGTTTGTTTGAATCTTCCCATTGATGTTTAGGACTGCAACTGGTCAGTCTCTTATTGGCATATGTGTATACTGTGCGTATCGCCTCAATAGAGCCCTTATTCACAAGCATTGTAAGCAAAGATGGATAGTGGCTAGCAGTGGAATCCAGTTTGTCGCGCGTTTCCTCCTATTTGTGACTCGTCAGATGGATGTACCTACACTTCAGAGTTGATGTTCACTCTGGCACTCGAATCCAGTATCTTTCACTTCAAACGCCATCGCGTTATCCACTCGACCACTGAACATCAACTCTGAGATGCAGGTACATCCAGCTGACGAGTCCCAAATCGGACGAAACGCGTGTCAAATTGGATTCCACTGCTAGCCACTATCCATCTTTGCTTACAATATAATTTTTAGTAAAGATTTACTATTTCTCATTGTTTGTTATCAAGGATTGTAATCGATCAGTCTTTTTTATCATCTGAAGCGAATTAATTGCCTTGATGTAGATTTTTATTGAAATTGTTTAGGACTTAAATACATCCAGTTAAAGAACCTTAAGTGGGACGAAACTCACGTTCTGTATTTCACTGCTAGACACATATCAAATACACCAAAACAGACAAATATATTTCCGAAGGAGTTTTGTGGAGATTTCAGTATTTTCATAGTTGAAATCATGAGGTTCTCCATTGTGGTCTAGCTTCAATTGACCCATGATTTCAAGTATGAAAATGCTGAAATCTCCACAAAACCCCTTCTGATCTATAATCATATACTCACTAGTGACTGACTTAAAAAAAGATATTTCCTGGAGTTCTAGTGGGAAGTAGTGACCAGTGGAGTTCAACCACTTATGTTGTAGAGATATCAACTCACTGAAAACAATTAGTGAACGGTTGCTCAGATTTTGTGGATTGGTTGAAGTTAGACATTAACGCCGTTGGATTCCGGACAGCTTAGTGGTCTATCGGTTAAGTGCTCTCTAGCTTGAGACTGGTAGGTCCTGGATTCGAATCTCGCTCGTGAAGCGGAATCGTGGATGCGCACTGATGAGTAGTCCCACAATAGGACGAAACGGTCGTTCAGTGCTTCCAGGTTTTCCATGATGGTCTAGCTTCAATTGACTCATGATTTCAACAATGAAAATATATTTCCATTTATTTGCTGTATATTAACCTGACTTTTAGTAAGCATTATGTAATAGAGTATTTCTGCATTTTATAGTTATTTGAATCAATGGCTGGTAAATCATTTATTTATCGTTCAAATCCATGTCAAAAATTAAATGAAAAATGTGATGAATTACTGCAATTATATCGTCATAAATATGGTGAACAATCAGTGGAATTATTAACGGATAATTTTATTAACCGATCAATATTAGATCCAATGAAAGCTTATGTTCAGGTAAGATGTTGTATTTCAGTAATGTGAATGAATGACACTTTGTTTTGTTCGCTCTCTTTGTTTCTCATACAGATTCCCATTCTTCTTTGATTTGATAATGTTCTAGGGAGAGAGAGAGATAGTTTCATGTTAAGCTGTTACAATCTAACTCATATATACTTATCCCCAACGGAACATACGCCGCCGACAAGCATTCTCTAACCCACTCTGTCCTGGGCCATACTTTCTAGTTCTATCCAATTGTTGTTCATTCTTCTCATGTCTATCTCTATTTCTCGGTGTAGTGTATTCTTTGGTCTTCTTCTTCTCTTTTGACCTTCAGGATTCCATGTGAGGGCTTGTCTTGTGATACAATTAGGTGATTTCCTCAAGGTGTGCCCACTATTCACTTCCAACGCTTCCTCCTGATTTCTTCCTCTGCTGGAATCTGGTTTGTTGTCTCCCACAGTAACTTGTTGCTAATTGTATCTGACCATCGGATCTGAAGTATTTTGCGTAGACAGCTATTAATAAACACTTGTATCTTCTGGATAATGGCTTTCGTAGTTTTCCACGTCTCTGCCCTATACAGTAGAACTGTTTTGACATTTGTATTGAAAACTCTGATTTTGGTGTTGATTGACAACTGTTTTGAGTTCCAGATGCTTTTCAGTTGTAAATATGCTGCTCTTGCTTTGCCGATCCTCGCCCTCCCATCTGCATCTGATCCACTGTGTTCATCAATGATGCTGCTCAGATATGTAAAGGTTTCCACATCCTTCACAGCTTCTCCGTCAAGTGTAACTCGATTGGTGCATATTGTATTGTATCGGAAAGTCTTGCTTTTCCGTTTGTTTATATTGAGACCTACTGCTTCTGAGGCTGCTGCTACAATGGTTGTCTTCTCCTGCATTTGTTATTGTGTGTGTGATAGAAGAGCCAGGTCATCTGCGAACTCTAAATCGTCCAGCTGCATTGTGCCTGTCCACTGTATCCCTAGCTTCCCTCCACCAGATGTTGACGTCTTCATTTTCCAGTTTTGAATACAGATCTTCAAATTATTTTCACTCCACATAACTGTCTCTTATCCTAGGTGAAGTAACTGAAACCTGAAAATGCATTCAACAGATTTCTGTTATCTCACTGGATTGATGAAAATGATTGATTTTCATTTCTTTTTATTGATGTATTCTATAAGATTTGACTATTTTTATTTCTAACTATTTCATAGCTTATCTATTCAGGAAAATGTTCACGGTGAAAAATGGCTCCATGGAGACAACCTTGTCTGTGTACTCCATCTTTCTGTCTTGATTTCATCAATCAGATGTACAGAAAACATTACTATAACTTTAGAAGTGTTTTCATGAGACTTGTAAATTAACACATTTCATATACATGAGTTCTTTATGTCCTTCAATGTACCTATTTCCTTTTCTTTATTTTCATCTATTAGATTACTTATGTTGAACCATATAAAGAAATAAAAGATTCTGATAAAAAACCATTAAGATCTTATGAAAAACATCATGATGTACGACAATTTATGTTTGAATCACCATTTCTAAGACAACCAGGTAAGAAATTTGCATATCTTCTTGATTGTTTGTTTGTTTGTTCTACGTCTAGTAACTCCCCCAAGTTAAACTTTGTAAATTTCGTATGATGTAGGTTAAGATCTATCTAACTAGGAAGTAACAAACATACCTACTTATCTATGATACTAATATGATAAGACAAACAAAAGCTATGTTATATAATAGTTGACCTACAAAAAGCCTATTCTTCAATTACTTATTCATTAACTATCATTGTAATAAACAAAAACACGACTGAGGGCAGTTGAGATCATAAGTCAATCGAAGCTAGACCACCATGGAAAAACCTGGAAGCACTGGACGGCTGTTTCGTCCTATTATGGGACTCCTCAGCAGTGTGGATCCACGATCCCTCACTCGCTAGATGCGAACCCAGGACATACCAGTCTCGCGCCAGAGAACTTAACTGATTGACCACTGAGCCGGCATCCAACAGTTCTAATGTCTAGCCTCAACCAATCCACCAAATTGCGCGACCAACTTCCATTTTACTGAGGTAGATACCTGTCTCTACCTGACATGGATTAGCTCCACTGGTCATGACTTCTCACTAGAACTCCAGGAATTACCTCATGGAGCCAGTCACTAGTGAGTATATGATCATTATCAGAAGGGGGTTTCGTGGAGATTTTAGCACAACATTACAGAATATCTCATTAAAATACGAGAACCATATAGTGAACAGTTAATTTGCAAAATAACAATCAATCGTCTTAATTTGACTGTTCCTTCTGCAAAAATTCGTTCATAGTCTCTGATTATAATTATTCATGCATTTTCGTACCTATTACGTGTCGTTCCCGTCCTCTCCTTATCGATCTTCTACTGAAATGCATTCAATGCCCGACCATCACCATATACTACTTATGTGGTTATCAATAACCCACACCACACCATAATCATGTTCATCGTGTTGTTTATCGGCATATTATTTCATTACAACAGCAAAAATACCTTATTTTCCTAGACAATTATGTGTATATGGATTGAGTGTTTGTGTAGGACAAATTATTTTCCTATCCATTATTTGGGTTTTCCATATTTGGTTGCGAATCGTTTATCAGGAGTGATGTGATTCCAGTTTGTGTATACCATATCGGTTGAGTATCCAATCTAGTAATAGTGTATTGATCCATATTCACTTGAATTATAGACGTGTAATTAAATTTGTGATCATATCGTGAACTGTTATGTCAGGCTGATACAATCTGTTGTGTGACCTTTTTCTGACCTTTGTATGCTTAATGATAACTCTTTTGTTGACTGTAATGCGCACTTGGAAGTTTACCATGTTTGCCTATATTACTCTTTATCTATTTTCATATATATACTCTTGGGCTGTCTATCTGTACACTCATTTATCCTTGTAGGTAGGTTTGACCTTGTCGAATTCACGTCTCTTATCATCTGTCTGCATCGACGAATATGTAATATATGTGTATCTACAGCACTCTTGTATCGAACTTATTTCCCGGTATTCACTAATATGATTGAGTCGGTGAATATATACGAAGTTAAGATGGATAGTGGCTAGCAGTGGAATCCAGGACGCGTGTTTCGTCCTATTTGGGACTCGAACCCAGTACCTTTCGCTTCAAACGCCATCGCGTTATCCACTCGGCCACTGACTCCTGATAGCCACTTTCTTGTGCAATGGGGTGAAGTTTAAATTCATTTAGTATTGTTTTGTTTGAATCTTCCCGTTGATGTTTTTGAACTATAACTGCTCAGTCTCTAGCGAAAGGTACTGGGTTCGAGTGCCAGAGTGAACATCAACTCTGAGATGCATGTACATCCAGCTGACGAGTCACAAATAGGACGAAACGCGTGTCAAACTGGATTCCACTGCTATCCACTATCCATCTCTGCTTACCATGTTTATGAATTTAAGCTATATCGAGGCAATACTCACATTTTACACAATGCCAATTAGAGACTGTCCATTTGCAGTCCAAAAACATCAATGGAAAGATTCAAACAAAACTATATTTCATCCATCGTCTTCCTGTTCATGTCTTATAATCCTGGTAACAACTTGTTACATATCATGGGAAATGGTTTATATTTGCCGTTATATGAATAACTGTATTGATTTTATACTGTTGAAGGCTTTGAATTCACTAACACTCAAAGTCATTCAGGAGTTAATTGACTTCCTTATTTCGACTGCTCATTAAATTGTGATTTGATTCTTAAAATTCGATTACGATTCAGGGGCTAAACAAACGTGAAATTGGTCAAGAATCAGTAAATAATCACTTGAAAATGTTTCATTCCTACAACATATCAGTCTTATTCTCAATAGCTCAGTGTTAAGGTCTCAGGTTTTGAAACAGGTTGATGTGGGTTCATATCCCACAGGGAGTATCAATTCCTTCGAAAACTTTAGGTTCAAGATTCCTCACCGACTATCTTCAACCAACTAACATTATACCTATCTCCTTATGAGCTCCTTGTTTATCGAGATTGTTATACTGACTTATTGTCTTTTGATTACTTCATATAATTAATTTTTGATTAGGTTTATCCACAGAAGAATGCCTATTAGCACCAGGTCCAAAACAAAGCGATGATTTAACTATCCAATGGAAACGTCGTACAATATTAACTACCGAAGCAACATTCCCGCATATACGTCGTCGACTTGAAATAATACAAGTAACAGAGATTGATTTCACTCCAATTGATTCAGCGATAGATGCTATTCAAGTAGGTTAAAGCAGAACATAAAATGCTTCCTTTCCTTGTAAACGTCTGTGATACTTATGTATTTTCAAGATCTACTTATTCTCACAAGTCCTCGTCAATAATTTTTGGAGATAAATATTTTGTTATCAACTGAACTCATCTGGAGAATCCTGAAATGTAAAGAAAGACTAGACAACTGTTCATTGTCTTATAGTTCTACATAACGGTCCACCTATGAGACCTGGGCGCTGGTGTATATTTCCATCTTCAGCCAGCTGATGACTATCATTCTATGTCATTGATTAGTGACTGTGTCCTTTTCTTGACAAGATCAGTTTCAAAGATTCCAGATTCCTACCATAGAATTTTTCGTGATTTTACTTTGTTCATTTGATGCTGTACTAATATTGAATTGTAGTTGGACTTCAGTGAAATTCGCAGTCTGTGTTTGATGAATTAGATTATTTTTGATGGATCGTAACTGTAAACAGCCGATATTTTGTATAATCATTGAACTTAAAATGCTCTAGCTGAATAAAACTTAAACCAGTTCGTTCGGATAATCTTATTATTTGGATTTTTGCATCATTGATATTGACCCGCATCAAGAAACCATTAAAATTCAGCAACAACGAAGCATTTGTTTTTCCTCCTGACGGTTAGCATATTCGACTCCCTTAGAGATCAAACTCAGAACTTTTAAGGCATCTATCAGGTGCATAACCTTCAGATAACTGGATTATAATCCAAATAGTATTAAAATTCCAGTAGCATTCATAATATTCGTTAACTAACAACCTAGTTATTGTATGGTCATTTTCATCAATATATAACTCACTGTACATCAGCGATCTCAAAAAACTACTAACAAGCTCTATGAAATAGTGATTTCAGTTTACTCATCATCTAGACGAATCTCGTTGAGTTCTAGGTTTATCAAAGGTTTATGAGTGAGATGGTATTTCTTCATATTTTGGATATTTTCGCTGGAATCCGTATGTGGTATGTACGTTCAACCATAAAGAAACTATGAATACCAATCTGTTAATTATCTACCATACAATATTTATATACTGCTAGACGAGATATCACTGTTTATTACAGTCTTTTCCAAAAACTTCGAAGCTATCATGCGATAGTCGGTGTAAGCGTCGGAAGACATCCTGTGATGAGCTATCGAGTCATAATGAAGTACCATGACCACCCATTTATTATTATGATTATTAAAGTCGACATTGTTTTTTATTTCTTGTTTATACAGTGTAAAAATCAAGAATTAATGAATCATTTAATAACTCTACGTAATAATATGGCAACTTGTCAACATTCAGGTTAGTTATACAATGACTATGTATCAGATTAGAAAGTTTATATTTTAAAAGATTGAGCTGAAATTGATGAACAAAAAGATCATTTCACTTTAAGACTTCATACGTGTTGTTAACCCCCAAATGCCCTGGTACGGTCGAGAGTGGAGAGAGTCAGCTCTCCCTCTTCAAATTCTCTCATATGGCCACGAGTATATAGCCTCTGTCACGGAAGTCTTACTCACTGCCTTCTCGTGTCGCAGGTGTTGTTTACGAAATTGTGAGGACAAAAAGCGAATGTCCGGCGCTTTAACAGGGTTGGTGGACACAGAAAATTCACCTAGGGGAGTTGGAAAACCCTGATTCCAAACCAATGGTGCACATGGGCTGACTCCAATATCCTGAGGGAAAAATGGCATATGAATTAATCGTTGGTCACCGGCTACCATGGGACTGCATCTCCACACGATGCTCCACTGCCCTGTGGATCAGATCTTTAGGTCCAAGGCTTAAAATCTGACCTCCTAAGAAAACCATCTGCTTCAGTTTGGACACCTGGGTAGTATCACAGCCCTCACACAAATCAAATGAGATTTGTGCGGTGCATATATATATGGTGCCCCTTTGTACCAATATTTGTGTTTGAATAAATAAATAAATAAATATACAGTGTTGTCGTTGTATAGACTACGCTATCACGTGATGTGATCGTAATGTTAAGAATTAATTGAAGTATTTGGCAGGATTATTTGAACTCTGATGTTTAGAACTTTGTAAAATTATTGTTTATAATTATTATCATTGAATGAAGATTACTATTGTCAAATGGAATAATAGTCATTGTTATGCTGACCTGAGGTTATTAGAGTTTAATAGAATGATATTGGTGTTGGTCACCTAGTGATTAAAACAGTCAGATTTCAAATAACAGAATTTGGGTTCCCTACCCCTCCATAACCTCACTACAATTACTCCAATTTAATTCTCTAAGCATTACATAGAACTCTGTAACTCAATGTTGAACGTATATGTCTGTACAATTGACCAATTCCTGAATAGTTACAATTGTTATTTGTCTAGTTCCATGATGTTGATCAAATTGTATCATCACCTAAATTCAGGATCGCGTTTTCACTGTCTTCAACTACTGAACATCTGTTAGTGTAAGGTTGTGAAGATAATCGAATTCTCATTAAAATCACAAACTGATCTTAGCTGACTGACTATTAAAAACATGATAGCACTGAATGGTCATTTCGTACTAGAATGAGATTCCTCGGCATTCCGCATCAAATCAAAGTGTACGCTAAAAAAAAAAGTATATTCATAACAAAAACAGATAGCCATCAGTGAAAATTACCCACTAATAACTCATATATCAAGTATAGATTTATATTATTCAAATTAAAAGCCCATTTTTTGCATGAACGTTCTAGACCATTGACCAGTATTCAATATTGTACATGTTTAACTTCAATCAATGGAAACCGAAGATCTTGGCTTAAATTTCCGGTTACAAAGTGATGAATGTACAATATCGACGAGTTCCAATACTATATTTTTCACAGTTGTCTAAATTGAATGTTTTCTGTAATAGCTACCTGGTTTCTTGTTATGAATATATATCTTTTGTTGTTAATGTAATCTTTTGTTATAGCAACTAGTATGTTTCCAGTTTCAAATCCTAAATAGGATTAAAACTGAAATAATCTGTAATTTGATATTAATTATTCCATGCTATGTGCTAACCCTCCAACTGACTACTTGAGGGAGAACACATGAATAAGTGAGGAAGTGTATTGGACTACCGAATGAAATATACAAATACTCATTCATATATATAGATACCATTCTATCTGTAGGAAATAGATCCATTGACTCAATTAAATGCATTTAACTTCTGATTGCCATCGATTGACCATTTCATTAGGCTACTTCATCATTAGCCTACAAGATACCGTATAAAGGTTTAAAATATCGTCTCTGCACCATCTTTAGACATGAAGATCATGTGTTTATTCTGAAATGGGTTTGTAATTGCAGTCAGTCAGCTACAATGTAGGACCAGGCACATTTATGCATCGGTCCAAGTCCCCATACCGCGTTAGCACAACAAAATGAACACAGGATTCATAGAAGTAGTTAATTTAGTGGTGGTAGTATATAAAAGATAGGTTGTATTTAAGGATATAGTACAGGAAGGAAGAAAGTTATGAAGCAATTTTAATCTCAAGGTTTAAGGGAAGATAAAGAGTGTATACTAGACCTAAGCCATTGTGATCGATTCTGAGTCATGTCACCTAGAGTCTCCAACCATTGGTTACGATAGTCACACGGACCCCAACCAATTAGTCTGCATCTGCCAACATGGCTCAGCCTAGAAGTTAGTGACTTCAAGTTGTGATGCCACGTTTTGGTTTGGCCCCCCCCCTTAACTCTCTTCCAATCATCCCCAATACTAGTCAGCATAACACACTCCTGAGAATAACCAACGTTTGACGTGTTTGTACGTATGACATATACTTCACATATTTTAAAAGCGAAGTTTTTAAACGACTGATAGAAGTCGTTACCTACATTCAGTCTTTCTGTTAAACCGTTGAAAGTATTTGAAAACTTCATGTGTCTGAGTGACTATAAATGTCTATTATTTCTCGACTCTGGGACGAGGTGTTTCAATATCATATTGATCCAGATTTTTATACTTAGCATCAGCGCAGCCAGTGCAAATTAACACGATAAAATGCAATAAATTGACTTAACTCACGATTTAAGAAAATCGCAAAAGTAAATTGATCCAATGTATAATATCTTTAGTTGTATGAACCTCAAGCTTGATGATTTGAGTCAATATGAAGATCATAATCAATAAGATTGTATTCTTCCAAGGTGAGTATCTGAACAATCACTTTTAATCGAAGTTATGTACTTGGAGAAAGTTTTCTTCACGAACTAAAATTAACGGTATAACCACTCGAAAATAGTTGTACACGGAACTCCTGTGCTGTCTTAAGTCAGATAATTATCTTCTTTACGAACCTTCTAGAGCATATCCAATCGAAATCTGTTTCTCCAGGTTCCGACAATGTCTGAACACCGATTACCACGACGCGCTATGCTGGCTAGGGTAGGGGATGGTTGGAAGAAAGTTAAGGCCAGCCAAACCAAAATGTGGTATCAGTGCTTGAAGTCACGAACTTTAAGTCTAAGCCATGTTGGTAGATGCAAACTAATTCGTCGGAGTCCGCGTGACTATCGTAATCAATGGTTGGAAACTCTAGGTGATATGGCTTAGAATCGATCACAATGACGTAGGTGTATACACTCTTCATCTTCCCTTAAAATTGCTTCATATCTTTCTTCCTTCCTATACTATATCCTTAACTACAACCTTTCTTTTATACATTATCATCACTAAATTAACTACTTCTATGAATCCGTTGTTCATCTTGTTGTGCTAACGAGGTATGTAGTGAGTCATTTCATGTCATTTGGCCTCTCCGAGTTGAGGATGTCAGACGACTCTCTGTGTTCGATCATCGTTGTCTCCGAAGGATTGCTGACATTCAGTGGCAACACCATGTTAGTAATGCAGAGGTTCGGCATCGTGTGCTCGGGCGCAGAGACGATAATTCAATTGGTGTCACCATCTTGAAACACCGACTTCGGTGGCTTGGACATGTTTTACGAATGTCGTCCCAGAGACTTCCACGTCGTGCATTATTTGCCGACCCTGGGAGTGGTTGGAAAAAGCGGAGAGGAGGTCAGTGTATGACATGGTGTCGTGGCATGAAAGAAAGCTGCAAAAATGTAGCTTCCGTTGGTCCTTCACGACTCCCTGGCTGGGGTCCGAGAGATGGTGCAACACAGTGGCTAGAGACGTTATCAGATATGGCTCAGAATAGAAGCCAGTGGCGATCCTGCTGCAACCTTCGTTTACTTTCTGCATAAAGAGTGGTTCTAACTTTCTTAACTGAGTCTTCTGGTTGTACATTTCAGTCCGCCTTATCTTTTCATCCCTTCTCTTCCTACTTTCATTATTTTGTGTGGCGCATATGTATCTGGTGCCCTTTTATTTATTTATTTTATTTTATTTAAACACATATATATTGGTACAAAAGGGCACCAGCTGTTTCCAGGATGTCGTCGATAGCAAAGTTGAAGATGACTGTGCCGGAAGTTAGTGCTGGCCAGAAACAGGTTGTGGTGTGCATAGTTGCAGCAAACGGTCCCCGTTATCTGTCCGGCGACCAACAAGTCCCCATCGGCCACCTAAACGACTCTCTTTTGTGCCTAGACACCCGACCTGTGCATTCAAGTCTCCGGCTAGTACTACAATATCTGTCGAACGCGCTTTCTGGAGAAGAACTGTTAACTGATGGTAAAACTCATCCTTGATTGCATCCGGGCTGCAATCTGTCGGCGCATAGGCGGAGATGACAAAAAGACACCGTTTCTCACACCGATTTCTTCTCACTTTGATGAAACTTTCTAATCTAACAGCACATAACCGACTGTTAATGGGGATCCAATCGATTAGTGCTGCCTCAGCCCTAGCGATTAGTGCGACACCAACGCCAGCAAGACCAGACGAAGATGTCACAGGGTCCCTGGATAAGCGCACGTGGAACAAGCTTTTCTAGGCGGATTTGTAGTACTTCACTAGAGTCTTGAATACGGGTCTCGGATAGACAACAAACATCAACATTAAGACCTTCCAAAGACATAGCCAGCCCTATCTGTTGTCTGATATGCATTAGTGTGCGAACGTTGAAGGAAGCCAGCTTGAACGGCGTACGTGGTTTCAGAAAGACTGCTTCAGTATTCATAATCGGTGGAAGCATTCACTTTCAACCAGACAGTGACTGGAGATCGTTTAGATAGGACAGATTTTCCACCAAGAGCGAGTTGCTACATAAGATAAAAAGTAAGGTTACACAAATTGGGGATAAAAGGGAGTGAGTTAGCGATATGGTATATAATAATAATAATAATAATAATAATAATAATAATAATAATAATAATAATAATAATAATAATAATAATGTAAATTGTCTTGCTTCTAATATGAGCAGGAATAGTATCGTCAATAGAATTCATCATTTCGTTCATTTGTGTGTGCGCTGTGATACTTCCCGGGTGCCCAAACCGATGCAGGTGGTTTTCTTAGGGGGCCACAACCCGAGCCTTTGACTTGAATATCTGATCCACACGGCAGTGGAGCATCGTTAGGAGATGCAGTCCCATGGTAGCCGTTGACCAATGACATGTTCGTCCGCCATTCGTTCCATCAGGATACTGGAGCCCATGTGCACCATTGGTTTGGAATCAGGGTTTTCCAACTCCCCTAGGTGGACTCTCCGTGTCCACCAATCCGGTTAAAGCGCCGGACATTCGCTTTTCGTCCTCTCACTTTCGTAAACAACATCCCCGCCACGAGAAGGCAGTGAGTAGGACTTCTGTGACAGAGGCTATATATTCGCTGGCCATGTGAGATCATTTCTAGAGGGAGAGTAGACTCTCCACACTCTGGCCGTACCAGGGTACGAGGTATGGCAACTTGGACCGATGCATGAATGTGCCTGGTCCTACGTTGTAGCTCACTAACTGACTGACTGAGGTTCCTCCACAACCAAGATATAATCAAATCGCTGAATAAGAGTTTCATTGATCACTACTTCCATCAATTCGTAATATTATGTTTTCTTCATTCATTGTTTCCATCAGTGATTTACTGCTTCATCATCATTATCATTATCATCTTGGTCGAATGCATAGGTCTCAGTTTTTGTTTTGTTTTCAATACTACTAACTCTGTTTGTGAGGTTACATTGTTTTCTGTAAATGGTTTAATTATCAACTTTTCTAATTATCCATTATTTTAGTTAATCCAACTTTAAATGAAGATAAACGTGTCTCCATCAATATGATTACAAATTGTTCAAATATTCATAACATCACAACAACTACTACTACTAATACTATAAATAGTAGTAATAGTAATAGTAATGTGAACAACTCAAAAACATCTACTTATAAAATACCTTTATTAATGGATATGCAATTACAAGGTGCATTATTACCTACAGTTAATGCTGGTCCAATGGCATATGCTCAAGCATTTTTAAAAGTAGAAAATCAATCACTTTATCCTATAACTAAAGTTAATCAATTGAAGGAGTTGTTTTTGTAAGTTAGTATAGTTTTTTGTTTGAATAATTTTTTCTGGTTAGCGTTTTTTTTTTAGCGAGTTGGTTTTCTACGGGATGGGCTTGGGACCGGCAGTAACCCCCGGAGGAGTTACACGTAGAGTTTTTTGTAGATGTGTAGAGGGGATTACGCTTTGGTTTATATCTATAATGTTACTCGTAGAAATCTTGTTATTAGAATGTTTTACATTACTTTACTCAACTTTTATTCGATGTTTTACCGGAAATGAGCTCATTTATCTTAAATTCTGTTAACGATTAAAGTATTGATCCCTAAAATTCCCAAAATTCTACTGAGAAACCCTGACCTATAGAGTTCAACCGTGTCGATTGTAAAACAATTTACCTACGGAAGACAATAGAAAATGGTTGCGCGAAATCTTGGATTGGATGAAGTTAGAGGTTAACGCCATTGGATCTCGTGTTGACGGTCTAGAGGTTAAGCGTCCGCATGAAATGTAAGGTTCTGGGCCTGATTCCAGCGAATGAGGTTGTGAATTCGCGCTGCTGAAGAGTCACACACACTAGGACGAAGCGACCTTTCAATCTTTCTAAGTTTTTAATGGTGGTCTAGCATTGTTCAGTTCATGATTTTAAAGAAACTCAACAGCCCTGTACTGATGAATATATATTTTTGATTCCAGATAGTTTGTTTACTTTAATATTAATGTTTATATTGCTCTTCTATATTCTTTCATAATTAGTTAGTAATAGGAGATTCACTGGGAAAATATACGTTCTATACTCATTATAATGGTAAAAAAATGATTTGAATAATAGGTTGAAAGAAAACTAAACAGGATGGTCAAATCAAGTTGTGACAATTGTCCATGAAATCATCAGTTGTTTAACTGAACCATGTAGTTAGACTTGGATCAGTTTGTTAGGGTTCTCACAATTATCATAATTAATGATTAAAGACATTAGATAAAATGACTGTAAATCAGTCAAATTAGTGAAAATTCATTCACTCTTTATCTTTCAATATTTTGTCCTGATAATTTCATTTCACTTTACTGTTGGGGTATGCTAACGTCTTGAACTACTGATACACTTATATGTTAGGTTCTGCATTGCTTATGGACTGACGGACTGATGATGTATTCAGCCAGTCACTTCAACTTGCCATATCACATTAACACAGAAATGCACTTGTCGATTCAAATCCCATAGTGATAGAAGTAGTAAGAGTATAAGCAGGAATCCGAAAGATTGGGGTTTGAAAATGTTATTCAAGGAGTATAATCCAGTGAAATAAGTTTGAAAAGAGAAAAAAGATAGAGACACGAAGAATTCAGAAGATTACAATTTGGTAGAACACAAAGAGTGGATGCACTTTCACTATTGCAAACGATTTTGAGCCATGTCATTCAAGGTCTCTAACCATTGGTTACTATCATCTCGCGGATTCAAACCACATAGTCTACACTTACGAACGTGGCTCAGTCCACTTGTCAGTGACTTCATGGATTTGTGCCATGTTTTGGTCTGGCTGCCAATTAGCTTCCTTCTGACCTACTTCTACACTATAAAACGTCGCATATCGAAACAGTCGATGGTTAGGCATACGTAACACGTGTCCCAGCCATTTCAACTGATGAAGTTTCACTACTTCATCAATTGATTTTCCATCCTTACTTAATACCCGTTTCCTAACAAATGCATTAATTACTCGGTGGTCCTAGGATATACGAGCAATGCTTCGAAGACCCTTATAAGAAAAGACAAAAGTCCTCCTCTTGTGGCAATCACAAAGGGGTCAGTTTGACTAATATACTGTCTAAAATATTAACTTCAATAATACTTGGACATCTAACCAAAGCTCATGAAGGGCAGACTAGAGAAAACCATGCTGATTTTTAACCTGGACGCGGTAGTATAGACCAGATAATGTATTATTTTACCATTTTAATGATTTATTCTCATTACACTATTCATCTTTCTTTTTCTTCTATTTCATTTATATATAGTGATTTCTTATCAACTTGTCTAGTACTACTTACATATTATTACAATTTAATGTCAAATATACATGAAGCAAAATATCGTGCTATGCGTGAAGCATTAGATCGTTATCGTGTTGATTTAAGTAATTTATTAAAAGAAGAAGTAAGTTGATCTACATACATTGTTTAATTCTTTAAAAAAAATTTTTTGATGATTATATTATTAGTAGTTGTCAAGATACCTTACTTTAATTAAGCTTTATTGTTTATTGGCCCCCGAATGCCCTGGTACGGTCGAGAGTCGAAAGTGTTCACTCTCCCTCTCGAAATACTCTCACATGACCACGCGTCTGTCAGAGAAGTCCTACTCACTGCATTCCCGTGACATTACTGTTGTTTACGAAATTGAGACGAAGAAAAGCGAGTGTTCAGCGCTTTAACAAGGTTGGTAGACATAGAAAGTCCACCTAGGAGAGTTGAAATCCCTGATTCCAAATCAATGGTGCACATGGGATGGCTGAAGGATCCTGAGGGAACAAATGGTGTATGAATCAATTATTGGTCACCGACTACCATGGGACTGTATCTCCTCACGGTGCTCCACTGCCTTGTTGATCAGATCTTTAGGTCAAAGATTTCGGGTGTAGCTTCCTAAGAAAATCACCTGCATCAGTTTGGGCACCTGGGTAGTATCACATCCCTCACACAAATCAAATGAGATTTGTGAGGCGCATATATATCTGGCGCTTCCTTTGTACCAATATTTATGTGTTTAAATAAATAAATAAACACTAAAAGAACATGGCAAATATGACGCTACTAACTTATCACTGATCAATCATATGTATATACATATAGTTAGTCTAATGTCTAGCATTTATTGAACATCAGTTTTTACTCAATTATGCCATTGATGTGAAATAAATAACTCAAAGATGAATAAGTTATCATTCTCAATCTATTGAAATTATAGATGTCACTACAATCCACAATAATAAATCAAATGTTTACTCTAAGACTCCAACCCCAGTATTATTCGTTTCAAACGCTATCGCGTTATCCATTTAGCTACTGAGTCCTAATAGCCACTTGCAACAGAGTACTGGATTTGTTATATGACTATTAGCAGTAGGGAAAAGTTGATAGAACTGTTAATCTACGTCAATACATCTTTCCAGTGTTTTCTTTTGTTAATTTGCTATCATTTTCAAAGAGTTGATGTTTTTTAGCGAGTTAGTTTTCTACGTGACGGGGTCGTTTACCCTATGCCTAACCCTTCTCCTTAACCCGGGACATGAAACCGTCAGTATATATAATGTTCATCAGCAACAGTAACATTTTTCTTTTCTTATTTCCAGATTATTGTTGATGAAAAAGAATTAAGAATTGGACCGAAATCATCATCATCAACAGCAACAACAACAACAACAACAACATCCTCTTCATCTACAACAAATCAAATTCATTGAAATCCTTTTTTTTGTTGTTGTTGTTGTCATTTCTTTCATCTTTATCACAAGAATAATATTACACTGATGTGGGGGGGGGAGGGGAACGGTATTGTTCACTGATTCATCAATGGATAATCTATGTATATTCTTAATATGAATGAATTATATAAAATAAACATTCCAATAAATAATTCACATATCTTTATATAATAATCTAATTGATTCTTGTAATTTATACACATTTCATATATATACTACTTATATTCATCAACATAATAGTAGTATATAACATTAAAGAGAAAATACTCATTAAGTATGAAAATTATGTTGGTTTTTTTTAAAACAATAACTTGTATAAAAATGTATCATTTATTATTATTAATTTTAGCTTATTAATAAACTACTTTCCTATTAAAACTGTAATCTTTGTCTATTATCCTGAATAACTTCTTTTTTGTTTTTTTCCACCCATTTCGAGATCAACAATGTATGAATCCATTTGAATCAATTCATTTATTAATGCATTTCTATGTTCAATTATTGTTTGTTTGATAAGGTTATTTTGATTAATCTTTCTACTACTACTACTACTACTACTACTACTGTTACTACTACTACTAATACTACTACTACTACTGTTACTACTACTACTAATACTACTACTACTACTGTTACTACTACTACCAATACTACTACTACTACTACTACCAATACTACTACCACTACTACTACTACTACTAATACTACCATTACTACTACTACTACTACTGTTACTACTACTACTAATACTACTACTACTACTGTTACTACTACTACTACTAATACTACCATTACTACTACTGCTATTACTATCACAATCATAATATTATTGTACACCTTTTATTTTCAATGAAAATTGATTTAATTTTAACCATAGATATATTATGATATTTTTTTTCTGTTACTTAATTACATAATAAATAATTATTTTATATATATTTGATTATTGGAATTTGTAGATTTGTTACCATGACAACAATGTAAAAGTAGTAAATGTAGTCATAGACAAGGGATTAGTGTTCTTTTTTTTTAGAGAGTTAGTTTTCTACAGGGTAGGGTCACTAACTCTTCTCCTTTATCCGGGCTTGGGATGGGCAGTAGCCCCCGGAGGTGCTATAGGCGGCGTTGTCATAAACAAAGTGTAAGGATGACTCGTTGAAAAACTCAGGGAAGCCTAGAAAGAGCCAAAGATATTCCATCCAATCACTGCTAGCGGAACTTTTTAGAATGTCGACGTATAGCTTCCCTATTAGATGAATGGGAACAACCCCGTATATGCCTATCGGCTGTCCGAAAAGATGATTTATTTTCAGCCCATAACTATAAACACATGAGATTTTTGTATTGTATTTGACACTGTTTGGAATAACATTCCTATTTACTAATCTTTTAAATTCATTTAGTATTGTTTATTTGAATCTTCCCATCGATGTGTTAGGACTGCAACTGGTCAGTCTCTAATTGGCATATGTGCATACTGTTCGTATTGCCTCGATATTAGCCTTAATTCACAAGCATGGTAAACAAAGATGGATAGTGGCTAGCAGTGTAATTCAGTTTGACGCGTGTTTCGTCCTATTTGTGACTCGTCAGATGGATGTACCTACATCTCAGAGTTGATGCTTACTCTAGGACGAAACGCGCTCTTTCCTGCCAGCCACTATCCATCTCTGCCTACCATTATTAATCTTATGTCTTCTCATTTTGTGACTTGAGAGAGTTCTAGCGTTCAAGTGCTCAAGTATTACACGACATACTAAGAATCTAAGTTCGAGATATAACACAAAGAGAAATGCATGATAGTTGTCATAGCACAATGAGATATATTAAAGTATCAATGAGTATTCTTTATGATTTGAGAAAAGAAAATGAATTATTACAACAAAAAATGAATGTCAATAGTATAATAACAAGACGAAGATTATCAGAACTATATGATGAGATATTAGCGCAATACATTTCGAACAATCTGATCAGTGAATTACTCTACACCATTGTTATGTATGTTTGAAATACAAGGATTAATAACGCAGAGGGTGTTATTGGTGTTCTCGACTTAACTGACTGGGCTAGGCAGAAAGCAGGACCGGTTAGCGCCCTAGACTGCTCGTACGCCTTTCGTGTATCACTGTTCCAATCAATAATTCGTTGCTCCCTGATTGGCGGTCTTATCACGTCATACATTAACTAGGCATCCACTCGGCCACAAGATATAACTACCTTTTTGGTCAACTTTCAACTATGCTACCCAGTCTCCGGTTAACGGTTACAATGATTTTAAAGACAGAAAGGCAGCTGTTTAGAATAATCAAAAGATTATTCACTCACACATTGATCAACTATATATCTCACAAGCTAGATCCACATGGTTCTTTTTAGTGTAGAGTTATTATGGTTTTACTTACGGCTGTTACTCCCAATAGAGCATAGGCCACCGACCAGCATTCTTCAACCCACTCTGTCCTTGGCCTTCCTTTCTAGTTCTATCTAGTTATTGTTCATTCTTCTCATGTCTGTCTCAATTTCTCGACATAATGTGTTCTTTGGTCTTTCACTTCTCCACCTGTAGCTCCTCCAGGGACTACTGCCGGTCCCAAGCCCGGAGAAAAGAGGAAGGTTGGACATGAGGTTAGCGGCCCCATCCCGTAGAAAACTAACTCGCTAAAAAAACGCTAGCCAGAGTTATTATGATGCTAGTGGTAAAACCAGTGCTTTTACAAAGTTTCCAGAAATGCCTAAGACCTAATATACTGGTTGAGTGGTAAAACTATTACTAGTGTTTAATATCTTCCACCAGATATTTCTAGAAGTTTAAATTCATTAAGAATCCTATAAAAACTATTAATTATCCATCCTTTGCATTTAATCATACAATTAAATTATCTACATTTTCCTTGACGATTTCAAATATGATGTCGAAATCGTAAGTGTACAGTGTACAGGGGATCGATTCCATTAGGGAGCATCAGTTCCCTCAAGACTACAGGTACATGTTGCTGATGAATGCCAAATAGCACGAAACCTAGATTCAGGGTTTCCTGTCCATTAACTCCAAACACAATCATATCTCAATATATTCCATACAATGTCGAGTCATCTAGACTAGTGGACCACATTACAACTTTATCGATAAGATTCAATCTGCACTAAGAAGGACCTGACATACATGACATTCATCACCGCCGAGTGATCAATCAATTGTGAATGTATAATATTACACAATTCCATACATTTTTTTTGTCATTGAATCTACCCGAAGTTTGTGTTAATAACGTTGTTCAGAAGCACAATGAAAGCTTCACGACCAAACCATCCAGCTGACAGAACAAACCTACATCAAAATCAATTTGTATTATAAAACTTTAAAGAATATTACAGTCATTAGAGAAAAATCAAATAAATTTGGGATTGGTATTTGAAAGATACAACGTCATGAAAGAAGTGAAAATTCTTTAATTATTAAAATGATTGTCATTATCATCATTATGAATAGAAGTAATAGTATAGTCTAGAAAAAGGAAACACAATTTTCTTGATATGATTACTCAATAGTTCCATTAAGTGAATAGAATACAAACAAGATTGAGATGGTAGAAAAGATTTGTAGCTCAGGAGGGGGTGATTTTGATGTAGGTTTGTTCTCTGAGATGGATGGTTTGGTCATAGAGCTTTCATCGTCCTTCTGAAAGACATCATCAGCACAAAATTCGGGAGAATATAACCAAAACAAAGAAATAAATAATGACAGATTTTAGGTCAATAAGAATCAATCAACATCGAGGTGCACAGGATAGGCTGTGAATCACATGTGAAGAAATTCAAACACTTCACTTCTACCCGAAGTTTATGCTGATGATATCGTGTTCAGAAGGACGATGAAAGCTCCATCACTAAACCATCCAGATTAGAGAACAAACCCACAATAAATAAGATTGGTCCAATAAGAAAAAAAGAAAACTGGTCAATATCATTAAGGCTATTATTGTGTAATACCAAACAAAAGGGAACATCAACTATACACTATAAATTATCTTGATTATGAAGGAGTTACAAAAAAAAACATGAATAGTGTATTAAACAAGAACACAAGTAGTAGGGGACAATCAAATGTAGTTTTGAATAGAAAAAATTACAGAACACCTAAGTGAAAACCTGAGAATCATACAGTAAGTACTTCATTGACAAAATATTGTCTCAGATTTCATTGTTCCTTCGTTGTTGTTTTTTTGTTCTCATTCTCTTCGATTGTATCAACTTATTGCCGTCACCGCGCCAGGAAATAATAGCAGATATAAAAAGGATAAAATAAAAACTGAAAAAGATTGCCCATGACTGAGTCGGATAGAGAATGCTGGTAGACGGCCTATGCTCCTCCACAAGGGGTAACAGGCATAAGTAAGTAAGTAAGTAATTGCCGTCACTTATTCCACCTTTGATTTCTCATACATACTACTTATTTCTACTGACATCAGTAGCATACATATCACATCACAATAGTATAGTTATTGCCAGTAATTATAACAGGTATACACGTTATTAATAGCAATAATAATAATACACAATTACCTGAATTCTTAATAAAAGGCATCACAATATAAAACCTACAAATCTAATCAAGGCCAAAAAAAGAATTGAAGAGTAATAATCAAATGTCTTAGCAACAAACTAGAGAGAAAAAAAATCAATAATTAAATTATTCAATGATTCCTTTAGAAACTTTATCTAAACGACGTTGAAGTTTTTCAGCTAATTCATTTGTTGCTATGGTTTGTTTATTAGAATTTGATATAGAATGATTTAAATGTTGTTGTTGTTGTTGTTGCTGAGGCTGATGAGGATGGGTTTCCTGTGCCAAATAAAAAAAAAGAAGAAAAATTAAACAAAGAAAAGAAACTTTAAATATATAAACCATTCATCAATATCATCAGTGAGTTGATATCTCCCAACAGATCTGGTTGAACACTGCTGAGGAGTCCTATAATAAGACGAAACGGCTGTCCGGTGCTTCCAAGTTTTCCATGGTGGTAGTCTAGCTTCAATTGAATCATGATTTCAACTTTGAAAAAAATGAAGTGACTTTGATTATCAACTAATGATTTAGTGTTGAAAATCATTATGATTTCAATCAGTAGATTTCAGTTTTGAACCTTGTTTTATTTAGCAGAGATGGATAGTGGCTAGCAGTGGAATCCAGGACGCGCGTTTCGTCCAATTTGGGACTCGTCAGCTGGATGTACCTGCATCTCAGAGTTGATGTTCACTCTGGGATTCGAACCCAGTACCCTCGCTTCAAACGCCATCGCGTTATCCACTCGGCCACTGAGTCCTGATAGCCACTTGCTTGTGCTATGGGGTGAAGTTCAAATTCAACTTAGTATTGTTTGTTTTAATCTTCCCATCAATTTGTTAGGACTGCAACTGGTCAGTCTCTAATTGGCATATGTGCATACCGTGCGTATTGCCACTATCCATCTCTGCTAACCATGCTTGTGATTTAAGGTATATCGAGGCAAAACGTACAGTATGCACATATGCCAATTAGAGACCGACCAGTTGCAGTCCTAACAAATCGATGGGAAGATTCAAACAAACAATACTAAGTTGAACTTGTTTAATTTAATTCACTTTGGATAGATACTAGATAGCATAAGCTACCAAATGCCCACGTACGATCAAGAGTGAGTGCACATATGCCAATTAGAGACCGACCAGTTGCAGTCCTAACAAATCGATTGGGAAGATTCAAACAAACAATACTAAGTTGAACTTGTTTAATTTAATTCACTTTGGATAGATACTAGATAGTATAAGCTACCAAATGCCCACGTACGATCAAGAGTGAGGAGAGTCAACTCTCCTAAAAAATGCTCTCACATGGCTTCGTGCATACAACCACTGCCACAGAAGTCCGACTCACTGCCGTCTGGTGGCATTACTGATGTTTACGAAATTGACAACACGAAAAGAGAATGTCCGGCGATTTGACTGGGTTGGTGGATATAGAGTATCCACCTAGGTGAATTGGAAAACCCTGATTCCAAACCAATGGTGCACATGGGCTGACTCCAGGATCCTGAGGTAACAAATGGCGTATGAATCAATCGTTCGTGATCGGCTACCATGGGACTACATCTCCTCACAATGCTCCACAGCTTTACGGACTAGACCTTTAGGTCACGGGCTCCGGATGTGGTCCCCTGAAAAAACCACCTGTTTCAGTCTGGGAACCCCAGCAGTATCTCAACCTTAACACAATTCGAATGATTTATGCGGCCCATATCAATTTGGTGCCTTCTTGTACCAATGTTTATGTGTTTAAATAAATAAATAAGTAGTTTTTCAACAAAAAAAAAACAGCAAAAACTTTTGAAGTTCGTATGAATAACTTTGCAGTGAATCGAAAGTATAAAAATTCATTCCTCTTCAGCTTTATAATATTCAGTAACTTAGTGATTAAGAGGATTAATTTAGATGATTTAAAACTAAGGTCATGTCAGTTCAACTTAATCGATAGAGTAACAATAGCATTCATAATTGATTGGTCATTGAGTAATACTAATCAATATCATGTTTATATATACTTGAAATCATGAGTCAATTGAAGCTAGACCATCGTAGAGAACCTAGAAGCACTAGATGGCCGTTTCGTCCTATTGTGGGACTCCTCAACAGTGCGCATCCACGATCCCGCCTCGCGAGATTCGGACCCAGGACCTACCAGTCTCGCACTAGAGCGCTCGACTGATAGACCACTGAACCGGCATGTTTGTCGAACAAGTTGTCATGTAACCACCACTAGTCTGATTGATTCGATATCATGTGTATTATATTGAAATGTTAGATGGTTACACAGCAGTCGATACTATGATTAGTATTAAAAAAAGAACAAACAAACATAACATTGATCATTACTTTCATTTGGTATTGTTTGTTTGAGTCTTCCTATTTATGTGTTAGGACTGCAACTGGTCAGATTCAAACAAACAATACTGAATGAATTTAAAACTTCAACCCATTGTACAAGCAAGTTGCTATCAGAACTCAGTAGTTGAGTGGATAACGCTATGACATTTGAAGCGAAATCTACTAGGTTCGAGTCCCAGAGTGAACATCAACAAGACTGAGATGCAGGTAAATCCAGCTGATGAGTCCCAAATAGGACGAAATGCGCGTCAAACTGAATTCTACTGCTATCCATTATCCATCTTTGCTAATACACCGTTTGTTGTTTATATTAGATATAGATATATAAATAGATGAAAAGTCAAAGTAGAGTCAAGTATACTGTTATATCTAGAGCCTTGATTCTTAATATGCCGCGAACTACTCGACTACTTGAACGATAGAACCCACAACGTCGCAATAGAGAGAAGACAAAGATTGATAAGTAGGAAGTTTATTCCCCAAATCAGTGTCAAAATATAGCACAGAAATCTCGTGTATTTATAGTTTTTTGGCTGAATGTAAATCATCATTTAGGTCAACCAATAGGCACATAGGGGTCATGCTAATCCATCCAACGGGGAAGCTACACGTTGACATTCTAGAACATTCCCCTAGCAGTGATTGGATGGAATGTCTGTGGCTTTTCTTGGGCTTCTTAAGGCTTCCTAGAGTCTACCGACGGGCCGTCCTTACATATATACATAACAGAATATTCAATTAAACTATACATTTTTACAAATTAACTAATTTTCAATTTCATTTTATCAATGACTAACTTGTATTATACCCTAGAGATTAGACTACATTTTAATGTAAATAACTATTGAGATAGATGGTGAAAGAGATAGAGTGAGAAAGAGAGAATTAAGCATTAGGGTGAATGAAAATACATCTAATTATTGACTTAGGTCCGTCCTGGGTTCGAATCTTGCGAGGCGGGATATTGGATGCGCACTGCTGAGGAGTACCACAATAGGACGAAACGACCGTTCAGTGCTTTCAAGTTTTTCATGGTGGTCTAGCTTCAGTTGAATCATTTATTACTTCTCTTCAATCATACTTCATACTTCATATTAGATGAATCACATCTATTAATGATTGTTTGAAATGATTCAATAAATAAATAGAAAATACATTAGATCTAAACAACTGTTCAATTCATCAACATAATACAAAGAAATATATTTTATAGTAAATTAACTAATTACATTGTACATAATGAATGACAGATAAGTAAAAGATTTTTTTTTTTAAAAAAAATTCAAAATTCGGTTTACTATTTTCTTAAATTTTTCAAACATTAATGATGGGGAGTAGTGAAATTTAAAACGCATGTTTCGTCCTATTTGAGACTCGTCAGTTAGACATGCCTACATTCTAGAGTTGACGTTTAGTCTAGGACTCGAATTTACTACTTTCTGCTTGAAACACCATCACTGATTTCCATTACTAATGTCAATTGAAGTTAGACTATCATTTATTTATTTATTTAAACACATAAATATTGGTACAAAGAGGCACCAGATATATATGCGCCACGCAAATCTCATTTGATTTGTGTGAGGGCTGTAATACTACCCAAGTGTCCAAACTGAAACAGGTGGTTTTCTTAGGCGCCCACACTCGGGGCCTTTGAACGAAATATCTGATTCACAAGGTAGTGGAGCATCGTGAGGAGATGCAGTACCATGGTAGCCGGTGACCAACGACTGATTCATATGCCATTTGTTCCCTCAGGATACTGCAGCCCATGTACACCATTGATTTGGAATCAGGGTTTTCAAGTCCCCTCAGTGGACTCTCCGTGTCCACCAACCCGGTTAAAGCGACGGATATTCGCTTTTCGTCCTCTCAATTTTGTAAACAACAGTAATGTTACCAGAAGGCAGTGAGTAGGACTTACCTGACAGAAGCTATATACCCATGGCCGTGTGAGAGTATTTCGAGAGGGAGAGCGGACTCTCCACAGTCTCAGCCGTACCAGGGCTTTTGGGGGCTTATAATATTCACAAAAACTCCTTTCTTTTATAATTGATATTTTCTATTTCATAGTATGATGCGGTCTGGTTTACTTGTATATAAACTACGTATATTTGAAATATATCATTCATATAGTAGAAGCTGAGATTGTGTTCTAAACTTAAACAGCCAAGGCTAGGTAAGAAGAACCAATAAATAGAGTTGACTCCGGGTTGCTCGTAGTAGTTAACGCGTCATTGGTTTGGCACAATGCCAAAATCATATAAGCCGGTGTTACAATTGTTGATTTAGACAATATGATAATCAACAGGGCATGAGAACATAACAGAAAGAAAATGAAATCATTTTAACAAACCATTTTATTCAATTGTTTCTTTTCAATTAATTCACGTTTCCAATGCGGTACAAGACCCCATTTCTTTAATTCATCCTGTAAATTGAAATAATTAAAAATGGTAAAACATTCATTTAAGGCTGAATCATTTGAGAAGGGGTTTTTGTGAAGATTTTAGTAATTTTATAGTTGAAATCATGAGTCAATTGAAGCTAGACCACTATGAAAAACCTGGAAGCACTGGACTGCCGTCCTGGGTTCGAATCTTGCGAGGCGGGATATTGGATGCGCACTGCTGAGGAGTACCACAATAGGACGAAACGACCGTTCAGTGCTTTCAAGTTTTTCATGGTGGTCTAGCTTCAGTTGAATCATTTATTACTTCTCTTCAATCAAATTAAGTAATGCATCGGCAAAGAGTAAACATAATCGTATGAAGTGGATAATGCGTATAGCATTTGAAGAGATTCACTAGGTTCGAGTTCTTGTGTGAACATTAATACTGTGGTGTAGGTATATCCAGTTGATAAGTCTTAAAAAGGACAAAAAGCACCTTCTGGGTTTTACTTCTAGCGACTATGAAACTTTGTGACGTAATGACTATATTAGGTCAGTCTGCTTAGAGATGCACATATGCAACAAAAGAGATTAATCAAATGAAGTCCTGAACATACACAGAGAGAAGATTCAAACTCTTACAAGTGAATTGTAACCGTATTAAGTTATTGAGGAAAAAAAGAGTTTTGGTTCGAACTATTTCATTTTTCTATATACACCAACTCGTAAACTTTCCTCATACCAATGATGTTCATTGTATCGAAAGGTGTAAACTTCATTTTAGGCGTCTAAGCATTACCCATAATCTCTTTTGGTAGGTGTTAGTTAACCACGCGTAAAAAAAATCTAAATCATCTCAGTCTACCAACGTTTATAGCCTCGTTAATTAATTTACTACCTGCCTAGTATTAATCGATACCTAATCTAATTCAATCTGTAGTCACGTCATACAAGAGAATCCCTATGAAGACATCTATCAGCAAGTAATTGAGACTTTTATATACCTTCTACCCTCAAAAGTCTACGTCTTAAAGTCAAATAATGTAGAGCAGTATATTCGCTTTTTGAAGAACGAATGTCTATCCCATGTGAGTTTTAACTTGAATAAAGATACTACACATGCAATCAGTGCTATTTGATAAAAAAAAATTACTGGTTATCACTATAAATGAATACATCTTTTGGATTACTCCAAGCTATTCAACTGGACTATAACACTTCAAACTAATGTTATCATTACCTTGTTTACTTTATATTTATTTATTTGAACACATAAACACTAGTACAAGGAGGCACCGAATAGATATGCGCCACATAAATCATTCGATTTGTGTAAGAGTTGAAATACTACCCGGGTACCCAAACCGAAGCTGGAGATTTACTGTGAGGGCCATTCCCCAAGTCATTGACCTAGAAGTCTAATCTAAAAGGCAGTGCAGCAACGTAAGGAGATGTAATCCCATAGTAGCCGGTGATCAACGATTGATTCATACGCCATTTGTTCCCTCAGGATCCTGGAGCCAGCTCATGTGCACCGTCAGGGTTTTCCAACTGCACTAGGTGAACTTTCCGTGTCCACTAACCCAGTTAAAGCGACGGACATACGCTTTCCATCCACTCAACTTACCCAATTCTTTTATTTGAGTATAAGCATGAAAGCTTTTTCAACAATATACACATACACATTATATTTACATATTAATACTTACTGCATAAACATTAGCTGCATCACGATTTTTTCTCTCTAATCGATGAACTTTCCAATCAGGTAAACCAGATGAAATAGGATGATAACCTGGGATTTGATTAGCATCAACTATATTCAATATATATATATAGATGGTATATGTGAAGAATAGAGAAAAGAATAAGAGAAAGTAAAATTCAATAGATGACTTATAATGATTTATTCAATCAGTTGAAGAATTATTCAAAGTTAGAGTTTGAATCCCATTTGGAAGAATGAGTTTCATTGAGATTTTAGGTATACTTTGTTGATAAGTATAGGACATACATTGAAAAAGTCACCCAATTGCGTCACAAGACAAGCCCTAACATGGAATCCTCAAGGACAAAGGAGAAGAGAAAGATCAAAGAACACATTACGCTGAAAAATGGAAACAGATATGAGAAGAATGAACAACAATTGGATAGAACTAGAAAGGAAGGCTGAGGACAGAGTGGGTTGGAGAATGCTAGCCGGCGGCCTATGATCCATTGGGAGTAACAGGCGTAAGTAAGTTGTTGATAAGTGTCAACCTACACGAAAGTAAGGATTTCTGCAGTCTTATAATTATTATTAATAAGGTTACTTTAGTCAATATTTTTATTATAAAATTGATTTTAAATAAGTAAATAATATTTTAAATCAGAAGGTATATGTTGTTATATCCTAGTGAAGACATAAGTACAGGTAACATCCGGGACCTATTAATGGACTATTATTCCATATATATTCTTATTGTTTAACTAGACTGTGTATAATCAGATTCATTTAATTATAAGTGTCGTTTTGATCTATGAATTCAGTCAGTCAGTCAGCTACAACGTAGGATCAGGCACATTTATGCATCAATCCAAGTTGCCATATCTCGTTAGCACAACAAGATAAACACCGAATTCATAGAAGTAGTTAATTTAGTGGTGGTAATATATAAAAGATAGGTTGTATATAGGGATATAGTATAGGAAGGAAAAAAGATATGAAGCAATTTTAATCTCAAGGTTTAAGGGAAGATAAAGAGTGTATACACCTACTCCATTGTGATCGATTCTGAGCCACGTCACACAGAGTCTCCAACTATTGATTACGGTAGTCACGCGGACCTCAACCAATTAGTCTGCATCTACCAACATGGCCTAGACTAGAAGTTCGTGACTTCAAGCACTGATGCCACGTTTTGGTTTGGCCGCCCTTAACTTTCTTCCAACCATCCCCTACCCTATTCAGCATAACGTATCGTGGTAATCGGTGTTCAGACATACGTAACACGTAGACCAACCATCTCATTCGATGAAGATTCATGACCTCATCAACTGATTTACCATCATTCCCTAATACCCTCTGTCTAACCTCACTATTACTTACCCGGTGATCCCAGCAGATGCGAGCAATATTTCTAAGACATCTGTGGACAAATACTAGTAACTTACGAGTATCTTCTACTCTTAATGGCCATGTTTCACAGCCGAAAAGTAGAACAGAGCGAACTGCTGCGCAGTGTACTCGTCCCTTAATTCATAGACGGATATCTCGTCTTCGCCATGAGTGACGTAAGTTGGCAAAAGCCAAACGAGGTTTTTGAATCCATGCTGAGATTTCGTCAGACACCAAGCCATTAGGACTGATCAGACTTCCAAGATAAGTGAAGTTGTCGACGCGTTCGACTACTTCGCTCCCTATCCTTAGTTCAGGTGTTGAACTATGAATTATTATTATACGAATTACTAATCCTAAATTATATTCAGTTTGTTGATTATTGTCTCCTACGTTCACAGTCACATTTGGCTTGATCTTGTACAAATATTATTTTCTATTTTATGGTGTGATGCGGCCTGTCTGTCCGGTATATAAACCGAGTATACTTGAAATTAATGATTCGCATATCAGAAGCTGTAATTGGTGTTCTGGACTCAATTGCAAGGGCTAGGCGGACAAGGGACTAATAAGGACGCTAGACTACTCATACCGGTCGAACGTCATTGATTTGTCACAGTGTTAAGATTGGAAAAGCCGTATATCGATTGGTGAATAAATCACGTGATAAAAGCCGGACATAAAATCAGTAACAAATTTGCAACGACCTTTTATAAAGTTCATAACACATATGTTCTACATGATTTTAACAGAGATTGCAAGTAAGATTCCTATCTCTCTAAGGAACTAGTCACACAGACATAATACAATGCATTAATTCAGTAAAGGTTTACATTGCCATACAGCTTTCAGTTACACTTGTGTCATATAAAAGTAAGGGATACTATCCAATTACTCAAATTAGAATAATGGAGAAAGCAAAGCTGGATAGTGGATAGCAGTAGAATCCAGGACATACGTTTCATCAATTACAGATCTAAACAGCAATGGGAAGATCCAAACAAACAATACTAAGTGAATTTAAACTTCATCCCATTGCACAAACAAGTGGCTATCAGAACTCAGTAGCTAAGTAGATAACGGGATGGCATTTGAAGCGAAATATACTGGGTTCGAGTCTCAGAGTGAACATCAACAAGTCTGAGATGCAGGTACATCCAGCCGACAAGTCTCAAATAGGACGAAACGCGTGTCCTGAATTCTACTGCTAGCGACTATCCACCTTTGCTTATAATGCTTGTGAATCAAGGCTATATCGAGGCAATACGCACAGTATGCACATATGCCGATAAGAGAGTGATCAATTGCAGTCCAAAACATCAATAGGAAGATTCAAACAAATAAAACTAGGTGAATTGAAATAGAGAAAGATTTGAACTTTCGCAACTCCAATGTTTCAAAAGTAATGGCGTTGATCACTAAGGCCACCTCTCGATATTAAGTCTTTATGATAGTCCAGATCATATCTGTTTGATATGATGGTCGGTTTTTCCAATCGTGATAATTCAATTGAGTTTTATAGGCTGGAGAACTCTTTCTCTATAGTAAAAGGTAATGAAGCCAATTCATGGTTCAAAGTTACACAATTAATTGCACTAGGATTTTAAAAAAAGTAAAGCATAGCCAGTATTTGAAAGAAAAGTGAAAGTTAGAAAGGTAAACCCTGAAAATATCACACCTCACCTTGTACCACGGATTTTCATCACAACTCATAAGGTGTGTAAAGTATGTAACTAACATAACAAGAACTACATAAAAAGAAAGACGGTAAGTAATCGAAATCAATTAACTACAGTTTAAGTTCTCAACTCATACTCCCATGTTGCTTAATCTAGATTATTTATTAGATATCTGACGTAGATGTTGTGAGCGACCGGGAAGCAATATTTATCCATACATACAGAACAGTATTTGAGATAACTATGACTTCATAAAAAATATTTGAATCTTATTGTTATAAGGGGTTATTACTGATTGCCCATTTAACGTATTTTGAAAAATGAAAATAATAAAATATTCTTTTTTTTCAAAAGTTTCTTTATCAGAAGGGAGTTTTCTGGAGATTTAAGTAATTTTATAGAATTGAGATCATGAGTCAATGGAGGCTAGACCATCAAAGAAAACCTGGAAGCACTGGATGGCCGTTTAGTTTTATTATGGGACTCCTCAGCAGTGCGCATCCACGATCCAGCCTGGCGAAATTCGAACCCAAGGCCTATCAGTCTCACGTGCGAGCACTTAACCTCTAGACCAATAAGCCGGCATCCAACGATGTTAATGTCTAAATTCAATCAATCCACGAAACTGAGCAACCACTCACCAATGTCTTCAGTGAGTTGATATCGGGTAAATGCTCTGGCGCAAGACTGATAGGTCCTGGGTTCGAATATTGCGAAGCGGGATCGTGGATGCGCACTGCTGAGGAGTTCCATAATAGAAGGAAACGGTCATCCAGTGTTTCCAGGTTTTCCATAGTGGTCTAGCTTCAACTGACTCATGATCTCAACTATATAAAAGTTCCTTTCACATAAAACTAACCAATATTGAATTGATTAAATATAGCCAGTGTTTGTGGATCCAAATTCATGGATTGTACATGAATGAAAGATGAATCTGAAATTGAGAAAAATACGATATTAGGGAGATGGTTGATAGGTATAGAAATAACTTGATTTTTAAAAGAGACAATGTAAGGGAACATTATAGTTTACGTTATAAAACTGATCTGAATGAGATAACCATTGAAAACCAGTAGGAACTAGACAGTCATTCTGTTTTAGTATGGACTTCACCAACTCCGTCACAACGCAAGCCTTCACATGGAATCTTTAAGGCCAAATGAGAAGAGGAATAACAAAAAAACACTATGCCGAGAAATGGAAACAGATATGAGAAGAATGAACAACAAACTGATAGAACTAGAAAGGAGGGACCTGGACAGAATGGGTTGGAGAATGCTAGTCGGCAGCCTATGCTTCATTGGGGGTAACAGGCGTAAGTAAGTCACCAAGAGTACACAATCACGAACCTATCAAAGATTGTGTCGCGGACATTCAGTTCTCATGCAGAGAACTAAACCTACACATCACTCAGCACTTCATGGTGTACATGTCCAACACCGATCAATTAGTCAGATCTTGCAACTACATTGCAAAATATTCCTAGGCATCTGTCGTACAGTCAATATGATTGAAGCCAGATCTACAAAGACTAATTAATTTGTGAATCCGATTGACGTTAGCTTAATGGATGCAAATGAAAGATTAAACAGAACACTGTAAATAAAGTGATCCGATGCATAACATACAGAGAATCTGTAAATAATCATAAGATTTCAATAGTGTCTAAAGTATTGAAAATATGTACCTAATAAGGCGATACAACGATAATAGACAGAAAGAATAAGAAGAAATTCAACTAAAATGTGAACATCATCAGACTTAAAACTCATTTTTGTAGAAACATCCATGTACACAAACACAAGTTGTTTATCAGAAGGGGGTTTTTGTGGAGATTTAGTATTTACATAGTTGAAAGCGTGAGTCAATTGAAGCTAGACCACCAATGAAAACCTGAAAGCACTGGACGGCCGTTTCGTCCTGCTGTGAGACTCCTCAGCAGTGCGCATCCACAACCTCGCCTCGCAAGATTCGAACCCAGAACCTACCAGTCTCGCGCCGGAGCACTTGACCGATAGACCATTGGGCCGGCATCCATGGAGTCCCACAATAGGACGAAACGGCCGTCCAATACTTCCGGGTTTTCCTGGTGGTCTAGCTTCAATTGACCCACGCTTTCAACAAGTCGTTTAGTTTGTTTACTATGATGACAACATTCAACTAAACTGTGGTACTACGTTTTGTGTTAGCTAGCAGTATTGGGTAGGAGATACTTGTGATCTTGATGGGACTGATCTTTCTAGTGAAGTTCAAATACATGTTAACCAGATTCACAGTATGAAACCTTACCACTGTGTTATTCGGGGAGCTATTGACTTCTTGAAAGAGTGATACAATTACATTGATTGATCACAATATAAATTTTTATGCTTGATTTAATCGTATTATTTTTTCAACTAGATACAAGCTTAAATAGTAATGAAAATTTATAGCTTAGATGGATTAGTCGGTTGAAGTCCCAAATAGAAAGAAACGCTCATCCTGTATTCCACAGCTGATCATAATAGATGCTTACGAGACTCAGCTTTCAATCAGTGGCGAAAGTTATCAAAATACAGTATATAAAGTATACACTTGGCAAATGAGTTCATTATAAAAATTTTATTTATTTAAACACATAAATATTGGTACAAGGAAGCACCAGATATATATGCGCCGCACAAACCTCATTTCATTTGTGTGAGGGCTGTGGTACTGCATAAGTGCCCAAACCGAAGCAGGTGGTTTTCTTAGAGGGTCACTCCCGGAGCCTTTGACCTAAAGGACTAATTCATAAGGGAGTAAAACAATGTCAGAAAACGCAGTCCTATGGTAGCCAGTGACCAATGATTGATTCATACGCCATTTGTTCCCTCGGGATACTGGAGCCGATGTGCACCATTGGTTTGGAATCAGGGTTTTCCAACTCCCATAGGTGGACTTTCCGTGTCCACCAACCCGGTTAGAGCGCCGGATATTTGCTTTTCGTGTTGTCAATTTCGCAAACAACAGTAATGCCATGAGAAGGCAGTGAGTAGGACTTTCATGGCGGAGTCTATATACGCGTGGCCATGTGAGAGCATTTCGAGAGGGAGAGCGAACTCTCCCGACTCTCGGCCATACCAGGGCATTTGGGGGGGCACAAATCGCCTGCTTTTGTCTTCAATGATTACAAATGGATAATAAAAAGTTTTCACTGAAATCGTCCCGTTCAGGAAGGGGGGGGGAAGGACAAAATTCTATCAAAAGTAGTATATTTCTTTTTTTCTTCTTTACTATCAACAAGAAGATAGGTGACGAGTAATAAAAAATTAATCATAATCATAGTGAAAATTGACTTACTCGATGAAGAATCAGAAGATGAACGTGGTTGTAACAAAGTACTACTATGATGATGAACATTTGAATTCAATGGTTGATGATGTTGTGATTGTTGATTGGGAACATGATGATTTATGGAATTGTTTACATCATTAATATTAGTACAATGTGAAGAATTAATACGATTTTGTAGTTTTGATAATCCATTAGGTGTATTCCCTATTATGAAAAAAAACAAGTGTTATATCCCGTGGAGAATTATGAATGGTATTTTTTGAGGACTATTTATGGACCAATATATGTATAGCTCCTTCGGGGGCTACTGCCGGTCCCAAGCCTGTATAAAGGAGGAGAGTTGGGCATGGAGTTAGCGACCCCATCCCATAGAAAACCAACTAGCTAAAAAAATGCTAACCAAAGTTCGGCGGCCTATGCTCGATTGGGAGTAACAGGCGTAAGTAAGTAAGTAAGTGTAATGATTCTGTTATATCCCGTGGAGAATTATGAATGGTAACTTTGAGGACTATTTATGGATCAATGTGATATGTATATTTCCTATTGTCTAATTGTTAAGTAACTTAAATATTCATATTCGTGTCCCTCTTATTATAAGCTTTATCTTTACTCATAGACTATTACTGTACGATTCACCATTATTGAGTTATCCCCAGTGCATTAATTACTGTTGCCCCTCCCTATCCACAGCCACATTTGGGTAAATCTTGTACAAATGTTATTTTCTATTTTATGGTACGATGTGGTCAGTTTGTTTGGTATATAAACACAATATGTTTGAGAATAATGATTCACATTGCAGAGGCTATTATTGGTGTTTTGAACTTAACTGGCTGGGCTAGGCAGAAAGCAGGACTGATACACATTCTAGATTGCTCGTACGGTTTTCATGTGTCAGTGTTCCAATCGATAATTCACTCCTCTCTGATTGGCGGGGATCATCACGTCATATATCAAACAAAGCACACACACTCACACCTTATAACAAAAAGCAATCATTTCTAATTGTATAAACAGATTAGTAAAATCTAATCTACTTTCTCCTAAACATGGTTTACACACTTATTCAAACCAATGATAATGAACCCCAAAATTTGTTGGCTAGGAAGTTGTCATCACATGAATTCCGCCTGAAGCCCTTCTAGGGTTCCTTTTAGTCCTAAACTGAAGTAAAAGAAGAGGGTTGATATGTGGCTACCAACCTCATCACGTAGATAAGAACTTGTTAAAAAAAGGCCAACCAGAAAAAAATCACATTAAACTACTGATTTCATGATTCAAACTGTACAATTAAAAGTTACTTGCTGACTGTATTGTGTTTCGTTTTGCCTACCAGAGAATAAAGCATCAGAAACTGCGTTCTAAACAAATAGTCATTAAATTCACTTAGCATTGTTTGTTTGAATCTTCCCATTGATGTTTTAGGATTGCGACTGGTCAGTCTCTAATTGGCATATGAGCATACTGTGCGGATAACGCGATGGCGTTTGAAGCAAAAGGTACTGGGTTCGAGTCCAAGAGTAAACATCAACAAGTCTGAGATGCAGGTACATCTAGCTGACGAGTCCCAAATAGGACGAAACGCGCGTCCTGGACTCCATTGCTAGCCACTATCCATCTTTGTTTAAATAGTCATGAAGTTTTATTTTTAGACTAGAAGTTAATACAACTGATGTTCCGTCATACATTTCGATCAAAACTGGTCCCCGAAAGAATAACCAATAAGAAAATCTGATTGATTCTTACAAACATATCAGTATATTATACACTATTCAGTCTTTTTGATAAGAACAAACCTGAAAAATTTAATTCTACCCACTGTAATTATGGCTTAGTGTAGTGAACAAGAACACAAGTAAGGACAATCGAATATATTTGAACACATAAATCATAGAACATGTAGTAAAATCTGAGAACCGTACAGTAAACACTACATTTGCTAAATATCAATCAATTGTCTTGGACATCATCATTCTTTAATTTCCATACAGTCTGTCAGCTAAAACGTAGGACCAGGCACATTTATGCATCGGTCCAAGTTCCCATACCTCATTAGCACAACAAGATCAACACCGGATTCATAGGAGTAATTAATTTAGTGGTGTGAATATATAAAAGAAAGGTTGTATATAAAGATATAGTATAGGAAGAAATAACGTTATGAAAGAATTTTAATCTCAAGGTTTAAGGGAAGATAAAAAGTCTATACACCTACTCCATTGTGATCGATTCTGAGCCGTGTCACACAGAGTCTCCAATCATTGGTTACGATAGTCATGCGGACCCCAACCAAGTATTCTGCATCCACCAACATGGCTCAGACTAGAAGTTCGTGACTTCAAGCTCCGATGCCACGTTTTGGTTTGGCCGGCCCTAACTTTCTTCCAATCATCCCCTACACTAGTCAGCATAGCGCGTCGTGGTAATCGGTGTTCAGACATACGTAACACGTGGCCTAACTATCTCAGTCGATGAAAATTCATGACCTCATCAACTGATTTACCATCATTCCCTAATACCCTCTGTCTAACCTCACTATTACTTATCCGGTGATCCCAGCAGATGCGAGCAATATTTCTAAGGCATCTGTAGTGAAATACTATTAACTTTCAAGTATCTTCTACTCTTAATGACCACGTTTCGCAGCCGTAAAGTAGAACAGAACGAACTGCTGTGCAATATACTCGTCCCTTAATTCATAGACGGATATCTCGTCTTCGCCATAGGTTCATATTTTCTGCTCTTCGATCATTTTAACCTTATACCACTAAATATTTCACTTCCTATTGATGATACATACTACTTATATCTATCGACATTAGTAGTACACACTATACTAGTAACTGATTCCTTCAAACCTACATAAATGACAAATTATTCATAAACTCTTCTTGGGAAAAAAAATTCAATCTTGATAAGTATCTATGTTTTTATTTGAAAAAAAAAACTATTTCTCATTTGAAATTCAATTGAAACATTGAACATACACACACACACACCTTCTATAATAAACAAATGGAATTTTGAAGATAAAGCTCTTAATTAAAAGATTTTAAAGCTGATTTAGGATAATGATTTGTAAAATTTAAATGTTAAAAGAAAATCAGAAAGGGTTTCGTGGAGATTTAGTATTTTCATAGTTGAAAGCTTGAGTCCATTGAAGCTAGACCACTATGGAAAACACAATAGGACGAATCTCATGAGGCGAGGTCGTGGATGCTCACTGGTAAAGAGTTCCACAACAGGACGAAACGGCCGTCCAGTGCCTCCAAGTTTTCCTTGATGGTCTAGCTTCAATTGACTCATGCTTTCAACTATGAAAATACTAAATCTCCACAAAACCCCTTCTGATATACGTTGAATCAAAAACTTCACTGTAATGATGACTTAATCTAATTAGTAAAATTTTAAAATAAATGAAATGATTGAATTAGTCCTTAAATCCTAAACGAATAGACAAGAGGATTGTTTTAGTAAAATGAATTGTAGAAATTGTAGAGTGTGGTGATTTCACATTGTGGATTGATTTTAGTTAGACAGTCATCGGAAAACAAGAAACAATGAATAACTGTTTTATCTAAATATGAGACTTTTCGAAAGTTCTTATCCACAACTCCTAAGAGGATCGCATCCATGTTCTTCAAGTCTAGAGGCAAGTGCTTAACCACTGGACCACTGAGTCAACAAACAATAGTATTTTCATCAGAATTATTTCACTTCGCAATCTGATTAGTAAACACAAAATCATTTTAATTGAGATCATGAACCGATCAATGTTAAACCATCATTCAAAACCTGGAAGAACTGAAAGGTCGTTTTGTTTCAGTATGAGAACCCTCAAACAGTGCCTATTCACGACTCCACTCGCCGTGATCTGACTGAGGATCTTCGACCTCGTGCACGAACGCTTAAAATCTAGATCACTAAACCGGCATCGAACGATATCGATGTCCAGCTTCAACTAATCTAAGATGTCACGCGACCATTTTCTATTGTGTTCGATGAGTAACTGCCTTACAACCGACACGGTTGAACTTCACTGGTCACAGTTTCTCACTAGAATTCCGAGAATCATTTAGCAAGAGAATTGAATGTTTGAAAACTAAAACTATTGTTTAAATATCAAATACTCAGTTGAAATCATACCATCATTAAGAATAGCTCATTAATTAACAAATGAATAAAGAAAGACAAAAATTAAATATCGTAAAACAACGAATAAATATTTACTACATTCTATTACGAAATTTACCCATTTTGGTTTCTACTGTAAGTCTCCTTACTATCACTTAAATTACTTCTCAGGGCTTAGTATATGAATTTCTGCTAAGCGCGAAAGACAGACACTTTGAAAGGGCTATTAATTACTTACTTACTTCTGTTACTCCCAATGGAGCATTGGGAGGGAGGAATATTATGGTTAAGTAAATTATTTCATATAGCTCAAATCAATGTTCGCATATACTTACCTGTCTAAAACAGTGCATTTACCTATATTTATCCATGGGCTGTAAGAACTATTACTCGGTTTTAGGTAATATAGATTGCTACCCAGTAGTTGCTCATGCTTTTCACATAGGTCACATAGTCAAGAGTTAAGACCTTAAAACATTAACAGAATCGACCACACAGTATAAAGTGTGAATATGTGCATGAGTATTTGACACTTCCCAAAAATAAAAAGATAGATAACTAGTGGTATCCTTTTTAACTTGAGTAAATAACCAAAAAGTCCAAGAAAAATCTATTTCATGACGGTCACATACAATCTATCCGTAAGTAGAAAATTCATTTAATATTGTTTGTTTGAATCTTCCCAATGATATTTAGCACTGCAACTGATCAGTCTCTTATTGACCATATTTGAATAATGTGCGAATTGTCTTGATGTAGCCCTAATTCACAAGCATTATAAGCAAAGATGGATAGTGGCCAGAAGTGGGATCCAGAACGTGCGTTTCGTCTAATTTGGGACTCGTCAACTGGATGTATCGAGGCAATACGCACAGTATGCACATATGCCAATTAAAGACTGACTAGTTGCAGTTCTAACACATCGATGGAAAGATTCAAACAAACAATACTAAATGAATTTAAACTTCACTCCCATTGCACAAGCAAGTGGCTATCAGGACTTAGTAGCTGAATGGATAACGTGATGGTGTTTGAAGCGAAAGGTACTAGTTTTGAGTCCCAGAGTGAACATCAAATCTGAGATGCAGGAATAACTAGCTGACGAGTACCAAATAGGATGAAACGCGTGTCAAACTGGATTCCACTGCTAGCCACTATCCATCTTTGCTTACTATACGTAAGTAGGTTTTCTTTCTAATGAAATAGCTCCAGATATCTACTTCAACCTTACCATTGATATTTTCAAACATTTTTCAAAATCTATTATCATTCATATTAAAAGTAGAATTATAACATTCAATGGAGAAAATAAAAACATCCATTTACAACGGAATAAATAAACTTACCAAAAGAATTGAATGTTGTACATGAAGAATTTGTTTGATAACATTCCTCTGGGAGAGTTGTCGATGTAATAGACTGATATGATGAGTTACTTGATAAAGAACTAAAATATTGATTGGATAAAAACAAATAAATAAATAGAGATATGTAATTAGATAGATCAGAATATGTATCAAAGATTTATAAATGATTGAACATTGAAAATTAATTTACCCAGCTATAAATACTAAAGAGCCCCCAAATGCACGGGTACGGCCAAGAGTGGGGAGAGTTCGCTCTCCCTCTCGAAATGCTCTCAAATGGCTACGTGTATATATCGTCTGCCACAAAAGTCCTACTCATCGCCTTCTAGCGGTGGGGGCGTTGTTTACGAGATTGACAGAACGAAAAGCGAGTATCCGGCCCTCTAACTGGATTGGTGGATATGTAAGGTCCACCTAGGTGAATTGAAAAACTCTGATTCTAAACCAATAGTATACATAGGTTACAGGATCCTGAAGTAACAAATAGCGTATCAACATATTGTTGGTGACTGGCTACCATGGGACTGCATCTCCTGACGTTGTTTCAATGCCTTATGAATCTGATCTTTAGATCGAAGGTTCTGGATGTGGATCTCGAAGAAGACCACCTGCTTCAGTTTGGGCACCCAAGCAGTATCCCAGCCCATACACAAATCAAGTGACTTGTGTGGCGCATATTTATTCGATGCCACTTTGTACTAATACTTCGATGTTCAAATAAATAGATAAAAGATAAACAAATGAGGAGATAAAACAAGACGTAATAAGTTTAACAACATTAATGTCACATATAAACACTAATATGAATGCATATAATGTTCGTCAGTGGAACTCATTTGTCAAATACAAGCCTAAATACTCAAGTCTGAGCTATATTATTTCTGTTAGAGGAGCTAGTGATATTATTTAGCTGACTAATTCGAAGTAAATGAGATGGAATTCATATATGTGACCTACCTACATATATTGAAACGTAAATGATTTAGTTGTTAAGTCACAGTATGTTTGCTTTTTTGAGTTAAATCTCATTTTTAAGAAAAAAACATTCTGGAGTATCATTTTAATCATTACAAATACATGATAAACAGTAGTACAATAAGATAAGACTTAGAAAAAGACCAGACATAATCTCATTACAATATAAAAACAATTCATCTGCATTGAAATATCCACAAGTAACGAAAAAAAAATTTTGATGTAGGTTTGTTCTCTGAGCTGGATGGTTTGGTCGTGAAGCTTTCATCGTCTTTCTGAACGACATTATCAGCATAAACGTCGGGTAGAAGTGAAGTGTTTGAATTTTATCCACACGTGATTCACAGCCTGTCCTGTACACCTCGATGTTGTTTGATTCTTATTGACCTTAAATCTGTCATTGTTTATTTCATTGTTTTGATTGTATCTCCACAAGTTTGTGCTGATGATGTCGTTCAGAAGGACGATGAAAGCTCTATGACCAAACCATCTAGCTCAGAGAACAAACCTACATAAAAATCACCCCCACCTGAGCTACAAATCTTTTCCACCACCCAAGAAAAAAATTCTCGGCAAACTTCCGCCATTGTTCTAAAATTAATATTTAAATCATATAACCCGAATCTATTGGATAGAAAATTAACTGATAAACGCATGATACTTCTAGATCCATAGCTATGAAAGTCAATTACTGTTAATCACGTTACTACTTTACATCAAAAGTTGAATAGTGTTTAGTTTATATTTAAGACAGATTTGGTTGGCAAAGATTAACTCTTAATATGATGTAACCCATTTACCAAATACAGATTAGCATATTCAACTTTGAGCTACGATTCATGTATGAGGACTAGTAATACTACACGACTGGACAAACCGAAGTAAGTGAACTTGTACTCGAACTGGTGAAGTAAGGTTGAAAGAAAAACACCTTAACCACTAACCCATAGCGCAATAAAAAATAGAGAGCACTAAAAAACTTTTTCGTTCTATTATGAAACTGTGTAGTGTTGAGTATCTACAACCCAGAATCTTTAGTTCTGTCACTAAACGCTAAACCGTTAGAATTACTGGTTTATTGATATAATGATGAGTAGTGAAGTTCCAATTTCAAACCATGTTTAGCTAAATATGTAGCTAGCAATCTGATAGCACTAATCTAGACGATAAACTTAAACAAACGATTACAATTAGCCATAACCTTTTACAAGTAGTGCATTGTAGTATTCAATGACTTTGACTGATCACTATATTGTACTTTGATAAATCATATTCGATTATATCTCAAATTCGATATCAAAAACTTATGCACTGTTGAGCTAACGTCGATCCACAAATTAAAGCCCAAACTCTGCGTGAAAAAACGACACGCCCAACCTGTGATCATTCCTTAGCTTTAATTCCCTTCTGTAATATATTTCGGTCCTGTTTGTTCTTTAAATTAGTGTTTTTTAACTTTAAACCGTAATCAGTTTTTCACTTAGTATTATTTGTTTAAATCTTACCAATGACGTTTAGGACTGCAACTGATCAGTCTCTTATTGGCATATGTGAATACTGTGCGTATTGCCTCAATATAGCCTTCATTCACAAGCATTATAAGCAATGGGAAGATTCAAACAAACAATACTAAGTGAATTTAAACTTCACCTCATTGCACAAGCAAGTGGTTATCAGGACTCAATAGCTGAGTGGATAACGTGATGACGTTTGAAGCTAACGATACTGGGTTCGAGTCCCAGAGTAAGCATCAACTCTGAGATGCAGGTACATCCAGCTGACGAATTCCGAATAGGACGAAATGCGCGTCAAACTGGATTCCACTGCTAGCCACTATCCATCTTTGCTTGTAATCGGTCATTGTTATGACCTTTTTCTTTCGTTTTTCTTCATATCTGTAATGTGGAAAATTATTTTTCATGATTCTGACCTATAAATTATTTTCATCTTTATATTCTTCTCTAACCCCCCTCCCCCTGATTATTACGTAACTTCATTTGATAAGCATGAATTTATAAAATAGAATATCATTTTTAAGATATGACTGAATAAAACATCTACTTTAGATAATATCTGAATTTCACAATTGACTGATCACTGGGTGGTGATCAATGTCATGCGTGTCAAGTCCTTCTTAGTGATGATCGAATGCCATCGATCAAGTTGCAATGTGGCTACTAGTCTACGTGTGAAGCTGAGTGATACGGGATCAAATCCGTCAGGGAGCACCAGTTCCCTCAAGATTACAGGTACACCTTGCTGACGAGTGCCAAGTAGCACGAAACCCGGGTCCAGGGTTTCCTGTTGACCACCTTCAATCACCATAATATCTGAATTTGCTTTACAAATAAAACCAGCATTTGTAATGCCTATCAATCTTACACTAACTTATTTATTAAGATCAGTTTTTTGAACTAATGATCAGGAGTTGCGTAAGTTGATTAAACTTACTACAAACGTACTACTGAAGTATAATATAAGTAGTAGAACAATAAGGATATTCACTTATCATAAGGAGTTTGGTGGAGATTTTAGTAATTTTATAGAGTTTCGTCCTGAGTCCTGCGTTCGAATCTCGCGAGGCGGGATCGTGGACACGCACTGCTGAGGAGTCCCATAATAGGACGAAATGGCCGTCTAGTGTTTCCAGGTTTCCCATAGTGGTCTAGCTTCAATTGACTCATGATTTCATTTATACATTCCTACATAAACATAAACAGAAAAGAGGAAAGTTAAATAACAAATTGCGTCAGGAATTGGAAGCATACATAAAAAGGATGAATAACAACTGGAAAGTATTGTCCAGGACATGATTGGATAGAGAATGCTGGTGGGTGGCTCTATGCTCCACAACATGACAAGATACAAGAATCATCATAGTTCTATTTTAAATGACCTTGATTATTTAAATCATTTACATAAAACTAACAATAATTAAAACAAATTAAACTTTCAGTAATTAAACTTTCTGTTGTAAACTTTCTGTTGCTAAGTTTTTTTTGGCATGATACAATATTGGGCGTACTCAAATCTTAAGAATACAGTAAACAAATTACATAAAGGTTGGACAAATTAAAAATGATAGAAATGTTTAATGTATTGTAAACAATGATTATACTTAAACTAATCCAATGATGGACAACTATGCTAGAGTGATACTGATAAGAGAATTTCACACTTTATAGTATTATTATTTATTTATTTAAACACATAAACGTTGGTACAATGAGGCATCGAATACATATGCGTCATCCGGTTTGTGTTTGGGCTGGGATACTACGCGGATGATACCCAAACCCAAGAAGGTGGTTTTCTTAGAAAGCCACACTCGGAGCTCGCAACTTAAAGGTTGGATTCATAATACAGTGAAACAACGTCAGGAGATGCAGTACCATGATAGCCGGTCACCAACAATATGTTGATACGTTTTCCACCTAAAGATCTAATCCATAAGGCAGTGGAAAAACCTAAGAAGATGCAGTAATATGGTAGCCGGTCACCAACAATTGTTTCACTAGCCATTTGTTCCCTCAGGGTCCTGGAGCTCCTGTACAACAATGGTTTGGAATCAGGGTTTTCCAATTCACCTAGGTGGATCCTACGTATCCACTAACCTGAATAAGGCGCTGAACTTTCGCTTTATGCCTTCTCAGTTTCGTAAACAACACCCGCGCCACAAGAAGACGATAAGAGTAGGATTTCCCTGGTAGTGGCTGTACGAACAAGAATTATTGTTCAAAAAAATTCATCTCATCAATCAGCCAGTGAATACCTATAAGTAAAGCCTAGTACAAATGTGTATTGATCCATGTTATCACACTATATCAACACAACGAAATGAAATTGACAAGATGAAAACCAAAAGAGTCAAATTAATGACAGAATCAATGACAGTGGTAAATACTAAATATTGATGCATGTAGAATAGAAAGAATGGAAATTATGAAACATTATTTACATCTAAGATTTAAGGAAGGATAAGCAAGAAATGGATTTGTGCCGTTGCAATCAACTATAAACTAAGTCACCATCAAACATTTCCAGCTATTGATCTCAATTATTAAGAAAATTCACAACCAAGCTATTCTCTGCTCTTTAGCAGACTTCGATCATCGTGAATTAGTGTGACAGGAATAGATTGGCTAACTTAGTTAGATTGATTAAATCATACTTCAAGACATATGAAGTTGAAGAAGCAAACTCTCATATACCCAGTTCTGTAGGATGCTAAGAAACGTTCAGTATACACTAAAGGCAACTAATTTACACAAACAAAATGTTCACTGAAACTCTACCATAACTAATGTCTCAGTCTAAGGTACATAACTCTAAACCAGAGAACATACAGTCCAGAACAAAACTATGTGTGTACTAGCGGTTACACAAGTGAATCGGATCTCTTCAACAGTGTATAATGTTTTTGTAATAAGATCAGTGACTGAAGGTAGTGCAGATAAATATGGTACATAACTTTCACTGAACTAAACACGTAGCAATAACACTATACACACACTATCCCATAGCACTCAGTAGATCAAGTAACCCATAACATGCATGGTAGCTGATAACAAAAATAAAATTGAAACAAAATAAAGTCTGTTAAATGTCTGGACCAAGTACTAGTTTGTGTACTCAGTTAATTTAACGGAAGAAGTGGGACGAGTGAGATTCAGAATCTAAGATTTAATAGGCAAAGATGGATAGTGGCTAGCAATGGAATCCAGTTTGACGCACGTTTCGTCCTATTTGGGACGATGTACTGGCATCTCAGACTTGTTGATGTTCACTCTGGGACTCGAACCCAATACCTTTCGCTTCAAACTCCATCGCGTTATCCACTCAGCTACTGAGATTGACCAGTTGCAGTCCTAAGCAACAATAGGAAGATTCAAATAAACAATACTAATTGAATTCTAAGACTTAATAGTTTAAAAAAATATTAATTATTAGAAGGGGTTTTTGTGGAGATTTGGTATGTTTCATAGATGAAAGCATGAGTCAATCTCCACAAAAACCCCTTCTAATAATTAATATAATCATATGCTCACTAGTGACTTCGGGAAGTACATCCAGGAGCTCTAGTGAGAAGCAGTGACCAGTGGAGTGCAAACCACGTCTGTCGTGAGATAGAAACTCATTGATGACAATTGGTGAATGATTGCTCAACTTCGTGGATCAGTTGAAGTTAGACATTAACACCGTTGGATGCCAGCTCAGTGGTCTATCGATTAAGGGCTTCGGCTCGAGACTGGTAGATCTTGGGTTCGAATCTCGCTCGCGAGAGCGGGTTCGTGGATGCGCACTGCTGAGGAGTCCCATAATAGGACGAAACGGCCGTCCGGTGTTTCCAGGTTTTCCTCGGTGGTCTAGCTTCAATTGACTCATGCTTTCATCTATGAAAAAATAATAATTGATTCGAACATCAAATCACTGCTCCATTACTTCAAAATCAACCACGACTTCAATCTTATGTTAAACATTAGCTCATTAACTATATATATCATACCGATTTGTTGTGAAGTACTTTATCACTGTTACTATTATTATTATTGATGGACACCGAGGATTCACATAAGGGAGTTGGATCAAGGATCTTGGATTTTATATCGGACATGTCAAAGTACGCGGGGCTTGTGAACATGAAATATTCTACAAAGATCCATTACCTCATCAATCAAATGACCCTTTTTACATACTTCTATCCACTTAACTGTGGCATTACTCACTCAATGGTTCTACTATATATCATACCGATTTGTTGTGAAGTACTTTATCATTGTTATGATTATCATTATTATCATTATAGACCTAAAATGAAAAGACCAATGTGATTAACTCACCATTTATCATTTCCAAACTTTCCATTCACATATAATGGATCAATAAAGAATTTATGATGATTGGATACAATAGTAGGGGTAGTAGTAATGGTAACATTAGTAGAATTAGACGAATAGGAATAAGGTAAATTAGATGATGTATTATTGTTTATACAATAATTCCCTTTTGATAATTTCCCTGATGAACTATTCATTATCTGATAGGAATGATTCATATCGGATGACTGAAATAAAACAAAATTAGATTGAATAAATAGATAAGGGAAATGGTATTTTCAATGACATAAAATTTGATATCCATAAATCTATTATTGTAACATAATTGGAGAAGTGAATATCTGTCTCTTGTTAACCGGGATAGTGGATACAAAGGATTCACTTGAAGGAGTTGGAAAATGTTCATTCCAAACTAATGGTACATATGGGCTGGATCTAGGATTCTGGATTTTATATAGGACACGACAGAGTAGGCGAGGCTTGTAAACATAAAATGTTCAATAAAGACCTATTACTACCTCATCAATCAAATGATCCTTTTTACATACTTCTATACGCTTAACTGCGACATTACTCACTTAGTGGTTCTACCATATCAAAGTAAAACTATAAAGAAACTTATAATCAAATACTCGCAGCCTACTCATATCCTTTAACATCTTAAGATCATGTCTTATTTTATTCATATGCAAGTAAATGGATACCTTTGGCTCTTTACATTCATCATCATTAATAAGAATTTACTTGAATGAAATAACTTTATTTGGAATTAGGAATTTCATGTACAGAAACAACTGGACTTTGTAGAACAATTTCACTGGATTATACCCCTTGAATAACATCTTTAAACCCTAATCTTTCTGATAACTGCCTATACTCTTACCACTTCTATCACTATGGGATTTGAATCGACAACTGCATCCCTTTGATAATGTGGTATGGCAACTCGAACTGATGTACATACACACAAAGTTCTATGTTGATGTGACTGATTGACTGACTGACAACAGTTTCGGAGTTTAAGTACGCGAGTTATATATGACAAGTAATTCAATTGCTTGCATGAAAAACTTTACTGAAGATGCCTGGTCTCCAAAGTCCTGGTACGTTCGAAGGTGGGGAGAATCAGCTCTCACTCTCTAAATCCTTTCACATAGACACGTGTATACAGCCATTACCACAGAATTCCTAATAACTGCATTCTCAAATTACCAGTGTTGTTTAAAAAAGGGACAACACGAAAAGGGAACATTTATCTCACTAATCAGGTTAGTGAACACGGAGGGTTCATCTAAAGGAGTTGGAGAACCCTCATTCCAAACCAGTGGTGCACATGAGCTGGATTCAGGATCCTGGAAGAACAAATGGCATATCAATCCAATGTTGGTCACTGGCTACCATGGGACTGTATCTCCTTACATTGATCCACTGCATTGAGGATGAGACCTGTACATCAAAGGCTCGGAGAGGGGCCGTCAAAGAAAACCACCTGATTTGATTTAGATATCCGGGCAGTATTCCAGCTCTCACACAAATAGGATGACGAAGTGTGACTCATATATATCTGGTGCTTCCTTGCACCAATGTTTTTGTGTATAAGCAAATAAATAAATACAATTTTGCTAATAAGCGGTACTTTTGAAGTGTAATGATATCCATAGTAACTTTTTCTTGATGCATATTTCTCCATTGGTCTTTTCTATAATCTGATTGGCCATGTTCCCTCTTTTCTGGCATATAAACGGAGTTACTCTGTTTCAATTTTAACTTCGTTGAAAATCAAGCTTTTACCTAAGTTTCACAACAACTCTCTATCTTCAATTGTATGAGGGATTATTTTTGAAGTGTTGCGTACTATTTGTTCAATCATCCATCAAGTTCTTATAAATTCTGTTCAACACTAAAAGAACCTTCCAAGCGTTCGTAATTCATTTCGAAGTAAAGCAACGTAAGTGTTGGGTTCAAAAACTTTGCCAAATCATCAAAACTGGTCTTTTAAGGAATAAGACGGTTCACTAGATCATAGTAATCACACCATTTTGAGGATGACACCCATTTAAATACATTAGAAATTTATAAGAAGAACACGTCGAAACATCTCGGTTCTACATTATGTAGATACAGAAGTTAATAAACTATTAAGAGTATTGAGTATGGAAAGATTCCAAATGACTTTTTGAATTAAAGGAATTATTGTTTACCTCACGGACTAAACTTATCTAGAAAACCACTTGAAACTAAAAAGCATTGGACAGCTGTTTCGTTCTAGTATAGAACTGCTCATTAGTGTGCAACCACGAGCTACTGCGGCATCGAACCTAAGACCATAAGATCTTATAATGCATACTTACTTACCTACGCCTGTTACTCCCAATGGAGCATAGGCCGCCGACCAGCATTCTCCAACCCACTCTGTCCTGGGCCTTCCTTTCTAGTTCTATCCAGTTCTTGTTCATTCTTCTCATGTCTGTCTCTATTTCTCGGCGTAGTGTGTTCTTTGGTCTTCCTCTTCTCCTTCGACCTTCAGGATTCCATGTGAGGGCTTGTCTTGTGACACAATTGGGTGATTTCCTCAAAGTGTGCCCAATCCACTTCCAACGCTTCTTCCTGATTTCTTCCTCCGCTGGAATCTGGTTTGTTGTCTCCCACAGTAACTTGTTGCTGATAGTGTCTGGCCATCGGATCCGAAGTATCTTGCGTAGACAGCTGTTAATAAACACTTGTATCTTCTGGATTATGGCTTTCGTAGTTCTCCACGTCTCCGCCCCATACAGTAAAACTGTCTTGACATTTGTATTGAAAATTCTGATCTTGGTGTTGGTTGACAATTGTTTTGAGCTCCAGATGTTTTTCAGCTGTAGGTATGCTGCTCTTGCTTTGCCGATCCTCACCCTCACATCTGCATCTGATCCACTGTGTTCATCAATGATGCTGCCCAGATATGTAAAGGTTTCCACATCCCTCAAAGCTTCTCTGTCAAGTGTAATTTGATTGGTGCATATTGTGTTGTATCGGAGAGTCTTGCTTTTCCCTTTGTTTATATTGAGACCTACTGCTGCTGAGGCTGCTGCTACACTGGTCTTCTTCTCCTGAATTTGTTGTTGCGTTTGTGATAAAAGAGCCAGACCATCTGCGAAGTCTAAATCGTCCACCTGCATCCTACCTGTCCACTGTATCCCGTGATTTCCTCCAGATGTTGACGTCTTCATGATCCAGTCGATCATCAGGAGAAAGAGAAAGGGTGAGAGTAAGCAACCTTGCCTAACACCGGTCTTTACCTCGAATGAGTCGGTGAGTTGTCCGCCATGGACAATTTAGCAGTTTGGTCCATCATAGGAATTCCGTATGATATTGACTATCTTCTCAAGCACGCCGAAGTGTATTATAAGATCTCATAATACAAACACTTAAACCTCATACCAGAGAGTTGGCATTCCATTGGCTTAAAATGCTAACCTCAGTAAATCTGTGACATTGTTAGCTAAGGTCAATCAGTTTCTTATAAACTAGATTCATTGTCTTTATATACTAATAAAAAAGGCAAATCAATTTTTCAGCATTTATAACAAATAAACTAAAAGTATTCTTATTATTCATCAACTTACACTACTTTGATTTGTAATTCTATTTAACAATGGTGGTGATGATGATGAAGATGATGACGATGTAGTTGACATGACAACTTCTTGTATTCCATTATTTGGTGATACAAAAGTAATTGGTGTAGCTAGACTAGTAGTATTCGGTGAATATTGTAAATTAGAAGATGGTGTTGGTTGATAGTACTTGTGAGTAATTGACTTTTTTATACTATTAGTATTACTATTATTATTAGGTGTACAGTCATTGATTGAATTAGGTCGTATTGTAGATGATAAAGTATTCTGTACATTAGAAGTTGCTAATGGAAATAAAAGCAAAGACAGAAAGGATAAGAGTTGTGCACTATAATTCTATTTGTTTTTTGAAAATACTTACTTGAAATAATGACCAACAATACAAAAATATCGAAAAATTTTGACAATTAATTAGAGTTGAAAGCGTGAGTCAATTGAAGTTCGACCACCATGGAAAACCTGGAAGCACTGGATGGCCGTTTCGTCCTATTATGGAACTTCTCAGCAGTGCGTATCCACGACCTCACCTTGCGAGATTCGAACCTAGGACTTACCAGTCTCGCACTAGAGCACTTAACCGATAAACCACTGAGCCAGGTTTTCCCTGGTGGTCTAGCTTCAATTGACTCAAGCTTTCAACTATGAAAATATAAAATCTCCACAAAAACCCCCTTCTCATAATTAATTAGAGCTCACGAATAATAAACTGAATAAACACACATGCATAGAAAGGTATCTCAAGTCAATCAGATCAAGGGTGATTCAATCGATCTAAACTGTGTTAAAATGTTAAAGGGTTGTAAATAGTCGATATAATGTCATTTGGCGTCTAAATGGTTCATTGATAATGTTTCAGATCATGAATCTGGATGACTCAGGTTTAAATTTCACAGGAAGAACCAGTTCTTTCAAGATTGCAAGTGCACATTACTAACTAATGTTAACTATCACTTAGCCTAGGTCGAGTAGAGTTCTCTACCGACTATTTCTAACCGCTTAGTAGTACATTATTAACGCAACACACAAATAAGACAATGATCACTACTACTGTCGTATTACGACAGTTGTCCACCTTATATATGTAGATAGATGACTTGTTTTATAGGGATTGCATGATTCATTCTAACCACTAAGTGAACTCAGAAAAACAAATTAAATCTCTGTTTCAATAGTTGATCTAAAATGTACTGGATATCTGAGGAAAATGTATGAAAATAATTATGATGAGCTCAATACATTTTAACACCACAAAGAACAAAGTAGTAGAGCATCGGGATCATCAAAGACGTTAAATCATTGTCTACATAGTAATTCATTCATAACCTATAAAATTTGAACGTCGATTTATAATTACAAGCAATGATGGGTAGCAGCTAGCCGTAAAGTCCAGTTTGACGAGCGTTCCGTCCTATTTTGAGACTCGTCAACTGGATGTACCTGTATCTTAGAGTTGATGTTCACTCTAGGACTCGAACTCAGTATCGTTCGCTTCAAACGCCATCGCGTTATCCCTCAGCTACTGAGTCCTGATAGCCAATTGTTTGTGCAATGAGGGGAAGTTTAAATTCTCTTAGTATTGTTTGTTTGAATCTTCCTGTTGATGTTTAGGACTGCAAATGATCGGTCTCTCTGAAATTTAAATAGTCATATTTAAAAACTGGAACGAAAGATTAAATCAGAATTAAATGGAATGACGCAGAAGTACCATGTTGAGTTTACAAAAGTAATAACAAAGCTAACAAGCAGATTAAGATTGATTAGTACTTCTATGAATTCGGTGTTCATCTTGTTGTACTGATGAGGTATGACAAATTGAACCGATGCATATATGTGCCTTGTCCTACATTGTAGCTGACTGACTGACAGACTGAGAGTAGTACAGACGAAGAAGAAGAAGAATAAAGATAGCTAATCGCAATAAAATCTGAAACATTGAATTAAATTGTTTCAGAATTCCTGTCGAGGTGCATGATATTTTTCAAGCTAATAGTTTAGATATTTAGGCCAGTGACAAAATACTTACAAATAAATAAGTAGTATGAAGAACATATGTACCTATAAAAATTGTCGCTCTGGTTGTAAGAAGGTGCATCGGCCTCATGACTTCCGAAGGAACTCGGCTTTCATCATGAGACGTCATAATTATTCCTTCTACTCCCAGGGCAGAGTTTGAAAGGTTTGAATGATTTTTTCTGGTTAGCGTTCTTTCAGCGAGTTGATTTTCTACGGGATGGGGTCGCTAACCCCATGCCCAACCCTCCTCCTTTACACGGGCTTGGGACCGGCAGTAACCCCCAGAGGAGCTACAGGCAGAGTTTCTTTATGAAGAACATATGTTTTCTGTATATCAAACGAATAACTTACTATTGCATTGGTTTGATATTTTTGCATTACTCATAAGTAGACTGCCAAATTTACGTATTATATCTTGTACTGGTAAGGTAGTGCATTCAATTGAGTGAGTATTATTATTATTGTTATTATTCTCCTTTGATGATTCCACTGAATGTTCCGTCTAAGAAAACAGAAAATGCACACATTAAGATGAGAGAGGCAAAGAAAGGAGACAAACGAAATATGGAAAGAATGATTGTCCAGAGACTGAGTAGTCAATATCTGAACACTAAAGAAAATAAGAAATATCTAAAATATACTGGATTAATGAGTGTATTTCAGTTAATTCTAGTTTATTTTATATTTTATTTAAACACATAAATATTGGTACAAGAAAGCACCAGATATATATATGCGCCACACAAATCTCATTTGATTTGTATGAAAGCTGTGATACTGCCTGATCAGTCGGAATCCGGAGAACTTCAACAGAGCCTCCAGAGGCCCAAAAGGAGCCCCAACCAATCAGAATACGATGGAATATTCTGGAGTTCCAACGTGGCGTGCTACTAATGGTCGGTAGCATAATATGTCGTTAATGGATTGGCCGAAATAGGATGTTGATTTAACATACGCTAACATCTATAAATACCTATGATTTTCCGTACAAAAATGAACCTTGCAGTAAAGTGTTTCTCTCATACTCGTGTCTTCCCTCTGGTGTTCAAGTCGCTGAGTAGTTCTAGCCTGGGGTTATCAGAATAGCTTAGGATCTGAATATAGCGTTCAACCTACAAGGAGTATCACTGTCCAGGTGCCCAAACTGAAGCAGGTGGTTTACTTAGGGGGCCACACCCCGAGCCTTTGACCTAAAGGTCTAGTCCACAAGGCAGTGGAGCATCGTGAGGAGATGCAGTTCCATGGTAGCCGGTGACCAATAAACGGTGAACAAATGACGATTTTTTCCCTCAGAATACTAGAGCCCATGTACACCATTGGTTTGGAATCAGGATTTTCCAACTCCCTTAGGTGAACTTTCCGTGTACACCAACCCAGTTAAAGCTCCGGACATTCGCTTTTCGTCCTCTTAATTTCGTAAACAACAGTAATGCCACAAGAAGGCAGTGAGTAGGACTTCCCTGGTAGAGGCTATGAATGCGTGTATATGTGAGAGTATTTCGAGAGGGAGAGCGGACTCTCCCACTCTCGGCCGTACCAGGGCTTTTGGGGCCGACAAGTCCCAAACAAGACGAAACGAGCGTCTTGGTTTCCGCTGGTAGCCACCATCATATCATTTTCTTATGTTTAATAATTAAACCTCTGCTATTTTACAAAGGTTAGACTTGTTAGCATTATATATATATATATATTACGTGAAGGACAAGGGAAGGAGCATACTTACTTTCAAATTATCTATTCCGTTATTTTCAGTGACCATGGTATTCGATGTTATCATAGTGTCAGAAGTAGGTATCTCCATGTCATGGTGTTTAGGCCAACTCGGTAAACTTGTTAGTCGAGTGGATGGAGCTCTTTGAGGAATTGATGGTTTTCGTGAATTTGTTGTAGGCGTATTATGATGAAATTGTTGTTTGTGATGTCCATTATTTGTATTATATGAGTTGATAGTTGATTTTACTTGACATTTAGGCTAATCAAGAAAACAGTAAGAAAGAACCGATAGATTATCATGGTAAACACTTTTTATTTAGATTCAATTGACTTACGTTTGCAACTATGAAAAACCTAAATCTCCACAAAACCCATTCTGATAATAATAATCATATACTCACTAGTAACTGATTTCGAGAGGTAAATCCTGGAGTTCTAGTGAGAAGCAGTGACCAGTTGAGTTCAAACCACGTCTGTTGTGAGATAGCAACTCACTGAAGACAATTGATGAACGGTCGCTCAACTTCGTGGAGTGGTTGGAGTTAGATATAAACACCATCGGATGCCGGCTCAGTGGTCTATCGATTAAGTGCTCTGGAGCGAGACTTGTAGGTCCTGGGTTCGAATCTCGCGAGGCGGGATCGTGGATACGCACTGATGAGGAGTCCCACAATAGGACGAAACGGTCGTCCACTGCTTCCAAGTTTCAGATGGTGATCTAGCTTCAACTGACTCATGATTTCAACTATGAAAATACCGGAAATCTCCGCAAAACCCCTTCTGATAATAGATTCAAGATAGTTTGCTATTGCTTTAGGCTATTTTAAATCGGAAAGTGTTGTTAGAAAGTTGAATAAAATACAGAGAAAGCCTACAACTCATAGACTGATTTTCATTGGAAAACTACTGAAAACTACAAAGGAAATGATTAGTTCTATTTCATCTTTTGATGTGAGTTTGTTCTTTGAGCTGGATGGTTTGGTGGTGGAGCTTTTATCGTCCTTCTGAACGACATCATCAGCACAAACTTCGGGTAGAAGTGAAGTGTTTGAATTCCTCTACATGTGATTCACAGCAGTCCTGAGCTAAAAATCTTCTCCACCATCTGTTTCATCTTATAGTTTGAAACTTAATAAAAGTGGTATGCATTTATAGCTTACACACATGGAGCCGAACCTAAAACTTTTAATATAAAATTACCAGGTCAGACAAATATAGTACATACTATTTTCAACTGTGATCAAGTTGTGATTTAACGAGACAATCACCTAATCACGTTGTTGAGTAAATAACCATCTTCTTATTTTTTAACTGAGGGTAACCCTATTAGTTGTAAATTCTTATTAGGTCTTCCAGAATTCAACTGAAGACTATTCGCTAATGAAAAATGTTTTGATTTGACAAAGACACTGAAATTTGAAACATGAATCATCTTATTTTAAAAGGTCTAAAGGTCTCGGGATCAACCCAGATGGTGAAGCCATGAAATTATACTCCCTAAGAGTTTTAAACTAAGATGAAACAGATATCCAGTGCTTCGAATTCCCCAATAATCACATAGTTAAAGTTAATCCACTACAAAATACAGGAAGTGATTATCTATCTATTCCTCAATGTTTAATCATTGTACAGTATCAAGCATTTTCCAGGGATTTTTCCATGCATTCAGTAAAATATGAGAACCATATACTGAATACTTCATTTGAAAATTTTTATCATTTGTCCTTCATATTCCGTATGATTCTTTCAGTGATATACTTGGTGTTATTATGAGTTTACCTTACTCGGTGCCCCCAAATGCCCTGGTATGACCGAGAGTGGGGAGAGTCCGCTCTCCTTCTCCAAATGCTCTTACATGGCCACGTGTATACAGCCTCACCCAGGGAAGTCTTACTCATTGCCTTCTCGTGGCATTACTGTTGTTTACGAAATTAAGAGGACGAAAAGCGAATATCCGGAGCTTTAACTGGGTTGGTGTACACGGAAAGTTTACCTAGGGGAGTTGGAAAATCCTGATTCCAAAACAATGGTGCACATGGGCTCCTGTATCCTGAATGAACAAATGGCGTATGAACCAATCGTTGGTCACCGGCTACCAAGAGCCTGCATCTCCTCACGATACTCCACTGCCTTATGGATCAGATCTTAAGGTTAAAGGCTCGGGGTGTAGCCCCCTAAGAAAACCACCTGTTTCGGTTTGGGCACTCGGGCAGTATCACATACCTCACAAAAATCAAATGAGATTTGTGCGGCGCATATGTATCTGGTGTTTCCTTGTACCAATATTTATGTGTTTAAATAAAAATAATAAAAATAAACCTTACTCAGTAAACGGAACGAAGGTCAATGACACAGTGATACGATAGCCTAATTCTAATCCGTTGTCTCCGGCCCTGCTAACTAGATCAATAAATCTTAATGAGGTGTAAAGAATGTATTCTACAAGCACGCACAAAATACGAGGTCACCAAGCACATAAATCAAGCTTATTTATACAATGATAGAAACGCGCTTCGGAGAGCCACAAAATAGCGTACTAAAAAATTCTTCAACTGATGACAGTCAAGGTATTCCGAGTGGGAAATGCAAGCTGTAGGTCAACTGAGCGTTTCTTAGTATTGTCCTTTTTTCCTGGTAAGTACATTTTTTTAGTATTTTGGATACCCGGAAGAGAAATTAAAAAATAAACAACAATTTGATGAAAGATATCAATGGAATTGACTTTGTAAAATAATCGAGATTTCTATGTATGATGTATTTTCAGAAGGCGGAGATTTGTGGAGATTTTTAGTAATATTATAAAGTTGAAATCACGAGTCAATTGAAGCTAGACCATAATGGAAAACCTGGAAGGGGTAAACGGCTGTTTCGTCCTATTGCGAGACTCCTCAGCAGTGTACACAATAGGACGAAACGGCCATCTAGTCCTTCCAGGTTTTCTACGGTGGTCTAGCTTCAATTGACTCATGATTTCAACTATATATGATGTATTTTGTTGAATATTGAAAACATTTTAAATGACCTCTTAAAGTTAATACGAATAATTAAGCTAATTAATAATGATGAATCATTTTATTGTTAGTAGGAAAATGAATAAAAGAATATGAAATGATTAATCTAATAGAAAACAAATACATAGAATGTAAATGTTTCTCTCACCTTCTCTGTCTCTCTCACGTTGATTATAAGTTTCTAATAGTTGAATTCATGAGTCGATGTAAGCTGGACCACCATGGAAAACGTGGAAGCATTAGGCAGCAATTTCGTTAGACAATGGATGAATGGTTGCGCAGCCATTCATGGATCGACGGAAGTTAGACATTCACATCGTTGGATGCCGGTTCAGTGGTTTAGAAGTTAAACATTCACGCGCGAGACTGAAGCTCCTCGGTTCGAATCCCGTGTGCGGGATCATTGGACGGGTACTGCTAAGGAGTCCCATAGAATGACAAAACGGCCATCCAGTGCTTCATGACTTTTCATAATGGTTTAGCTTACATCGAATCACAGATTCAACTATTAAGATTAAAAATTTGATAAGTTTTTCCTTCCTATTCCACCATACTTTGACTTTCAAAGTAGAATAAGCGAAAAATTAATTTACCGATTTGAACAAATACAAACTCGTATAGGTAATGTAAACTAAAGAGTCAATTCCGATATTATCATTTAGGAGATTGGTTATGAAACCAGTGATCTTGAGTGCTGTTAGAGGTATGAGGGCGGTTATCACTTCCCGGTTGCCCACACAGTGGAAGGGTTTTTCTAGAGATACCTGAAAAGGAAATTGGATTAGAAGTGACCTTAATGACCTGAGAGCGTGACCGCAGTGCCAAAAAGACAACTGCTTGAGGTCGATCACACACGACCTTTTTGTTGGTAGTTTTTGTGTTAGCCCCCTACTTGTTGAGACCTTACCGCGGGTGACGAGAATCTGTGGGATAAGGTGAGGTGTGCATTTTTAGGGTCGACCTTTTCTAAACCCACTCCTCCTTGTGGAAAGGTAGCATTGCTGTTATTCTGGTTGTCTGAAGGAAACACTGTACTGCTGTCATACCTCTGTACAGTCATCAGTACGACATCGCCTTCGGACCTTGAGTTTGCTACTTTTAATCTTACCGCTCTTCAACCGACCTGCCTGGCATAGTAAAACCTTGAGGAACAATTGCTCCAGCCATTATAGCTCGATTGGTTCATCACGATAAACAAGCCCGACCACCACGTCAAGGTAGCAGCAACGGTCGGGAATGTTATCAATTAAGAGATTAATTTTTAAAATAGAAGTAACTAATATTAAGTAAATATGATAACTCATTGATTAAGTTAACAGCCTGATGTACTTAGCTGTAAATTACACTATATCATAGCTAGCGATACGACTACTAAACTGGTACTCAAAATGAAGTAGATGTAAGGGAGGTTCAACCAGCAATTTACTGTTTGATAACCAAATAACTTAAACAATGAACTACTTGTCGACTGAGTATCAGAGTTCATTATAGACGAAATAACTAAATTAGTCAGTCATGTGTAACCGTAGAATCTGCTAAGAGTGTGAATCCGTTCAATATAGCATACCACATCAACTAAGTGAGAAGAAATGATCAATATAGATACTAGAATAGTAATAACAGTATTACAGATAGTTGAAAACGATAAGGAATAGACAATCAAAAAGAATAAGTTGATAACAATGGACTAACTTTTAGACAGATTTCTGTAAGTTCTTATGAAAAAAACATGACACGTCAAATGTATAGAATCGGAAATACAGTCAGTCAGTCAGTCAGTCAGCTACAACGTAGGACCAGGCACATTTATGCATCGGTCTAAGTTCCCATACCTCATTAGCACAACAAGATCAACACCGGATTCATAGAAATAGTTAATTTAGTGGTGATAGTATATAAAAGAAAGGTTGTATATAAGGATATAGTATAGGAAGGAAGAAAGTTATGAAAGAATTTTAATCTTAAGGTTTAAGGGAAGATAAAGAGTGTATACACCTACGCCATTGTGATCGATTCTGAGCCATGTTACACAGAGTCTCCAACCATCGGTTACGATAGTCATGCGGACCCCAACCAAGTTGTCTGCATCTGTCAACATGGCTCAGACTAGAAGTTAGTGACTTCAAGCTCCGATGCCACGTTTTGGTTTGGCCACCCCTAACTTTCTTCCAACCATTCCCTACACTAGTCAGCATAGCGCATCGTGTTAATCGGTGTCAAGGCATACGTAACACGTGGCCTAACCATCTCAGTCGATGAAGATTCATGACCTCATCAACTGATTTACCATCGTTCCCTAATACCCTGCATCTAACCTCACTATCGGAAATACAGTAGTTAGTCGCTTATCAATGACCAATTTTAATTTAATTATTAAAAGATAACGTGCTTACTATAAAGTCCGGATATTTCAGATTTAACTTTGTTTACAGTTCTAGATGTAAACTGATTAATACTTTAAAACAACGATGAAACTTGTTATATCTAGAGCTTTGATTCTTGCTATGCCGCATACTACTAGACAACTTGAACGATCGAACCCGTAACGTCGCAAGAGAGAAGACAAAAGACTTTTAAGTAGGAATTTTATTCCCCAAACAGTGTCAAAATATAGTACAAAAATCGCATGTATTTATAGTTTTTTTGACTGAAAGTAAATGATCATTTCGGACAGCCAATAGGCACATAGGGGGTCATTCTTATCCATCCAATAGGGAAGCTATACGTCGACATTCTGGAACGTACCCCTAGTGGTGATTGGATGGAATGTCTTCGGCTCTTTCTGGGCTTCTTGAGGCTTTCTAGAGTTTGCCAACGAGCCAACCTTACACACAGTGGACGAGTTCTCAGTAAATTTTACATTCGATCATTCTATGATGAAGACCATTTTTAAACCCATCAAATGGTTTGCGAAAACATCTACCTAGTATCACTGTCATTGTAGAAACTTCAAAGTTAGGTGAACCTTTACCTTCTTATAACAAATATTTCTTCATTATTGATTTTAAACCACACCTACTGACTGATTCATATGATGACAAATTACATTACCTACTTGGTTGGACATTTTTTGCTCAATGGTTACAGGAAGTTAGCAGGCAAATTTGACAAACATACGTCTCGTTTTGGTGAGTATTCATCAGTAAAGGATATCTGCAACCTTCGGGAAATCGACTCTCCTCTTAAAATTCAAAACCACTTCGCCTACCTTGACAGTCTGAAACGCTATCACGGGGCTATTTCGACTACATTGACAAAAGCCGACCGATTAGAAAACTCAGGTTGATCTGGGTTCCCTCCGACCACCCCGAACCACTTAACTAAGATGAAAAACAGCTGTCTAGTGGCGTGTGGTATATTCAATGTTTCTCTGGTTTTAATGTCGGTATGCGTAGCGAAAACGGCCATTTAATGATTACAGTTAAACTAAGGTTTGTTTACAGTTGATGTTTTTTTCACTTCCTTTAAAACAACAATCACAAACACCCAACATCAAGAAATGATTGAATACCGATTGAATATAAATGCAAAGTCTCAGTGTTTAAAGTATAATTCAAGGAAAAAAGCCTTAGAGAATATACCAAATCTCAACTTACATCAAACGACTGACACTTTGAATACCCATTAGTAGAAGAAAAGCTCTGTAGATGTTTACCTCCATCCAGTGTTGTTAATGTCGAATTGGTAGTAAGAGGTAAAAATGTAGTTGATGAGGAATGGGTTGTTACTGGTCTGGCTGACCCTGTTGTTTCCTCTGCTGTCAGTGTTGATAGTAGAGGCGGCGGCGGCGGTGATGGTGGAAGCGGGAAATCCTCTGAAGCAAATGCATCAGGTGGAGGCAATGGAAATGAAGGTTCTGTGGAACAAATGAAAGGGATGATTTAAGTTTATGGAAAGAAGATTGTAAATTATGAAGTACAGAGAGATATAAATACAGATGAAAACATATAAAACCATTAAAAAACTTCAATACTCAACATAAACACAGACTATGAACCAATATAGCTACTAGGTTTCGTTAATCAGTTATCCAGTTACCAACGTAGAATCTAATACGATTCAACTGATCACACCTTTGTATCAGCATAACAACAAGAAGTCAAAAAGATACGAAATATATGGTGAGAAATACTGTGAAAATCGGTTGAAATCTAAACTTCAAAAAGCGCGTATCAGATTGACGAGTGAAGAGTTAGGAATGATGCTTTAGGATAGTCATGATGTTCTTAACCATGAAGTCTATATCTTCCAAAGTGACTAAGACTAGAAATTAAAAAATTCATGAACTGGTACAATTTTTGGGTTTTCTCAGTCTAATTTTATATAGGACACGACAGAGTAGGCGAGGCTTGTAAACATAAAATGTTCAATAAAGACTTATTACTACCTCATCAATCAAATGACCCTTTTTACATACTTCTATACGCTTAACTGCGACATTACTCACTTAGTGGTTCTACCATATCAAAGTAAAACTATAAAGAAACTTATAATCAAATACTCGCAGCCTACTCATATCCTTTAACATCTTAAGATCATATCTTATTTTATTCATATGCAAGTAAATGGATACCTTTGGCTCTTTACATTTATCATCATTAATAAGAATTTACTTGAATGAAATAACTTTATTTGGAATTAGGAATTTCATGTACAGAAACAACTGGATGTTGTAAAACAATTTCGAAGTTCAAGTATGAGAGTTATGTATGAAAATTCAACTGTTTGCTTGAAAAACTTTACTGATGACATGTTCACCGTCTGGCTTATCAAGACTGCCTTAAGATGTCTGATCCCCGAATATCCTGGTACGTTAGAGGGTAGGGAGAGTCGACTCTCCCTCTCAAAATGCTCTCACATGGACACGTGTATACAGCCACCGTCACAGAAGTCCCACTCACTGCATTCTCACATAACGACTGTTGTTTAAGAAATAGAAAACATGAAAAGCGAATGTCCGTCACTTTAACCGGGTTGGTTGACACAGGGGGTCCATCTAGAGGAGTTGGAGAACCCTCATTCCAAACCAGTGGTGCACATGAGCTGGATCCAGGATCCTGGAATCCAGTGTTGGTCACTGGCTACCACGGAACTGTATCTCCTAACATTGATCCACTGCATTGAGGATGAGACCTGTACATCAAAGGCTCGGAGAGTGGACCTCAAAGAAAACCACCAGATTCGATTTAGGCACCCGGACAGTATTCCAGCTCTCACACAAACCGGATGACGAAGTGTGACTCATATATATTTGGTGCTTCCTTGTACCAATGTTTATTCATTTAAATCAATAAACAAATAGATGTAATTAGTATTGGTTCGGCAAATAAGGAATTTTGATTTTAATGCCTATGGACATTGTTGAATTTCATAACTTACATAATGGACTGATCTCAATCATACAAACACTGAAAACCACAAAGCACAGGATGTCTCTTTTGTCCTAGTACAGGATTGCTCAGCATTGTACATTTACGATGCCAGTGAGGAACGAACCTAGACCCTTTGAATCTAGTGATTAGACACATCAAATAATTGTTCCAACACTTAATCTTAGCAAATATTATCCGAAATTCTAAACTTTTTTGTATTTAGTTATTAGATCGCAATACAGCTCGAGATTCTTAGTTGGTTCTTTCTTCTCTGTTATCTTTTTTTTTTACTCCATATCTTACTCGGTATTTAATTGACCTAATTATTTGTTTAACAAGTCTATCAACAACTATGCTAAAAGTATTGGATTGTTCACTATATACCTTATATAGTGTGATAAATCAGTCTAGACTTGTTTATTTTGCACAATGTATAATTAATATGCACCTTATTAACATCAACTGATAATAGTGCACTGTATTAATGAGTGTAAATAGAGAATGAAATCTAAAGAAAATAATTATCATTAGCTTAGAAGGTTTAACTATAGATTTGAAATGGTATGTGAAATGTTTTTTTTTAATTTAGTTGGTGTTCATTTTAAGGAGTCACCAGATATATATGCGCTGCACAAATCTCATTTGATTTGTGTGAGGTTTGTGATATTTCCCAGGTGCCCAAAATGAAGCAGGTGGTTTTCTAAAGGTGACACACCCGGAACCTATGACCTGAGGATCTGATCCATAAAGCAGTGGAGCATCGTAAAGAAATGAAGTCCCATGGTAGCCAGTGACTAACAATTGGTTCATATGCCATTTGTTCCATCAGGACACTGGAGCCCATGTGCGAATCAGGGAATCAGGGTTTTCCAACTCCCCTAGGTGAACTTTCCGTGTTCACCAATCCGGTTAAAGCGCCGGACATTCGCTTTTCGTCCTCTCAATTTTGTAAACAACAACCCCACCACGGGAATGCAGTGAGGAGGACTTCCCTAGTAGAGGCTATATACTCGTGGCCATGTGAGAGCATTTCGAGTGGGAGAGCGGACTCTCTCCACTCTCAGCCGTACCAAGGCATTTGGTAGTAAATCAACTGAAATGTTACATGTTTACATCTGATTGGTCAATTTATTTTACTTCATTGTTTACTATAAAATGACCTTAAATAGCTGAGAGTAAAATAAATGAAAAAAATTTCTCAGTTCGTATGGTTTCTCCTTTTTTCGTTCTTTTTTTGTTGTTTATCTTGACAACTAAATCATTAAGAAAAAAGAAATGATTTAAGTAGTAAATGTGGATAAGAGATAGAGAAAAGAAAAGTGTCTGTAATTGTTCACCCACCATCTTTTTTTAAAAAAAAAACAAGAAAGAAAGACAAAACAATCTCATTGTTTCATTATTGAACAATATGACCTTAAAATTTAAAAAAACTGTGTCAATGGTTGTTTTCTTTTTCTTTTCATCTATATAACCTAACGAGAAACTCTTTATGATCATTTTCTTTTAAAGATATTGACCAAATTATTACTTTATAAAGTATCTTACAATTACTCGTGGCCCCCAAATGCCCTGGTACGGCCGAGAGTGCGGAGAGTCCGCTCTCCCTCTCCAAATGCTATCACATGGCCACTTGTATATAGCCTCTGTCAGGAAAGTCCTACTCACTGCCTTCTCATGACATTACTGTTGTTTACAAACTTGAGAGGACGAAAAGCGAATGTCCGGCAGGAGCTTTAACCGGTTTGGTGGACACGGAAAGTTCACCTAAGGGAGTTGGAAAACCCTGATTACAAACCAATGGTGCATAATTACTCGTGAGGAGATGCAATCCCATGGTAGCCAGTGATCAACGATTGATTCATACGCCATTTGTTCCTTCAGGATCCTAGAGTCAACCCTTGCACACCATCGGTTTTGAATCAGCGTTATCCAATTCCCCTAGGTAGACTCTCCGTTTCCACCAACCCGGTTAAAGCGACGGACATTCGCTTTCCGTGTTGTTAACTTTGTAAACAACACCCTCGCCACTAGAAGGCAATGAGTAGGATTTACTATAATCTAAACTAATCAATTAGTGAAGATTAACTCCGTGTTCATAATCGGTCAGTCATAAGCATAAGTTGAAATTATCCACTCTATATCAGTATGGCGAGAATAAATTACCGAGGCAAATCCTATAAGAAGTCGTAGAAAATATTAATTATTGACAATATGATTCCAGACGAGAGAATTTGTGAAGCTACATAATTGAAAGATTCATACCTATGAACACCCGATCGTTGCTGATACTTTGATGTGATGGTCGAGCTTGCCTATCGTAATGAATCAATAGAGCTATACTGACTAGAACAATCGTTCCTTAAGGTCTTACCATGCCAGACAGATAGGTTGAAGAACGGTAAGGCTAAAAACAGTAGACACAAGGTCCGAAGACGAAGTCGTACTGTTGATTGTACAGAGGTGTGACAGCGATAAGGTGTTTCCTTCAGACAACCAGAATAACAGAGATGCTGCCTTCCCACAAGGAGGGATTGGGTTAGAAAAGGTCGACCCTAAAAATGCACACCTCACCTTATCCCGCGGTAAGGCCCGAACAAGTACGAAGCTAACACGAAAATGACTCACAGAAAGGTTGTGTGTGACTGACCTCAGGCAGTTGTACTTGGGCGCTGCAGTCACGCTTTCAGGTCACTAAGACCACCTCTAACCCGATTTCCTTTTCAGGCACATCTAGAAGAATCCTTCCACGGTGTGGGCAACCGGGAAGTGATAACCGCCCTCATACCTCTAATAGTACTCAAGATCACTACTTATGAACATGACTCAAATCGACAGTGATTGTATACACCTGTAGCAAAAATTAGCTTAGAAACTATTTACTTTACTCTTACTCTAATCGAAACGCGCTCTACATATTCTAACATACTTAATAAAAAGCGAATGAGTGTCTATGACAATTAAGTCATCATTAATTAATGTAATATATAAAACCATACAGATTAACTTATCCTTTTTGTTCATAATTGTGCATCATCACTGCTGAGTAAAGCTTCAAAGTTATCTATGAATTAATACAACTAACCCCATATACTAGAAGTTTATGTTTCACACTTTGAGTGGAATACAACACAGTATACCCAGTCTTTTAATAAGTGATCAATTATTAAGCTGACTTTAGTTGCTACCTTGGTATAGTAGTCGAACTTGCCTATCATAATGATTTCATCCAGTCGTATTGGCTGAAACACTTTCTCTTTTAAGTTTCGCTGTGCTAGACAGGTTGATCGAAGAGTTTAAAAACTAAAAAAAAACGTTAAATTCATGGCCCGAAAAAGTATTCATATCGCAAACTGTACTGAGGTATGAAGGCAGTTCGGTATCTCACTCCAAACAAATAGAATCTCAAGCTATGTTTCCTTGCCACAACAAAAACGAGGGGTTAAAAATAGGTCGGTCTTAAATATGTCATAGTTCATCTTGCCCTACGAATTTCGTCAAAGTTATTGTCTTATACGTAAGAACCTAACTTTTATAAACCCATTTATAGAACGTCCATATGTGACTGGCCTTAAGTAGTTGTCCCTTAAACTCTATAGTCACGCTACCAGGTCTTCATGACAACCTCGTAACTTAGTTTCCTTCTAACAACACTGAAGATTACCTCGTTTACAATGACAATCAAATTAGTAATGATAATCCTGTTATTTTTGTATAGTAAAGAACTGTCAGCACCAATATGTGCAGTATTACAAAAAATACCTCTTCGACAAATACTAAAATCGTAATTATTCCAACTGTGACTTAGAAGTGTTCTTCCAATATTCAATCATTAAAAGTTTATACCAATGAAGTTGATATACCTATTTTTCCATAACATCATAAATAAGTTTCTCTGAATTTCAATCTATTTATCTCTCGTTTTATCAAAGTATAGATACAAAAGAAAATATATTAATAACTGAAATGTTTCTCATAGTTGAAAGCATGAGTCAATTGAAGCTAGACCACCAAGGAAAACCTGAAAGCACTGGACGGCCTTCTCGTCCGATTGTGGAACTCCTCAGCAGTGCGTATCCACGACCTCGCTTTGCGAGATTCGAACTCAGGATCTACAAGTCTCACGCCAGAGCACATAATCGTCCAGTGCTTTCAGGTTTTCCTTGGTGGTCTAGATTCAATTGACTCACGCTTTCAACTATGAAAATACTAAATCTCCAGAAAAACCCCTTCCGAAATTTTTCCGTGTTTACCAATGGCATAATTTTCAACATTTTGCGCTTCTTTTCATGAACTGTTCACCAGATAAGTAGTAATGGGGTCATACAAACATATTTTGATGCTTAAGTAACCAATTTGTTTTAATCCACTAAATAGTCTCTAATTCAATTGTGTACTATAGTAAGTTTCTAGACATTTAAACTATGCATCATAGTTATATAATTGAAAAACTATGGAGAAAGTTAAAGATGGATAGTGGCTAGCAGTGAAATCCAGGATGCGCGTTTCGTCCCATTTGGGACTCGTCAGCTGGATGTACCTGCATCTCAGAGTTGGTGTTCACTCTAGAACTCGAACGCAGTACTTTTCGCTTCAAACGCCATCGTGTTATCCATTTAGCTACTGAATTACGGCTACATCACGACAATACGCACAGTATGCACATATGGCCTATAAGAGACTGATCAATTGTAGTCCTAAACATCAATGGAAAGATTTAAACAAACAACACTAAGTGAATATAAAGAAAGTTTTTGTGAGAAACGAATGATAAAAGTTATGTTATAAATCGATAGGCTAATTCTCTTTGATGGAAATTTACAGTTTATCATTTGACTTCCTAAATGTTATAGATCACATATACAAATAAACTAATGAAAAAAGTGCAAGTGTTTTAATTTCAACCTAAAACATTTTCGAACAATTTCTCTAAGAACAAAAAATGAATGAGTCTAGGTTTGATATAACTTGATTATTAAAACATTAACTGAATATTGTTCAGTAGCTTAAACAGTGCGATGCCTTCAATGATGCATAGCAATTGCTTTCAAATGCTCTGGTACGGCCAAGAGTGAGGAGGGCCCGCTCTATCTGTTCAAATGATCCCACATGGCCACGCGTATATAGCCTCTGTCAGGGAAGTCTTACTCACTGCCTTCTTGTGGCATTACTGTTGTTTACAAAATTGAAAGGACAAAAAGCGAATATCGGGTGCTTTAACCGGGCCGTTGGACATGACGAACCATCCAGGGGAGTTGAGAAATCCTGATTTCAAACCAATGGTGCACATGGGCTGACTTCAGGATCCTGATGGAACAAATGGCGTATGAACCAATTATTGGCCACTGGCTACCATGGGACAGCTTTTACTCACGATTCTCCACTGCCTTGTGGATCAGACCTTTAGGTCAAAGGCTCGGGGTCTGGCCCACTGAGAAAACCACCTGCTTCGGTCTGGGCACTCGGGCAGTATCACAGCCTTCATACAGTTAAATGAAATGACAACTTTTTGTGTGGCAGTTAAAGATACTACGTAATTACACACACCAACATAGGTGAGATGCATCAGTTAACTGACAAAACAATAACTGAAAGTCAATTAATAATTAAGCACAAAATTAACTCTATAGATATATGTTTGACATACCTATCAAAAGATCTTTTATAGTTTTACAATACATGCTATATATTTTCAAAATTGGGAAATAGTCATTCAAAGCCCGACCGTTGCTGTTACCTTGACGTGGTGGTCGACCTTGCCTATCGTGATGAACCAATCGAGCTATACTGGATGGAACAATCGTTCCTTAAGGTCCTACCATGCCAGACAGGTCGGTTGATGAGCGGTTAAACTAAAAGCAGCAAACCCAAGGTCCGAAGACGAAGTCGTACTGCTGACTGTACAAAGGTGTGAAGGCATTAAAGTGTTTCCTTCAGACAACCTGAATAACAGCGATGCTGCCTTTCCACAAGGAGGGGTGGTGTTAGAAAAGGTTGACCCTAAAAATGCACACCTCACCTTATCCCACGGATTTCCGTCTCCGGCGGTAAGGTCCTTTGAAGAACGGAGCTAACACGTCAAAAATCCCCCACAAAAAAGCCGTGAGTGACCGGACTCAAGCAGTTGTCCCTTTGTCACTGCGGTCACGCTCTCAGGTCGTTAAGACCAACACTAATCCAACCTCCTTTTCAGGTCCCTCAAGAAATATCCTTTCACGGTGTGGGCAACCGGGAAGTTATATTAGCCCTCATACCCGTAACTGCACACGAGATCAAGTTGGTCACTTTCAAATCCTTCCTACACCTAATAACTCTCTTATCCATATACAACAATAACTTACCAATTTGAGTACAGCAATTTGTAAAGGTAGATGATGATGATGGTGAATAAGAAGAAGTGTTGAAATCTAATTGACCATATTGATTATTCACCTGTGATTGATTTTCATAATGATATTTTCTTATCGCATTTATATCATTGATACTGTTAGTATTATGATGATAATTAACACCACTATGTGTGACAGGTGTTATGTAATTCATATTTGTTATTGCGGTTATTTTTGATTTCGACTGATTCATAAAAGATGATAAATCATTAGATGTATTCAAAGAAGACAACTGATTTGATAAAGATGGAGAATTGGTGAACGTTGAATAATTTAAATGTTCTGATGAAGAAAAAGAAGGTAATAACTGTTGTCTCCTGGATTCAATCTGATCATCAACATCATATGTGGCAATTACAGCATCTAATTCATCGATTGAACAACGTACTTCACTTCTGCTCAACAAGTAACATAAACAAAATAACAGATACACAGGTGAACTACACGTTTTTTAAAGGGATTAGCATATTGCATAATGACAATGGAAATTTCTTTATAAAAATCTTTGCTTTGAATAAACATTCTTTAAGGTAAAACAATACTTACCACTATCTTTATAAACGATAATATTCGACTTAAACAACCAAGAGGTCAGTACATAAGATGATACTAAATAATAACATCACTACCTTAAGTGGATAAACATTTCATCCAGGTAACAAGTCATCTGAAACCCACAAACTAACATTAAGTACAGTAAATAAGGATGCTTACAAAACTAAAACCGATTGAGTCAAAGTTTAAAGTAATTTTTTGATTTAAGTGTTCAAGTGAAGAAAATTTATTAGTTATCTAATTCTTGTTGTATTTTTAAATTTAAGTTTCTCATAAATATCAGTCAGTCAGCTACAACGTAGGACCAAGCACATTTATGCATCGGTCCAAGTTCCCATACCTCATTAGCACAACAAGATGAACATCGGATTCATAGAAATAGTTAATTTAGTGGTATGAATATATAAAAGAAAGGTTGTATATAAGGATATAGTATAGGAAGGAAGAAAGTTATGAAAGAATTTTAATCTTAAGGTTTAAGGGAAGATAAAGAGTGTATACTCCTACGCCATTGTGATCGATTCTGAGCCATGTTACACAGAGTCTCCAACCATTGGTTACGATAGTCATGCGGACGCCAACCAAGTATTCTGCATCTACCAACATGGCTCAGACTAGAAGTTAGTGACTTCAAGCTCCGATGCCACGTTTTGGTTTGGCCGGCCCTAACTCTCTTCCAACCATTCCCTACACTAGTCAGCAAAGCGCGTCGTGGTAATCGGTGTTCAGGCATACGTAACACGTGGCCCAACCATTTCAGTCAATGAAGATTCATGACCTAATTAACTGATTTACCATCACTCCCTAATACCCTGTGTCTAACCTCACTATTATATATATATATATATATATATATATATATATATATATATATGATTTTACTTTATCTAACACCGTAGTGATTGATTACTTACCTACGTTACTTTATATGAAACTTATTAACAACATTCAGTTTTATCAATATTTTGAATGATAATATGCAAGAATATTTGCGATGAATTTCTAACTCTTAAAGAAGATAATAAATCAGGACTGAATTGGATTATTGCATGACATGGCAATGTAGTATTTTATTCGTAATAATTATTCAACTTATTTAAAAAGCTTTATCGTCTTAATGAATTGATGATTAACAAAATCTTGGATTATGATTTTGTTATTTGCAATCGTCTGTAGTAAGGAGAAAATGTTCGGATGACTAATAAACGACTATATTTATCAAAACTTCGCAAGGCAACCATTTAGTTGTCACTGCAGATAATAAGACAGAGTACAAGTGAGAAGTCATCTGGTGAGATTGTAAATCTGTATAAACCAAGACAGTCAAGTCATGATTTACAAATCAGCATCTAATAACTACGCTGAAGCCTAGTTTTAACAAAAGTGAGAGTTCGTAACCAAGCAAAAACTCTCTATTACACACTGATCACTATACTATGCTACACTCTGTTTAATTTTAACATTTTCTTCCATGTTAGTTGCCCATCTTGACTTTTTATCACTACAACTTGCAACAATATGTATAGATCATAGACAGTTACACAACATCGTGCATGTTAAATAAGTCCCCAAATGTCCTGTCCCGAATGTCTGTCTTTTTAACCGCGTTGGTGGATATGGAGAATCCACCTAGGAGAGCTGTAAATCTAATGGTGCACATGGGCAGGATACAGAATCCTGAGGGAACAAATGGCATATCAATCCGCTGTTGGTCACTGGCTACCATGGAACTGTATCTCCTCACATTGCTACACTGTATTGTGGATGAGGCCTGTACGTCAAAGGCTGGGAGAGTGGCCCTCAAAAAAGCCACCTGATTCGATTGAGGCACACGCTCTCACACAAATCGGATGACGAAATGAGGCACATATATATTTGGTGCTTCCTTGTACCAATCTTCGTTTTTAAATAAATAAATGTCAAATAAATCAAACTCAAAACATGGATGATAAAATTGAGCACACGAAACTACAACTTGATGTACGACTAGTATTAGTAGTACTTGTAGTCAACATAATAAACAATTCCGGTTATTAATAATAACAAAAATTTTAATTACATCTCAATAAAATTGTACACCATTTGTGTATTGGATGACATGATGAGATGAGAAATTACCAGGATAATTTTACACTAATGATCAAATATGCCTATAACTTGGTTTATAGACGTTACCTAAACCTTTTGGGAAAACCAATGACACTATCCAACTACTTAAACCACGACAGACAGTGCAGTAAATGAAACGTTTATCGTTTACACAAACCAACCATAATGAGCCTATACTTACTATAGATATCGATAGAGCTCTATCAAAACTTTAATTCCTAATAAAATAACAAATGTAACACAACTTGACACAGGCTCAATAACAAGAAATTTAACTCACATTTCAAATACATACAAAGATTATCCTTAGAAAATGAATTTCATCATCACTATCATCAATATCATTATCATCACCACCTAGTACTTATATATACGAAAAACTTAAACAAACAAAAAGTGAATAACAGTCTATGATTTTATTCATGTATATGTATCTCTATGTGTGAGTGTGTGTGTGAAAATACTTTCCAAAGTAATCAGATTACGAAAAAGGAATCTACGAATAAGTAGATATAACAAATGATTCACAATTTTTTTGTTCTGTTATTTAATATTATTTAAACCCGGAACTATTTTGTCTCTATTTCTTTTTTTTGTATTAACATGGCACATCAATTGTTTACTTGATAGTTTAGTATTACAGTACAAATGAATAGAGTAACAAATTCAAAAAAAATATAACTATTTGTTTCTGTAAATTAGGACATAACTGAAAGTGGTTGGATTGAAAGAAAAAAACAATCTACAGAATATTTTATAACATTTTAAAAATAATAATAATACTAATGTAAAGATAATGAAGGATTATCATAATCATTACGAATGTTGACTCACTATAAACAACTGGGGAGCCCCTAAATGCCCTGGTATGGTCGAGAGTTGGGAGAGTTCGCTCTCCCTCTCGAAACGCTCTCATATGGCCACGCGTATATAGCCTCTACCATGGAAGTCCTACTCACTGCCTTCTTGTGGCATAACTGTTATTTACAAAATTAAGACGAAGAAAAGCGAACGTTTGGCGCTTTAACCGGGTTGGTGGACACGGAAAGTCCACCTATGGGAGTTGGAAAACCCTCATTCCAAACCAGTGGTGTACGTGGGCTGACTTCAGGATCCTGATGGAACAAATGGCGTATGAACTAACTGTTGGCATGGAACTGCATCTCCTCATGATACTCCACTGCCTTGTGGATCAGACCTTTAGGTCGAAGGCTCAAGTTGCGGCCCCGTAAGTAAACCACCTGCTTCGGTTTGGACACCTCAGCAGTATCATAACCCTCACACAATTAAAATGAAATGACAATTTTTTGTGTAGAGCATATATATCTGGTGCCTCCTTGTACCAATATTTATGTATTCAAATAAATAAATAAAAATACCCAAGTTAGAGGACTCAGCACTAAATTTGAATTATTATTTAAGTGCACCAACTCACACAATATGATATATGTAACACCATGGATCGAGTAGTTGAAGTTCGGAGTACTAAAAACTTTGGAAAATATCCAAAAAGATATCTCTAGACTCCTAAACGATCTCATATGAGGATCCTTGAATTTTAACATAAGCATTTAAGAATACTTCATAATAGTAGAATTACACACTGTAAACCAGAAACAATAACTAATGGCAATTTCATTTCACTTCATTTGAGTGAATATGCAACAATACGGAAGCAGAAACCAAAAGATAATCAATATCGTGTCTAGTCCCATCCTAAATACTGACCAGTTAATCGCTTGACAGACAAATATTTGAAAATTGGAAGACAATGAAAAAGAAGAAACATGGGAAAAACAAATTTGCCTCACTAGCGGATCGACGAAACTAACTGCTGGTAAAATAACTACTAAAAATGCGACAATTTCACACAATTCATATACTAGACCTACACTCGTGAACACGTAGAACAATATTTTACAGGTCAATTCACGAAGGTACTAGACTGTTTCTGTCTGTATCTCAATTCTCATCCACTATAAGCCAACCGAAAAATACAATAACAAAAAGATAACCAATTGAATTATCCAGTTGCGAAGGACCGCGGGGAGCTAACGTTGTCTCAGCTTCTGTGACTCATTAAAATGACGATGAATAAGAAGAAATCCATCATTTAAATAATTACACCCTTTAGTAATAGTAATGTTATGATCTACATCTTCGATACTAAGAAATAAAGTATTCCTAATATTCGCTGTAGAGGATAACATGAACCCATTAGCATTACCTATTAAATGCACCATTTTTGCAGATTTTCGCCAATAACAGTGGAACTTTGGCCCTACAATGAAAATATATGACCAGCGTCTGTATGTAATTATTCTCCTTGTAAACTGTGATTTCATCTACAACAAATAAATGTCCTTAACTATTTAGAACTTTTAAATCAAGTCCACTGTGTCTAAATGTTTGTTTTGTGGTGAAAATAGGGACAAATATAGAAGACGTTTAGGCTAAAAGCATATTATCGTGCGTGAAGTGTGTAAATTGGGGTGAAAACAAACAATGAAGTATACACTTAGCGACATTTTAAACCCATCGCTACAAAAAGGGGAAATGTCGCTCTATTTCGCCACGGAAGGCATAAAAAAAACTTTTCGAAGTATTCCTCTTTAATCTCTCACGTGTTGTTTTGTGGAATGTCCTCTTATTTCACTTAAGACAGTCTCTTAAACAAAGCTATGGTGTTTAACAAAGCGGCAATTTGATATTATCTCAATATGTTGATGGATGAATAACTAAGAACAAATATGTTTGTCATACACCTACAGTAACAAACGTTAAGTCCATGACATATGAGATACTACCCAAGAATTATTACAAACTACGAGGCTCATAGTGAGGCCATTTTAGCCTAATCAGAAGAAATCATACCCATTCAGGACAACGCAACATCCCAATTTCAGGGAAAAGTTTGTTCGGTTTGAATAGATTTCAGCGGAACCATCATAGAAAACTTTGAGAGAATTTTTAGGAAATGGCACAAAAACCCAGTATTCCCCCAAGCCTGGAGAAAATCCTCAACATTTCGGGGAAATTTTAGGTTTCCCCCAATATTTACACAGAATCTTATAACACTCTGATATTTCTCACCAAACTCTGTGAAGAACTACCATATTTCCTACAACTTTCTAAAAGATCAAAATATTCACCCAAAGTTCCCCAGAATTTGCCAATGAAGATAAAGTTGGGAATAGATGATAAGATCATTGTTCAAAATGAAATATCAAACTCAGGAAAATAATGTACCGAAATGTCATAAGTAATAAAAAATTAGCCGTTAAGTTTTTATCCTTACCCAAAGGATTTAAGGGAAGGACGAGGAGAATGGTCTTGATGATTTTTACTTAGATTGGTACTAGGTAGGTTGAGTGAGAGTAAACCGAAACAAGATTCCTCCCCGTAAATTAAATGGTTATTGTCGCAAGAAACTTCCGACCTTATCATTCCTTTAGTCTCGATCTTGGCACAGACAACACACACTAGCGAAAGTTCATTATCCTTAAGTTTGACCTTCAAATATCAGAGATAGCGCCTGAACGAAACTGCAATTTCAAAACCCAAATGTTTTGAGATAAAAAATATCTGATTGTTCGTTCCCCTTAATCTGTATGTGGAGATCTTGAAAGTTTTGATTACTTCTGGGGTCAAAATACCAATTGTTTCGGTCATGAACTTCAAGAGTGGGAAAGATTTGTTGGCTGAAGTATGTAAATGGTTCGGATAAAAGTCCTTTCTCAGCAGTGAAAAGTGTGATACTAAAACTTATAAAGAAGTACGAAATGATTGAAGTGTCACTATAGTTCACTGTTAACATACAGCATTGAACAGAAATGGGTTTCTGCTAATCTAGTCAAGCGTCTTACATATGTTATCTTCGACATATATATTCAGGCTTAAATAGTTCCTCTAATATCCTAAAATCCGCTGGTTACAGAATGTTTTGTGAGTTTCGAACTATTCGCCAGTGAATAATGGGAACATTTGCCTTGTCTATGAAATCAATTTATGTAGCGTACGATGAAATCTAGTGCCTTGTGATGCCTGATATGAGTAACATGAGAATCACGTCATCAATTGATTCTCGTACAGACAAAGAATTTTTTAGCAAAGAATTTGATAATTCGTGCAGTGGGGTTTTTCCTCGCTCAGTAAGTTTTTTTGTTTTGATCGTTCATTTCGTATCAATATAACTGTTTTCAGTTAATTGAATTTATTTCAGTTAAAATGCTCGCTGAGAAGATTTTCTATGTACTCAAAGTACTTTATAGTCGGTGCTCTTGGGCACACTGCTTCAATTGTATTTGTTAGCGCTTTTTGATCATCAATTTTTTTTGTCTCGAGGTATTATCGTATCTAGTTTCCTTATGAAGACCTCTCTTTTATGCCTGGACAGTGCAAGAAAAGTAACTGTCACCGACCATGCTAACAAGTTCCCGTTGAACGCGGTATGCAGTTCGGTTAGTGCAAAGGATGGTTCCACGAAGCTTGCATCAATATAACACCTGCGTCTTTCAAACGGTTTAGTTTGCCGTGGCTGTGTCAGAGGTGCTGCTCAGACGCAATCAGCCTGCCAACCGATGACATGTCAATGGTTAAAGTGTATTAGCAAACGAGGTCGAGACATATCGGTTAGTACTCGCTCTATCAAGACACAAACTGATGTGGAGTCACCTCAAACAAGCCCAGTATCGGTTGGCTTACGCGAATCAAAGGGGGAAAGATTAAATTCAAAGAGGTCTGTCCGAAATAAAAACCTAAGAAAGGTGGTTTCTCCCTCAGTCCTCCAAATGGTGGTCAACAAAAAAGTCTAAAAAAGTTAATCACAAGGGTATATCTGTTTCTAGAACAAAAAATAACCTGACCACCGAAGTCGTTGATAATCATCTAAAACTCCATATTGCTTTCGACACGATTGTTGCTGAACGGGACTTAGTACTACAGAGTGGAGATCAACTAAAAGGTTCAAGAGATTTGGTTCGTAAGGAATTGCAGCTCTCAGGCTAAGTAAAAAGACGAGAAGCTGGAGAAACCGAAACTTAGGTCAGTTGCTGGCAAAAAGACCTGAAAATTGCAAATTTTTGCGTTGTGAGGCCTCAGCAGAGAATTACGTCGAGGTCACTCTTGGTGAAGCACGAAGCCATTTAAATAGGCTTCAGCTCTGTTTCACAAATGGCCGAGGCCCGCTCAATAAGCGATCAGATCTGGGTGAACAAATTGAATCTATCAGGAAGGATGTAACTGCAGTCACAGAACCTTGGTTGACACAGTCTATGGACAGTGAAGAACTTGATTTTGGAAGTTTCACGTTATTAAGAACCGACAAAATCCAGGAGCATAAAGGTGGAGTATCTCTACTGATTCGGAGTACTATCCCACTTATCCTTATCGATCATGTATCCCATGAGAGTTGGACGTGTGAATAAGTTAGTTGTCACTTGAAATTCAAGGAACAAGAACTGCTGACTGGTTTGGTCTACCGCAGTCCATGCTGTGATGCAAACGAAGTCTTGCTAGAGGGTTTCAATACTTGATGAAAAAGTGGTCGATGTTTAATGTCAGGAGATTTTAATGCGCCCACGGCAGACTGGAAAAATCTAAGAACTGGATTGTTAGAAAATTTCCTCCAGCAGGAACTAGCTGGTGTAGCTTTTGCACGCACTCTATTGTAACATGTGAAAGAAGCGACTAGGTACGCCTCGGACTCTGAATCATCTTTACTAGACCTTACACTGACCCATTATGAGGATGACGTCACGACCTCCGGCTACATGACACTTCTAGGTGAAAGTGACCACACAATTCCAACGTTTTACTTCTATATAAATGTCAAAAGCGAGTACGCGTCAGCTCAACCCAGAACCAACATATGAACGAATATAGAAGCAAATATAGATATTCTTCACTCAGCATCCCCAGTAAATTGAACAAGGTAGCCAGAGTCCCCAATTTAAACAGCTTGGGATGTCTTTTGAAACGTGCAATTAAAAGTTACTGCACCCCACACTACTTGAACAACCCCAAGGGATCCGAGAAACTCTCAACCATGTTTCAATGAAGATGTTCGAATCGTTCTCCGTTGGAAATGAAGAACGTGAGAAAGATTTAGATTACTGGGTACTGATGTGACAAATTATCGAAATCGAAAAGCTCGAAATATTTGTGCCTCCACCCTCCGTATGTCTTGAAGGGTTTACGAAGGAAAAATTGTCAAGGAATCATTAGACTACCCTAAACACTCACATTCGTACATAAACCAAAGGACTAAGAGAAGAGGAATAATTCCAGCCCTGTGGGAAGACAGCCATACCGTATAATTGTTGGACACGATCATGATAAAGTTCAAGTATTCTGAAACCAATTAAGCAATTTAGAAACATCCTGTAGTTGTACTGATCCTAACCACACAGTCCTCAAAGCTGTACATAAGATAACTGGGAAAACAGATGCTCAACATTCAACACAGAGAGAAGGCCAGGAATGGTGAACACGGGAATATATTGAAGTTACTTAATCGGATAGCATGGCCCAGCCTTGCAGACGTGGTCATTCTGTATAACTTGTCTTTATTCTCATTAAATATACTATCCTATCTCCAGCCTTAATACCCTTCAGAGGTTCTAAGTATCACATTGTTAATTGTTATGATACGATGGGTCAATCTAGACAATGATGTGACTTTCACATAAGCTCTTAAAGATTAGACAGTCACATCATGACATATCTAAACTTCTAGGATTAGGTCTATAATTATAACGATACTAATAGTGAATAAGACTATAATTCTACAATTTTTCGCGTCAGTTCATACAAATCCCCCCACACACTGGAAAATATGACCATTAAAGGACTCAATGTTTCAATGAGCTCGGTATGAGCAAATCAAGGGGACATGATGAAATGCACCCAGATTATTAAAGAAAGTACCTAATTCCGTTGCGAATCTCTGAAACGTATGTTTTAATCTATCCGTAACCTGAGATCAAATAGAGGAAGACCATGGCAAATCCTGTCTTCACAACAGGTTAGAAACATAAACCTGAGAACTACCAACCCGTTGGACTAACCAGCATGGTTTAATAAAATTTCGAAAAGGATTATTCCGAAGGAGCTGTTCACATATCTCAATGAAACCCGATCTTTGAGGAAAAGGTTATTCCTGTTTCACTAACCTATTAATGGCTTGTGAAATTCAATACCCTATTAGGAACCAAAAGTTATCTATAGACATAGCCTACATTGACTTCAGCAAAGCTTTTAACAAAGTTACTCACAACCACCTGTTATATAGGTTAATAAGTGTCGAGGTTCGAGACAATTTATTAGTGAGGATAAAAACTTTCTTAGTCGGATGCAAAAAAACGTACGAGTGAATTGTAAGGTGTCTAGCTAGGAAACTGTACTTAGCGGAATACCTCGTAATACGATTTCGGGGTCTCTCGTATTTCCTCGTCTTCTATCATCACAGGTCTTGCTATATGATGATGATGTTGACATATGGAGAGCGATAATAAGTAAGTATGGTAGCCTAGAACTTCAAAGGGATCTGAATAAATTATCTGAATGGTCTCAAACCTGGCAGTTATTGATTAATCCTCCCAGGTGTATTGTGAATCATGTTGGTAATCAAGGCACAGATAAATACATGGTCAAGAACATTGAGCTACCTGTTGTCAGGACAACAACAATTTAGGGGTCATCGAATCTACTATACACTACCTTGAAATGGCCGCAAAAGATTTTAGAACCCTATGATTAATACCTAGTGTCCTTGGTCATGTCGATGCTGAGACCATTTCGAATTTCTACACAGTATTTGTACGTCCTGACCATGCGGACTGTATACAAATGGCTATATCCTCCTTTAGAAAACAGTGTGTCATTCGAAAAGGTTCAGAGAACCACAAACAAACTGAATCTCGTAACAACTGAGCACACATACAATCCTCAACTGGTTAAAAAAAACCTGACATATAAAAGAACCAGAACAAGTTGTCTCAATAGGCCATCGTTGAAAATTCTTTGACCAATTACCTCTCTTACTCTTGGCAACATATCTGTCGCAGAACCATGTTGCAGGTCGATACTTTTAAGGAGTCGATCTAAACTTTGTCGATCGGTTAGATCTCCGAGTTTCAGAATCGACCGTTTTAAGATTTCATAAGGTCCCAAAACAAAACTAGTAAACTTACTGGGTGTGACGTACCTGTTGTATTCGCGCGGTAGTGCCTTTACAACCACGAGTTGTGTACGTGGATCAATCATTCCGTGCTCATAGAAGTCGGCATCTGAAAAGCAGAATCAAGCTTCAACATTAGCCGGCCAAAAAGAAATTAGCTATAAAGAGGGCGGTGTAAAAGTCTTGATCTTAAGTAACTTTGGAGTCTGTTTTGTCATAGTCAATTTAAAGTATGGGGATGAACGTGGATAAAATATTCAAAAATACAAAAATATCACAATTAAAAAAGTAAAGTAAATCAATGATTTATGAAGTTCATAGGTTTGTGTACCAGATCACGTTAGGCTCACCAGTGAA